CTCAGTGTGCTTCTTGCTTTGCCCTTCCCCAAAGGGGGCCAATCTTAATAATTACTAGGAGTAGACACAGCAGCAGCATGACGAACAGTGCCTCAGCTCTTGTTCTCAAACTCTTGTTGAAAATCGGGACAATAGCATGTCTACGAGCCCATAAGAATTATGCTAATTTGGTGAGAAGCATGTAGATACGGTAATAATTATAGGCGTTCAGGGTACAATCAGAGAAGCTCGTGGGAAGAATGGCATTCTCCTATTTCGAAGTGTCATAGAAAGTATAAACCAAGGACGCGTTTCTCCAGCTGATTAGCCATAAACATGGCCATTATTGCATCAGTCGTCATTCCTTGGTCCATCGGCCGCTAAATCATAGGGAAATATTCGATATCGGATCATCAATGAACTTTGAGGAATCAAGTATTAATGCGTCGTTATGATCACAGCTATCTCTCAATTATACCATCTTGAAGGGCCGAGCCAATTACCGTCCTGTTTCTCTGTTCCAATCTGTGTTGCCCCTTTCGCGGCACCTGGATTGTCTGGATATTTTCCCCGAGTCACTTCAAAACAATCACCCACGCAGGTCGAGGGGTCACCCTTCAAATCTTGTCTACAGCAGCCATTGCTTTGGCCCGATGCTCAGGGGCGATTGCACTTTGAGATTGGCCCTAGTCTCTCTCTGGACATGTAGAATTCAGCAGTAAACAAAACCTCCGCCCATGTTTCCTGGGCCGGCACTGAACGGCCCCCGAATGTTTTCGGCGATATCGGTACCGGCGTTGACTCCAACACCCCCCCCCCCCCCCCCCCCCCTCTCCCCCCTATCGAGCCGGTGAGACGCTGCCGGGGGTAAAACCATCACCGGGCAAACCGCAAAAGCATACTACGTACGTGTAGTGTGGAAACCGATCCGGTCCAATACGGTGCTGGTGAAACCCCAAGCACTCAGAACGCTTTCACCCGGTTCCTCCTAACAGCTCTCGTTCACGCACGCTAGAGAAGGAAAACACGAACACGAATAGTTATTATCCCGCCCGGATAGGGCGGCTCTTGTTGTAATGATGTATGTTGACGCACAACTTTTGCCACAGACCTCGAATGGAGATGGCAGGGGGGAAGTGTGACAATATCTCTCAAGCATATCTCTGGCCAAGGCTAACCAACACCCCCGGATGAAGCGTTCGATTGTGGTCGCCTTGTGTATGTTACTGAGCCAATCATCATTGGAAGGCTTAGTTGGCTGTCTCTTCATGGAGACATGGCATCGGAGACATTGGGAATACAACCTTAGACAGACGAACAACACATCGCTTTCACGGAACGATTGGTTCATGTGTCACTGTGACGAAGCCTGAAACATGATCTCGCGCTCGCCTTACCCGACAGCCGGTGTGCCACAGCAGATACACTAAACGCCGGCCGTTGTTCAAGACACCCCAGCATGCTCCGTGGTGGTTCACTACGTCCCCCTCGTCGTGTATCTTGCAAGATCCGTTCAACAGTCATCGCTTTCATCGGTTAACTCGCGTAGACAGGGCACATACGGACTGTCGAGAATTACCTGAATGAACTCCAACTGCCGCCATCGCTGCTCTCGACACGTTCCAGCAACCCAATGACGTAGCGGACACCCCGGTTTGACGGGCGTCCTAGCCTACTTTTGCTGGCTCCTGCATCTCTTTGCGCCTGGATTTTTGCCGTTTCGGCGATAGATGAGACATTGAACCACTCGCACGTGCAACGGTAGGGAGAAGAACTGAATCCCAGCGTCGGATGAGAAGGCGGGGGAAGTTGAGCGAACAAGCGAAAGAAAGAAGAGGCAAGTCATTACGTTATTCTTCACCCCAAATTCACCAAGTCCCCGGAACGTCAGTGGATCCCCTTCCCGATTGGCGCCAGAACAGCGAACACAACTCTCTTGAGCCATCCCATTGCCGACGGCCCTGTCGTTCGCTTCTCGGCCTGATCATTTCCCTTCAAAGCCGAACTGACCCCACGAGTTCCTGCATTGGAGGCCAGTGCCCGGTTCCCAATCCGGGGAAGGGAGGTTTGAGAAGCCATCGCCACTCCACATCAAGCGTGATGACGGGCCAGAACCGGTCACTAGTTCGCCATCCAGCCCTTGCCGCATTGTGGTTATTTCCCCATATTGAGAATGACCGTGAAGCCGTGGTATTTCCTGCAAACATGGACCCCCGGAGCCGGCTCCCGACCCGGGGGGAGGATGGTTGACACACAGTGACACCAAAGTCCCCACGCGTTTGGTCGACCTCATTGGGGAACATCGGTCATTCGGGCTCTTCTTGGCAAGGCCCACCCAATATCGTTGGGGCGAATGACCAAGTAGACTACACCTACATTAGTTAAGGCGAGATGGGGCAGTGGTTGTGCTTGGGTTCGGGATGAAGGCGACCAAAAAGCGTCGATACGGCCCGTATTCGTGAAAGGTGACAGGATTATCTTCGTATCAGGGCTGTTCGGCATGTCTCAAGGACATGCCTACACTAGCCACGTTGGAAGCTTCAGCGCACTGCGTATGGGGATGCCGGTTTGCAACAGATGCCCAAACGGGCCTGTGGCTCCCGGATGTGCCTGGTGCCGGGAATTTCTGCCCCTCAAGCTACTCCATCACGCGATTCTTTTTACCACGAGATGCGACGGGCCGAGGGGAAGGGGCAAGGGGGGTTCACGGCTTTGGTTGGTGCAGCATGTGGGAGTGAGACACAATTCCCAAAGTCGGATGGGAGCCTTGATTCAAATTCCCCATATCAGAGGACGAGAATGAAAAAAAAAAGAACGGGAAGTGAGCCGAGAGCGGCCTCGTTCGACACACGGAAAGACAGAATGCTTGTTCGCACCTAGCCAATGAACGCAAACCTGTCAGGCTTGTTCCGTGCTTTGCAGAATGTGACGAGTGAGATGCATGAGGTTTGGACGAACCCCCAGCTTGGATGGCGTGGATGGGCCTATTGGGAGTGAAGGTGGAAAAAGCAAGGTCGGATCCGTTTGCCGCATATCTTCTCTCACCTTCGCTAGTTTTAGTGTCGGAGAAAGGAGACAAGCCTTCCATGCCCCTCACCTCCGCAGTCACCAGTCTCCCATCCCCGCCTCCGAAAGGAGAAAACAACACTACACTAGTGTAACCTTGCGTATGTCGAACCCCAAAATACCATCTGTGATCAACATTTGCGAGTCAATGGGTGGGTCATCAAACTAGTGACGCTCGGACACAACAATGACGGTGCCTTCCCTCTCAGATGGTGGGAGGGGCGGTGTGATGGTGGTCGGGTGGGTAGCGATTTGTTCCTCGTAAATTCCATCGCTGATCCGCTTGACGGGGAGGAAGTGGTGCGCAGAAATTACCATCATGAATTCTCTCCGAGGAGATGGGGGGCAACCATCACGTCTCTCCTCGGTATTTTGGAATGGGGCACTCACCGCTGGTCCATCCGACTTTCTCGAGTTGTAGGGGAATGCTGATGGGTTTGTCCATTTCGGCTGTGGAAAAAAAAAGGAGATGAGGGGTTTCGGTGAGGATCGGTCGTCCCAAAGAGCTGGGTCACCATGGAAAACAGGATCTACCAAGCCAGGGCGGGGCTGGAAGAGCCGCAGAATCGTGGCTGGCTAGACGGAAGGGGATGGATGCTCTGGTCGCGCGGCCCGGAGATTGTTCCGCGACACATGGGCAAAAATGAGGGGGGTCAAAAGGAGAAAGGTACGAAGTACACCGAAGCATTCTTGATAACGTTACTGCAGTTAGTTAATCGTTTTACATCTTGCAAAGGTATGCATGTACCGGTGCTGCCCGAGGAAACCGTAGAGGGGTGAAAGAGAACGACGAGAGTTGAGTGTTCGAGGGGGAAGACTGAAACCGGGGCCCCCATCCTGGCGAAAAAGAAAAAAGAAATCGACAATTCAGCTTTCGAGGTGTCGTCGAGCTCGAGTTGCGTCCCCTGAAGCTGAGAAAAGGCCCCACATCTGTCGTCACATCCCTGCTAACGTTAGCCCTGCCGACCCGGATCTTGGGACCCGTCCTTTTTCGATCGGGAATGCAACATAAAAATGGCTCTCGGGGTGATAGATATCATGGAAACAAGCATGAGAACCTGCATTTTCTCATCACTGGGAAGTGAGGCTAGGGAATAAGAGCATTGGACTATTTCTGGCTTGCACCCCCTTATCTACTTGTCCTTCAAGTCGGATTGCTCGAGCCTTCGTGAATGCGCTGCCGCCCGACCCCCCTGGTGTTCATCTCTCGGCCCCGCTTCGGGATTGAATCCCGGGCTGCCCAGAGCGATCGGGCTTCACACAAGTGAAAGGAGGATCCACGCTTGGGAAACGATTCCTTGCAAAGCTTGTTTTGCAGCAAAAGAAGGAGGAAGAATCATCAGCCAAAAAGCCCACATACACTTACATAGTAGGAGAGTCGGCCTCATGAATGCGAGCTTAAGGGAGGATTCTGTTGGGGGTGGATGCTCCGTAGGTGAAGCTGTTATCAGATCTTGTCGCAAGAGCTGTTTCGCGGGGAGCTCGAGCTTCAGGGGCCCACCTGTTCTCGGACCCACTTGCGAATTCAGTCAGACACCACCACCTTCAGGGGCTCCGGAAATCTGGTGTGGCCTTGGGACGTCGGCCGTGTACTGAACAAGACTTCTGGGAGCAAGCATTAATTAACTAGGCTGAGAGCAAGATTAAATTGTCTCTGGCGCGCCGGCCTGAGAGCTAAGAGAGCCACTGTGCTTTTAAGAAAAGGTGAAAACAATGAAAAATGCCCTTCCCGATCTCCATCCCGCAACCCCCAAACCTCAGAATGCCAGATGCTCATTATCATCTCGGTCCGTAATTACTAGGAAAGATGGGCTAAACATATAATGCTGATACCAACGCCGCCGTGCCTTTTTTGGAGCCCTCGTCCCATGCCCGGGCTTGTCTCTATAACGCCTCAAACGCAGCGAGAAAAGGGGCGAAAAAATATGTTCAGAGGTAAATAAGACACATCCCGCTTAATTGGGGTATGCACGCATCGGGAAATAGTATGCCGGCATCGGCTCAACGTGCCAATGCCTGACACCATGCTCCTGAAATGCTGTGTCCCACTCTCCCTTGAGAGCACGCGGGATTGGCCACCCGTACTCGGCACTGCGAAGGCGCATCCGCACCAAGTGCCGTTTTTCAGCTACAGATTGCCCATTGGCGTACCTTTCACGGCGATGAAGAATCGCTAGGTTGTTGATGAAGTGCATGTCTCCTGCCTGCGTCTGGATCTCCAATTGGGTAGCCTTTGCAATGGCTTCGATGGCGTCCAGTGCTTCGATCTGGCGCGCTGTCAGGGATGGCAGGTGTTGAGGCCGGGGATGTGCCTCGTTGCCAAGCAGCGCGGCACGGCCAAAGTTCATGATGAGCTTCGAATTCTCGTGGAAGATAACTGGACGGCATTGGAAAAATGGCCTTGTAGATACAATAAGCGACGGACTCTCCACACTGCTTGGGTAAGAAAACTTACATAGCGAACGGCCAGTCGGACCGAGCCAGCGTACGAATCACATCGGGTCTGGTCGCAGCTAAGACGTTGTATACCGTGTAGGCAGAGGCAATGATACATTTACCGCCCGCTGCAGCCGTACTGCGGGTTAACCAGCTGACAACATCACCCGACTCCTCGTTGTGGAAGGTCTAAGAAATTTTCCATAGTCAGCCTTCGTATCTCACCCACCCGGGGGACGAAAACTAACAATTGCTTTGGTGGAATGGCGGTGGTGCTCAGCTGCTTGCTTGGTGCTGTTGTCCGCAACAATGTGAACTAGCCCAAAGTCAGCACATGCCAGGTGATCACACATATGTCTACCAACCTAACATGTTTCCACACTTGTCCTGGCGGCCGCGCTGCTCGGCAATGTAGGACTGGATGCCGAGATACGCGAGAGTCAAGTCCTCAACACTGTATGTCTTGGGGTTAATGCCCCGGACGATGCAAAAGCCCTTGCCATCGTGGACGTCACGGCAAAGTTCACGGAGTCTCGGGCCAAGTGTCGGGAGTGGGAAGTTCGACGGTTCCACCAGGTCTCCATCTTGATCGAGGGCTGCGCGAACTGTCAAAACATACACACTAAACAAACGCTGGTGGGGGGGACTGACACTTGTAATTCTCGAGGGCAGTAGCGATCTCGGAGTGGTGGGTGTCATTCAAGACCAAGATATGGTCAGATGAGTGGTCAAAGTCGGACCCGGTCCAGGCGAGCTTGTGGGAAAGATGAACCGGGAAGCCAGCCGGGAGCGCGGGGACATCAGCACCGGGTTTGGCACGCAGAGCTAGATCGGGAGCGCTCACGACTGGCGTAGAAGTCGCGGCAAGAATGGGTCCAGCGGCGACAGGGGACATGATGACACTGTACTTCCTGTTTATAGCTCAGCACCCTGTCTAGCACCATTGATGGAAGGGGCCGCCCGTGGTGCCTTGGCTTCGAGATGGGTCATCGAGACTTACGTTTGAAAAGCGGGGGACTCAGTCTAGTTGAATAGGATCAACGGCGGATGAATGGTCCAGAGTTTGGCTCAGGGGAGATCAAGGAACTGACAACCCGATAGGAGAAAGTCGAGAACAAACGACTTGGTCGAAAGCAAGGTTGTGTGAGGGCAATGAGAGGCGGATGGCTGGACTGGTAAACGAGGAGATCAAGAAGACTTATATAGACGCTGGAGAGCCCTTGCAAAGCGCGGAATAACACACCCCAAGCATTGAGCCACCAAACACCTGAGGTTGAACAGGAAAGTGGCTCCCCGTCACAGCTTGTGTCCGCGAGACGGGACGCAGATTGAGCGGTCAGGGAAAGAATAGATGTGAGTTATTACACGGGAGGCCGAGGCTGGTGAAGAAGAAAGAGCGAGTGAGGATAGGGCAAGGGGTAACACCAGCAGGACTAGCAGCGGCAGGTACCCAGCCGGACGGATGTGGCTCTTCCCCAAAGCAAAGGGTTGTGATGGGTTCCGCCGCAGGGCTTCAGATCCGGGCAGAGATGAGGATGTACAGGTGGTAAAGATGGATAGGGAATGTCGGGGCTTAGCAGAAAGATGAGAAGAACGAGAAGGGGTGGGGATTGTAGATGTGCGGTTGCTTCCGTGACGGGGGTGGTTCCATGGTGTGGGGAGGGAGGAGGGGAGGGGGTGAAGAGTAGAAGGCACCCCCCCATGAACCTAGTTAAATCCGCTGGGTTCTATCACTCCCAATGACCATTGGGACAGAACCTGGAAGGCGAGGCAGTCGAGAGACCGATCGAATCGCGGCAAACCGAGCATCAGATCGGAGGCACGAGGCAAAGTGGCGTGGTATCCATGGTACGATGCGAGCGAGATTCGATAGATTGGCGATACAGCCATCGGCTCAGATATGGGGCGGCACCCATGAGACGAGAACTGAATCCCACCACGTAGGTGATGGCCCATTTATTGTACGTCGGAAAGGGGCTGGATGAACCTAGAACGACCTCTGCTTGAACTTGGTGGAAACTTCGGGATGTGTAACGTGGACTTCTAGAATATGTTTAAAGAACCTAAGGTTGTACTTTGCCTGCCTACAAATGGGACTGTGTTGGAGACACCCTGTGTGGTTTGGGGCAAGAGCTCTTTTGGGGTGTGGGGATAGACATTCTAGAACTAGCAGCGACTGTTTGGGAAGCCAAACACATGTTAACCTGGATAATTGAGGCTTGGGGCTTTGGAGACTGATAAGATGGAAGCTTCTTTGAATGGCCGGGGAGGGGGGATCAAGGTGGGACTACGTGAAAAAAGAAAAGGAAAAAAACGCCTTGTTGGGTGCACATGTGGTACGGGCTGGCCATGTAATGTCAACGGCTCGTTCTTTCTGTTCCATGAGTACAACATCGGGTTTCGACATCAGTCTCGGAGCAGGGAATGAGTGGTCGGGAAACAACATCGCAGGAAGGGTCGTGTACCCAGGTGGTGGGAAGAGGAATCGAGCTTTCCTTGCCTGTCAACAGGGTTTGCGACAACCGTTCTTGCCGAGAACTAACTAACTACCGACCGACCCCGTCTCGAGGGCAAGTGGACTGTTCTAATCTTTACACAGTAAAGCCGGCAAAAGTGGATCGATGAGCTGAGGTGATGAGGAAAGAACGGCCTGGCTCTCGTGGGCCTGGAATCCCCGGTATGCCAAAAGAAAAAAAAATGTGAAAATTTTGATAACGGGAAGGTGTAGACAGCTCTTGTCTCGCCTCGTCAGATCTCATCTCGACGGGAGCGCGGACGGGACGGGGAATCTTCATTGCATGTGGCTGCCATGGTCGGACTGGGGGTTGCTAAGTGGTATGTGCAGCACCTGCAGCAGAGATAGGTGCACAGGGCACGCCACATGAATCCCCCCCCCCCAATGCATCGAGGGCGATGGTGCGGACGGGCAGAAGGTCCGGATACATCATGGTTGCTTGCAGGTAGAATCGGAAACCCTAAGTTGATCGGGAATTCTCGGCCGCCCCAGGAAATATGGCAGCGGACGCTTCCGCGTGGTGAATTCGATTGACTTGTCTCCGATTCTCAGTGTCGGGAGGTCAGAGGAGAAAGAGCATAGTTAGTGTACACTAGTGTAGGCGCCGTCCGAGCCCGATGGGATGGATGGGTCATTGAGAAAACAAAAATGGGCATTTCAGTCTGGCCCAGACTCGGGTTGCCTTTCCGGCCGCCTGCCGGTACCCACCACCCAGCCCGATTGTCTCAGACGCCATGAAGTTCCGGAAAAGCCAGAGTGGAAGCGGGTGGGAGTTTGGGTGAAAGATCGGATCGGATAGGAGAGATCTGTGTTCCCTTGACAAAAACCCCTGATCCTGGGCTCGGGGCTGTGGATGTCAATTTTCACTGGAGCGCCATTTCAATTTTAGGAGGTGGGGAGCAACAAAACCGGGGATCTGCAGTCGTATTCAATGGGACACCGCGCTGTTCCGCGATTGGTCGACGGGCGTTTTCACAACACAATCGCGACATGGCCAGGCGAGTCGGGGCACTGCATCGCCCGTGGTTTGAGTGGTCACTATCGCTTCTTTCCTTTTCTAATGGCTGGCTGAGGACCCTTTCTTTCTTTTCTTTAAACCCACCTCTTCTCGAGCAGGACTCGCATACCCATGCCACATGTCTTGGACTGTCCACGAAGGGGTACGTACCCCCCTGCATTGATCTCGAACGCCCACTGCTCTGAGTTCCTGTTTCGGCCGGTTGTCCGCCTTCATGTCCTTGCCGCGACGGTCTCTTGTCCATATGTAATGGACTTGACCCAAGCCAACCATCGAACATTTGACAGCTCCTTTCCCTGAGCGAAGTGCGGGTATCTGTTCCGATGCATGGTTACCTGCGTGTTGTTGGGCTTGCATCCGCTGTCCGGCAAGGTCTGTAACTTGCCCTGCGTGACTGGTGGCACAAGCTGTCGGCTTTCCGTCCGGGTGTCCCTACACCATGGTTCGAGGTTGCCAATTGGGTTCGAAGAGCTGGCTCACATAGTAGTACTCATGCTCGTAATTGTCGTTCGCCCACAGCTCTTCCCATGTTTTTTCTATTGCGTGTGTAAGCGCCAGGTACTTGTAGCGGGGTTTGAGCTGGTATACATACTGTGTGCCACAACCTGCTCTCGCGTGTAATGGACAAACGAGATGGCGGTGTCGTCAAGCTCTGCTAAATTCTGCAGGTCCTGGTCTTTGCATTCACGGGAGAATGGATAGATGGCCTTATTGCAGTAGTGAAAATACGCGAGAAGCGTGTTCGCGCCTGTGACACTGCATCAGCCTCGGTTTGGCGGTTCATGGGTTCGCCAAGCCTACTCACCCAAGTTGTATTCCTTGACATTAGCCTCTCGTGCAAAGCGTGTCTGCAGGGTGGTACTTGTTAGCCCATGTGTTTTCATGTTGGATCACTCGCTGTGCTCACCCGCAATCCGTGTTTCTTAGCGTAGTCAGCGTCATGTTTGGTGATCAGAGCAATGTTATGCAGCAGGATGAAGGTCACCAGGTATGTGGTGAGCCAGGTCTTCTGTTTCTTCTCCTGAGTCATCTTTTGCAATTCTTCGAGGGCTTTTCGACGAAGGCGAGGCTGAATTTGGTGGATGATGACCGAGTCAATTTGTGCTCCCATCACTGGTGGGAGAGGTATCTTCCCGTGAAGAGGATTGTCGTGGTCGTTGATGATGTTGGGCGGCATACCCAATGTGTCGTCTCCCACGATCTCAAAAGACTTGGTCGTTAGCCGTACTGACATCCAAAGGTCCAAAGTCGAAATTAACAGGCTTCTCTCCGACTGGGGCGTCGAGGGGTCGCGTGCCGCGTTGATAGCAAGCGAGTACGTCCGCCAGAGTAGTTCGTCTCGCGAGCCCAAAAGGCGATGGCAGCAGTCGACCAAGCCAATCTTGATGTATTGATCAAACTCGGCTTTGGCGTCGTCCATGTTGACGATGGCAAAGGCCGGGATTTGAACTTCGTGCTTTTGCCCACTTCGTGATACCCAAGACCTCTTGATTTTATCACCGAGCTGCGGTTTGAACTGCCGAACCTGTAACTTGACTGACTGGCCGGTGTAGCCCTCCGTGACCTGAATCGTTCGCACCTGGCCAGAATCCCAGGTACCAATATCGTCCATCACGCTATCCTTCCAGCGATTCGTCCATTCCTGGCCCTTGAGCTGACCAGGCTTGAAGAGTTTTACGTCTGTGATTTTCAGCCGCAAACAGTTCAAACGATACACCTTAGCACTGCTCGCAATGCTCTTGCATGTCAAACAAGGCCCTTTCTCGTTCTCTGGGTCAAGATTGCACTATGATGGGATATCAGCCAGCTGCTTTTTTTCTCGGTACACAAGAAATTATTCGTAGGGCGCGTCAACCACTTACCCGAATTCGTTGCATCCTACATCGAATACAGCTCCCCATCTTTCTGGTAAGAGCGGTTTTTTCTCGAGAGTCCTGATCTTTGAAGGGACCGCGTTTGACAGGGGTGGTCTTGTGTGGTGGAAGAAGTTCCAGTCCGGATGGCTTGTCTTGGTTGCCTCCATTTTCGGTCCCTGATTCAACGTCGAAACACGAAATGGGGTGAAAGCGTGATGGTAAGGTCATCATCATGCCGTTCCCGTCGTACGGTAGGGGTTCGACCCCCGCAACGTAAGCACCCGACATGACACCTGTCGATAGGGGTGCATCCACCAAGTAAGGGAGTTGCAGCTCCGGCCTCGCCGCGTTTTGTAACCTACCAGCGTGGTCTTCGTACTTGACAGGTGGTACAGCCCCGGGATAGACCATCTCTTCAGGGCTTATAGCAGGTTGAAAGCCCATCGGCCGGTCGGGCTGCAGCGGGGGATAGCTTGCCAAGTATTCAGCCGTCAATGATGGGTCATCACATGAGAACAATGCAGTCGAGTTGGGAGTAATGGGCGTGGGGAGCAAGGATGCCTGAGCTTGTGGCTGTACGGACACCACGGCAGAATCAAGCATGGGGGGTTGGTGATCGCTGTAGCCGTATGGTGTGGGCGTTGGAAGAGCTTGATATGCTACCGGCCCGGTGAGTGTTTCGCTCTGGAATAACGCGGGGATCTGCAACCGCGAGGAAGGACAACTCACTGGTTTGTGGCTCAAAAGGGGGGCACATAGAAAAACTCGCGAAACAGTCCGCTAGCCGCGCGCCTGTCCAACCGGGCGCGATGCTCGTCCCAGAGAAGAACGCATGGTGCTTGCGATCCACGTCAACGTCGGCGTCCCGCAAGTCAAGCGTGCCCTTCTCTTGCACGTGCTGGGTAGGTATCCCGCTGAAGTAGGGTGACGTTGGCATTTCAACGGTAGTCGTGTCCAGCCGAGGCCGTTTATGGAAATGATATTGATCGCCGGGCCTTTTCTGCCGGCCCTGTGGCGGCTGTGGCTGTTGTAACTGTTGGTGTTGTTGTTGTTGCTGCTGCTGCTGCTGCTGCTGCCGCGGTTGTGGTTGATGTTGATGGTGATCACTGAAGTCTAAAAGAGCGTCCACGGGGCGGTTGAGGATTAGAGCAGCTTGTTCGAGGACATACTGGTTGGCAGGCCCAAAAGCGTAGGGTTGATTGCTTTGGTCGAGTATATATGAGTGGCCAAGTGGCAAGGGTACGTCGTTGAGAAGAGGTGGCGGGTATGTTAGCCCATAAAAGGAGGGCTCCACGGGCACTTCGTCGTGACCATAAGCCCGCCGCTTTCTGATGTTGGTGTTCTGGGCAAGCAGGGTTAATCCACTGCACATTCGACGAATAGTAAAGGGGAGTTGAGGATGGGGCGCGGACCGGTGAGGTCGGTCGTGAGGCGGTAGGGTCAAGTATGGAAACCGGAGAGAACAGGGAAAGGAAGATGGGTGTCAGTGACACGAGAAGGGGGTGGATGAAGAACGGGAGGGGTATAGGGCGATGAGCGAGGCCACGAGGGTGATCGGTGATTGCCGCCATGCACCCTGCCGCAGAGCCCTGAATGGAAAACAAAATTCTTACCATGATGAAGCTGGCCCACGGTATTGTGCTGGGCAAATGTGAGGGAAACGTTGGCCGGGGTGTGTACAAGGTGGAGAGGTACCTGGTCTGCAAGGGGGAGACAAGGGAATGTGCATAGCCAACAACCGGGAAGACGACTCAAGACGAAAGGGTGAGCCACTCCGAAGGTACAATCGTACGCGGGAGGGGCGGAGGGGGAGGACGCAGACGCCCAGGATCGAGCATCTCACAGAGGCGCCATCACCACGAGGGACGACGCAGGCGGTATGAAAGCGGCGGAGAGCAATGCGGGCGCACCTGAAAACGGTACCCGATGCAGTTGGGGCGGCGGCGAGGAGGGGTGGAACTGTAACAAGATCGGGAGTGTGAAGGGGAGAAGAGACAGGGGGGAGGCTGGGCCAAGAAATCAGCCAGAAGACGAGTCGCACGAATTGCTTGCGGCTTGACTCCCACCACCCCTTGGACGGAGAGTTGCAGGCTTCGGGTGCCGAGCACGAGCGCTTCTGCTATCCCGTCGCTTCGGCAAGTGCGGCCGTGGCCTAGAGTTACGGGTCGGACAGGAGCCGGGCGGCGTCTTCGGGGCACAGACGGAGCTTCTCGAACGATTGCGGCAGCGGGAGCCGTTTGGTCCGAGGCATAGAGTCGCAGCCGACCGACCGACCGCAGCTGCTCCTCCGCAACCTATCGGTGCTGGGCGTTGGTGATGGCGCGCACAATCGATGAGCTCCAGCAACGAGCGTGCAGTGCAGGGCGAGTCCACAGGAACGGGATCCGACTCCGGTTCTCTCTCTCTGTCGACGCCTCGTGCGGAGCAACCGCCGTCGTCTGGTGCCCAATGGTGGTTGAGGATCGGCCCTCCGCGAAGCCAGGTCAGGAATCAGCGCGATGTCTCACGGGCGCAGGCCGGAAAAGACTGCAGTTGTTGCTCGGTGGAGTCTAGAACAGCCGGTGAAGAATGCTCTTGTTTCGTCTGCTGTCAAAGGAAGGAATCGGTGAGGGCGTTGAGGAGATGAAGTGAAGAAGAGAGATTCACCGGTCGCGGGGAAGTCGCGGCCTGACCACTTGTTCCTGGTTAACGGGCGTCAGGTTGGGCCAGTGAGCGCAGCAAATTCAGACAGGGGAGGGCAATTGCGGGAAAGTGAAAATGCGACAGGGCCTGGCTGGCAGCTGCAACAGTCAAGTCGCACAGGGAACTTTCGTTTCCCAATCGCCCACTCTATCTCACCTGCAGCGCCTCGGCCGTTTCCCCTCCAACATGGAAATGCCGAGACTCAAACCAGCATTCCAAGACTGTTAAAACAAACACACCAGTTGGGAATCTGGCCGACGGAATCGTCTCGTTTGGGCTATATTTGCGGGAGCTACCCCCACTACTTTCGCTGACGGGTTCCGTTGTTGTGGTCAGCGGGCGGGTGGGATCCCTGCACACCTAACCGAGAGGAGCACGGCCCTCGCGCCTATCGGGTGAGCCAATGGCAAGTTTCAGAACCAGCGGGGAAGGTTCTAGCGTGCGGACTCAGGTGGACCGATGATGCTTGGCGAAGCAGGGCAGAAAACAGCTGCATGCCGCGGAAACTTGAGCCCAGCAAGTTGGTTAAAGGTCTCATTCCATCTCGGTTCTCGGGCCATGGAGGTTGCCTACCCACAATCACCACGTTTTCACCATTCCAACCCTAGAAACCGGGAAAAACACAGCATAAACATCACGTCGCCCTCCATAAGACAATCTCGAGCCTAACGTTACCTATCATTGTCCCCCTCGTTCAATTCTCACGTCTTTGGGCTTGTCCTTCGAGAAGTGACAAGCATGGCGAGAACTCTCTTCTATTCGTAATTATTAGTAATCCACGAAGATGCCTGATCCGGGCAACCCGCAAGCCTGCAACTTTGCTTAGCTCCCTCCGCCTTGCCTCGAAAAGGCTCATGGCGGTGCTGACGGGTTCACAGGCCCGTCTCACCACGCTTCAAGGTCGCGTGGCAGCCACACCGCCGAGGCCCCTCCCGTCCCTGTTTCCTCAGCAGCACTTGCGGATCCTGCCCACAATACGCTAATGTGAGGCATCAAGGGACCAGTCCGCACTTAGTGTCGGCGGTTCTACCAATCTCCGCAGCAGCCATCATGCAGGACTGACTTGCAGTCGGCACAAAACGGTTTCTGCGTTCCCCGCAGACGCCTGCGGCTGAGGAGGTGATATTGCCCGGTCCCTGTGAAGGCTGTGATGCTGTGAGCCTACGAAGACGTTGCTTCCCCAAGCTTCAGGGAAGCGACTTGTGCTGGAGCTCGAGCCAATCGATCGACCCTTTGATGCCCGCCGCCTCCCAGGTCCTTCCATGATTTGGGGCGCTTCCTCGCGAGTCCACCTGGGATCGCTACCCCCGGGATCGGGCCGAGACTCTTCCTGGAAAAAGGAACAGCTGGGTGAAAGCAAATGGTGCTCCGGTTTCTTTCCCCTCTCAATCCGTCCGGTTGCTCAGAAATTTCTACTAGTTATGTAGGGCCCGGCCTCTCAACGCGCTTGGACTCCGCTTTACACGACGTGTACCTCGTTTCCGGGACCGTCTTCTGCTTCGTGTTTTTGAAAAATCGCGATTTCATTTTTCCGATCATCATTGTAAAGGAAACCTGGAAGTCGGGTGTCAACCAACGTGGCCCAAGCCCCTCCGTATGTACACCTCCGCCGGGGTTACAAACCAGACAGACAAGGGGTGTGGGCAAGGGGTGATCAGGACAATAAATTCCTGCCGTTGCTGATTCTTCAACCCTGTTTATTGTAGGAGCCCTGGCTGGATCACTGTGGCCAAACCCCCTGCCCATACCCCTTGTCTGTCTGGTTTGTGACCCTGGTGGAAGTGTACCGAGCCACCTTGTCGGACGTTGGGAAAAAAGAACTCGAGAGAAAAGAGGGGGAAGGGAGGGAAACGTGCTTGTCCTGGGCATCATCGGCGGCCTGCCCCTCTGATTCCCCAACGTCGCCCCGTCGCTTCCACTCCGCCGGAATCGCCGCATTGCTGACCACCCCCTGCTCACCGGTCAATTTAGTCTTGCAGATTGAGCGGGTCCCGCGTGACTCGGAGCGTTCGGGTTCTGCAACCGACAATGCAGCTCCTCACCGGCGAGACCCTCGCCCTTCACAGATGCTCCCTCCCCGAGGTAATTCGTCTTCCGCAACGCCGGGCAAGGTGGTTCACCGGCCGCTTTGACGCTGGCGGTATGGCCTCACCCGTGCAAATCGGTGAGCATGGTCTGAGGTTAGCACTCCTATGAACAACCTCCCCAGCTTACCGAGAACACGTTGGTTTGAATCGCCCCCTTGCGTCACTTCCATCATGTTTGCTGACGGGGATCCCGAAACAATGTTTTCCATCCAGACGGAAACACGCCCAACCCACCTCTTTAATTCAATGGAGGAAAGCTTTTACATCAGCAGGGCACCCTCTCTTCAGGACGAATGAGGGGTAGCCGCCTCGAGCATACAAATGGGGCCTGGTGATGGTATGACGCGAGAAGCTTCGGGTAGGACTGAACTCCAGTTGTGGTTGCTTGGTCTTTAGACTTTGCCTGCCGTCTGAATCCACGCCGACAGCACCTTTGTCAAATCCACCCTCAATCTGCCATTTGAACTGAGCTCGACGCTCGGCTGCTCAGGGCCAGGCGCTATTTCCGTTCGCCGATGTGTTTGATGGGCTGCATCATCTCAATATCAGCCCTCTTCATCCCCAAGGTTAAAATTGCATCTGTTGAAGTATATGTCGTGTATTGGTGAACAAGAGCGATTCAGCAACCTTCTGCGGATAATCCTAGGTCAGGGCATACCGCCAGCAGCCACACCTTTGCCGAACCACTCTCTATGTCGTGGCATTTCCCAGTCACCCAAGAACGAGCACGTTGGAACTCATCGAAGGCTTCCGGGGTTCAAAAGGGTCACACTATGCTCCAGTTTGGCTAACACAAGAAGTCCACGGGGGTCACATTGCACTCAGGATCGGGCAAAGGAGTGAGATGATAGCTGAGGGATGGGATTCGCGTTGTCTTTAAGAGCATCGAAACAGGAGCTGGGTTCAACAAGTCAGGATGAAGCAACACAACGCGAGAAGCGCCAGTAACTATCTCCCATCTCGGGTTGTGTTTTGACATTATCATACAATCCACCGACATCCGTGACAGCCGAGCGGCCGGAAGGGTTGGTTGGAGGTGAGAACACCAGGGGATATGTGATGGATAACCGCCCAGAAAACCATCACGCCGGCCAGAACGGGCTTGATTTGCTGTTTCCTTCGTCACATAGGAAGCTTTGCCTTTTTTTGAGTTGGGGGCCCTGACGTACATTACTACCGAGTGTTGCTGTCAGGATCGGGCAAAATATGTCGAGCCTTTGCTCCGAGAAGCCCGGCGTTATATGCGAGCTTGATGGCAACTCAAACCCAACTGCAACCATCCTCGAAGGGTTTGGAGTAATCCCGGCCTGTGAATGTGAGCTGAGGTGGAGCGCTGCTACCAACTGCACTGCTCATCTCCGTTCGTCTTCGTTGGCGCTTGCCAAGTTTTGGAGGGCCACCGGCACTGCGACGGATCGTGCCGGTCCTCCTGCGGGACGGGTCAACGACAATATTGCGCACCGCCGAATATTCGCCAGGCAGCCGACTCCTGATACCATACACCTTCGTGATTTCTTCCTGCCCAAGCATCCCGCCTCCTATCTCCTGTCTAACATTGACGATGAGTCGCTGGCAACAAGAGAACCCCACAGCCAATCAGACATCATTAAATGTCTCTCGGTTGGGTCTGCTGGAGTCGTGCCTCTGTGACTTTCTTCAGTTTGCAACATACCCTCTCCATATCTCGCCCTGAATCCTCACAGGACACATCCCGCCCTCTCGTACCTTCCCCGGGGGTCGCAAGCTGCATACACCGGTCGAACCCCGGATGGCAGGCACGGGCGAGACCCCTCCTTTGCTGCCGCGGGCCGTGGGGGAAAGCGCGCCCGATCTAGCAAGGGCTGGATGGAAGTTGCGTCTGTCAAAAGCTCTCGACTTGACCGGCCAGTTGCAGCCCGGCGGCAGCAGTCCCCAGGTTAGCCTTGGGGTATCAGCGCCTTTTGCTCTAACCCGGCCGACTCGAGCAGAATTCTCGTTTCACCCGCCGTTGAGACCTATGCGTGTTCAAGAACTCGGCTCCCATTACCCGATCAGCCCCGAGTTTTTCAGCCCAGCCCATCCCAACCGAGCTCTCGGCCTTGCCGGTCATTAGCAGTAGCCTACGAAGGGAGCATAGCCGTGTCCGGAGATATTGCTCGCGTGGCCTGCATCTACGTCCGAGAAAGCCCACCCTTCTCCTGTCTAAGTCAAGAAGTTCTGGCCATGGACCTTACCTCGGCCGCCATTCACGACGTCATTCATCCCACGGCCGCCTTCAACCAAAATCGGACTCCCCACCAGCCTAGGTCCCCTTTGGAGGCGCCGTCTTGGAACGGTTCACAACTCAACCCAAAGAACCGCCTCGACAGCCTCGAACTCCCTCAACGAGCCTTGTTTAGGATCGACGGTTGCACCGGTCTAGGAACTCAATTCCATGCTGTCCCGCTCTTCCTCCCCGATTTGCCACCGATGTGGTTCGATGTGTTCCTCCCCAAGCAAGCCGTTGCGACCCCCGAGCTCTACGATCTGCTAGATATGCACATGGCCTTCCACACCAGGGACGCGTTGAGGGTTCGGCGGTTGGGCATATCAATCTATGTCGTGCGCGCTCTGCACTACTGGATTAGCGACCGTGGTTATGAAACATACTCTGCTCTCTTCGAAGCGCTACCCTTTGGTTCCCGTATCATATTCGACGTTCTTCACCTCGATGTCCGTCGGACGAAGATCTCGGTTGTACCCACGTACTACGTGGAAAGACAGCTGCTTGGGCTCTCCAGGCTGGATCGAGACCTCGATATTGCTCCCGAGTTACTCCCCGAGGCTGTTGACATCTCGCGCCTGAGCTTTGTCCAAAGGTTGCAAGACAGCGTCTGCCTTGTCCGCATGCGTGAAGCCGGACATGGTGGCACGCCTGGAAATCTATGGGTCTTCAAGGCGCTGACTAGCAGCACCAAGTACCTGTTCTTGGAGTTGCGCAACCTGCTACGCATGAAGCCACACCCGAACGTCATTTCGCGACCCGGCTATCTTATTACTAAGCGCTGTTTATTTGGAGGCAAGACGGCCGTGATCGGGTTTCTTCTCCCTTTTCACGAGCACGGCAGCGTCCGTGACCTCCTCCCACTGATGCGTATTCACGGTCAGCTGAAGCAAGAGCAACAGCTGCGGTGGGCTAGACAACTGACCTCGGCTGTACTGCATGTCCATACGCACGGTAAAATGTTTTACCCAGACCTTCGACTCGACAACATTCTCTTCTCCGCCTCCCAGAGCATCATCATGGTGGATTTTGAGCAACGCGGGGTATGGTGCGAATTTGCTAGTCCGGAGGTCAACGCAATAGAATACATGCGCATCCTAGCTAGTGACCCAGCAGACGAGACGGCCGGCGCCATTCCAGAGAACGTTCGCGGCCACTTCGCCGCAATCGTGAATCGCCTTCTTCCGGATTGGGGCACCCTGCAGTCCCGCGAAGACTACGCAACCCCTCGGCCAAATGGATACTCCAACTACAACATTCCATGGCTTGCTCTGGACGCCACTGAACAGGAGGCTTCCATGGTGTATATGCTGGGTCGGGTCTTGTGGTGTATTTTCGAAGGCCAAAGCGCGCCGGAGAACGCCACTGTCTGGCAATCGTATCGGTATGAGCCAGACGTTGAATTTCCAACCTTTCACTCAACGCCGCCCGAACTTCGGAGTCTTATCGACCAGTGTACAAGAGGTAGGAGGGTTGCATTGTCTAGCCTGATCATAAGAGAGGGTAGTCGGCTTGTCCTCCGGGACAAAAAAGGGGGCAGTGCTGCTGAGGTTACCGACACGGCCCGTGCATGGTGGCAAGCAGAGGTCAAAGCTGCCGAGGATTTTATCAAGCTACGAGAAGAATCTAAGAAGGATGGGAGCTGGGACAGTAACTACTTTGGGCGGCCTAGGTTAGCTGACGTTCTGAACGAGCTGGAGCGGCTAAGTAAGAGCTAATGTGGCGGCGGTGATGTGATGTTGCAGTTGGGCGTTCAGCGCTAGATGATATTTTGAGGGTATGGGATACCTAATTTTGAGGCCATTTTCCTCAAGAGCCGCGTCGTTGCTATCAAACACGCTCAACTTTGTACGTCAGCTAATCGAAGGTGGGTGTCGGCACAAGGGGGAAATTCGGATCCGGCAGTGTCAGAAAAATGGTCCACTATACGCTTCATAATGTTGATGTGACCGGTAACGTGGTAAATATACGCACTCTATCTAAAGGTCGACAGATATTGCGTTTGGGCTATTGCGCGTCAAACTCTGAAAGCCCCTTCCCCCCCAGCCCCTAGGCCACACACGCATTTAGCACGTTAGCCTAACCACTCACTCTCCTCACCCTCGTTGTCCTCCACCTGATTTACTCCACTGTCGCCAGCCAACAGAGCCCTCTTCGCATTCCTCACTTCCCAATGAAATTCCCGCAGAGCGTTAAGCTCGCTGCGGAAGAAGAGCAGTGCCATCAGCCCCTCCACAGTGCCAGCCACCAAGCCCAGCGTGCTGACCAGCACTAGGATGAAGGATATGTAGTTCCTACCCGATGGTACGAACCACACGCCGACGAGGCAGGCGACGCTAGCGAACAAGGCGAAGAAGAAGCGGCGTGCTCGCCAGGTCAGTTGGCTCTGTTCGCGTGAAGCGTAGGTTTGGATGATGGCAAGGATGGTATCGTAGGTGGTTGGGGGGAGGCTCGCGTAGTTGTGGCTATTATGCTTATGTCGGAGGAAAAAGGCTAGCTGGGCCCGCGAAGAGGAGTCGGGCTCATGATTGAGGCTGGGGGGGGGCGATTGAAGTTGGAGGTAAGCGCCGTTGCGCAGAGTAGAGTCAGCGCCGGCGGTTTCGGCTGACCCTAGAGTGGGCTCAGGTAGTGGTCGGGGGAGGGTATCGGTTGCGGCGGGTGTGGTTGGGCCGTTGGAGAGGTGATCAACGTTCGGTCCTGTCGACAAGGCTGGTGATGGAGATTGGTCCTCCGGCAGTGGGTGGAAGGTTAGGGTCGCTTCGATGGAGAAGTGATCACTAAGGGAGCAGCCGAGTTCGGGATGCCGCATCATCATGCCCACGTTCACGTTCTTGACCACCCAAGCACCCCCAAGCGCCTGTATGTCTCCGGAGCTAGCAAAGATGTAATCTAGTTTTTTACCGAGGCGATCTAGGCAAGTCAGTAGCAGGATTAACTAAGGGACACATACGAATTGCTGTCAGGACATCATTCATACCAGGAGTATCAGGAGACACCGTAGTCGGGTGTTTCCCAGGTCCGAGCATTTTCTGCTGGGATTTCGTCCATCGCCATGTATTGTACGGACCGTCAGAGGAGGCTCCATTCTCTTGGATATTGAATTCAGCGGTGGGAACGGGGCGGCCGCGAGCTTTCTCAGCCGGGTGGTGGGCGGGACCCAGAGAACTGTCGGGGTGCATGACCCGCCAAACATCGCGAACCGGGGCCAGGCTTGTGATGAGTTGGTGCTCAGGTGACAGCGGGATCATGTTGAAATCGCCCATTGCAAGGGTTAAATGGCCGCGTTCAGTGGCCCCGCGGAGCAGCTTGGCCATCTCCCACGATTGTGCAGTACGGTGGCAGAGATACGAGTCGTTTGGTTTGCCACCCTCGTAAGGCGCGTGGGTGTGGGTGTTGAAGACCTCAATGACCTGTTTCGCAGCCGGGCCATAACGGATTTTTGCGTGTGCGATACCTTTGCCAACATACCAATCGCCACGCCAAAAGGCGGTCGGACGGCCGTTCAAGGGGTAGAGATACATAGTACTCCCCTCAATGGGCCAACGCGAAAGGATGGCCAATCCCCCGCCGAAGGCCGCACTGTGGTAGAATTTGCCATATGGGAGAACGAAGCGGGTTTGGCGGCGGATGTTCTTGTAGTCTTCTTGGGTAAAACACTCTTGCAGAGCGACAATATGAGGCTGTGGGCTGGCTATGGACAGCTGGCGACCGATTTCTGTGATCCGTTCTCGACGGAGCTTGGAGATGTACTTGAGACCCCAGCAGTTGAGCGTGATGAGGCGGAGATCATCCGGCAGGTCCTGCATTTCTGGCCACTACGTGATGTGTGAGTTGTGATAGGACTAACTAAGTTCAAGAATTCGGAGCGTAAAGGCAGCAACAACCTAGTCCTACGGTCTTATCTACCAACACCGAATTGCGCTTACGACGGGTTTGACGCGCAGGGTTTCGAAACGAAGTTCACCCGTGCTTGGAAGAGGAATTCGGCTCGATCATGAAATAATTAACGTTCAATTTAAGTGAAGTACATTTGATAATGTCCTGTAAGGCGCGGAAAAGGAAACAAAGGGCTGGTCAATGAAGTATGAGGCGCTGGACTAGTTCTTCGAGTTATTTTCGAGAGAAGGATGCTTACTGCACAGGAGCAAACACCGGACATCCAGGGGTAACTACCCAGTTATGGAGTTTACTACCAATGTAACTACGGAGTACTGTGTCGGTAACTATCTGTCAAGACCGTGGGATTTGAAGATCAGGAGCCGGGCGTGCCGCGTTGGCCCGTGCAGCAAGCTGCAGGGGGAAGCCCCACTAAAATTAATGTTCCTTGCGGCGCGTTGCCGCGTCGAGAGTGCGCCATTGGAACTTGCCGCGATGTTTTCAAAACCATCCATCCCAACCCCCGCTAACGACCGTGGTTCAAATCTAAAGAACCGGGTGCGGTCACCGTTATCAATGTGCGAACATCACGGAGTGCACTAAGACTCGGCGCAATATCAGGGATGCCTGCTTCAGAACCACCATCGAAGCGGCGGAGGGTGCACGATCAGAGCCTCAATTCCACACCTCGGGACAGCTCATCCGAAGAGGCTGTTCCCGGCTCCCCGCCCGAAACAACCCGCCTTACCGACCAAAATATCTCTATCCGACGGGGCCCTCCGAGTAGCCCGCTACTGAGTGAGAACAAGCACCAAAGCCCAAACCCAAATCCCGGCGATCACAGGAGACGGTACCGTTCTTCGGAATCGACTTCTCGGTCAAGATCTCGTTCCCAGTCCAGTGCTCGATCCCGATCACGTTCAATCCTGCGCTCCCGCTCTCGCAGTGCCCCATACTCCCATTCACGCTCGCGCTCTGGATCTCGGAGCCGCAGCGCTTCTCACCCTCGAAGCAGAAGTCCGGACTTGTCTTCGTCCACCACCCCTCACCCCACGAGCCACGCCGAACCCGACCACCACCACCACCACCGACGTGGCAAACTACCCCTACTTCCCAACTACCGCTCACACCTTCTCCTACAAGGCCACACCGCCGCTATATCGCAAGTGCGGATCTCGCCTGACGGCCGCTGGATCGCGTCGGCCTCCGCCGACGGCACTGCTAAAATATGGGACGCTTCTACTGGGGTACACTTGGAAACACTCGTCGGTCACATGGCTGGCGTTTCATGTCTTGCCTGGGCGCCGGACAGCGACACTCTGGCCACGGGATCTGACGATAAAGCTATCCGGCTTTGGGATCGGGTAACGGGAAGTCCCGCACACGACGTCGCGCACCGGGATAATTCGAGCGAAGGGATGGGAAGTGTGGTGATGAAGGGTGTGGCAATGAGGGCGGCAGCGCGGCGGGCGCGGATCGGCGTTCCTGGCGAGGGGGTGAGAGGCGGGAGAACCGGCCGGGGTCCGTTACTGGGCCACCACAATTATGTGTACTCTCTCGCGTTCTCGCCCAAGGGAAATATCTTGGTGAGCGGGAGCTACGATGAGGCAGTTTTCCTGTGGGACGTGCGGGCAGGCCGGTTGATGCGCAGTCTGCCAGCGCATAGCGACCCAGTCAGCGGAGTGGGCTTCTGCAGGGATGGAACCTTGGTGGTGAGTTGTTCCACCGATGGGTTGATGTAAGTGTCTCAGATTTCCCACACCTCATCGTCTCTTTGGATCTAACTGTGGGCGACTCGTCTTAGCCGTGTCTGGGACACCTCCACCGGCCAGTGCCTACGCACCCTTGTCCACGAAGACAATCCCGCCGTCGCCAATGTTTGCTTCAGCCCCAACGGCCGATTCGTACTCGCTTTCAGCCTCGACAGCTCTATACGGTTATGGGACTACGTTTCGGGTTCCGTCAAGAAGACATATCAAGGCCACACAAACAAGGGGTTTTCGATCGGTGGGTGCTTTGGACTACTCACAGATGAAGATGATGGGATGAGAGAGGAATTACCGGACGAGGAAATAGGCTCTCGACAACGACCTTTTATAGCTTCGGCTAGCGAGGAGGGTGATATAGTTATGTGGGACGTCAAAAGCAAGGAGGTGATACAACGAATCAAGGGCGTACACCAAGGAGTCTGTTTCTGTGTTGATATTCACGGGACGACCATGGTAAGCGCAGGCCAAGACGGATTGATAAAACTGTTTAAGCACCGGCCTAGAAACGACCATCCTAAGCGAGAGGATAGTGAAGCGAACGCGATGGGCGACACCGACGCACGCCTGGGGGATGCTCCAGATCCTACGACCGCAGATGAGGAGTTGCAACGGCAGGTGGAGGCCGAGGCGGAGTCACCAGGACAGCGTGTCAAGGAGGAGCAGGTGTGAACTTCAAAGCCAATTATGGCGCGTGTTAGGCACTTATAGCCCGCATTCGCGGTCATGTAATCACATGAACTTTCTTGACCAGTCGACCTGTACCCTGGGACCCCGCGGGTGCCAGATAGGAGGCACCGGTCGTCGTCCAGCCCCCCCCCCCTCCTTCCCCTTCGTAATTCTCCGGCAAGTTCGCTCTCCTTCCTGGGGATGAATGTGACGCTAGCTCGGATAGAGCTCAGTACATGTAGATGTAGCCCCTTAGCCTAGCGGGTAGATGATGCACAAGGCAGGCATTATCGGTGCTAACCGTCGTCTTGTTATCATGGCAATGCTTCACCCAAGACTGCTTTGCGACTGTAGTGCATCCACCGCGTCCACGTCCAGTTCTTCTTGGACCTCTAACACGAGAGCGAGGCTTTCGAGAAATGAGTTAACAGCAACGCGGAGCATACGGTTGGTAGTAGCTTGGTATTCGATGCGGAGGACGGTCGGGCTCCCGGAGTCGCCGGCATCGACGGTTTTCAAGTCGCGCTTCACTAAGGAGGAGAGCTCTTTATCAACTCGGAGCGCTTGGTGTGCGACGGAGGCGAGCCGTGCGTCCGGAAAGGGGACATCAAGGGTACTATGATGCGCGGCGAATTAGTGGGGCATAAATGGAAGGGTGGTCCGCAACAGGATGCTCGAACCCCGCGACGCCCATTAGACATACAGCAGGCAAGGAAACTCATCTTGTCCTTTGGATGTCATGATCGCGTCGGGCTCCGCAAGTCTTGGATGAGCTTCTTGATGATGACGGTGAAATTCAACTGGATCCTCCAGAGCAATGGTGGGGCTTCCATCGTAAGGTCGCTGCGAAGCGATAAGATAACGTCAAAAAGAGCGGCGACAAGCCCCGAGTGCCCCGGTCCCAACAGACCCGCACCCGCTGTGCCTGGTCTTCACAGCGTTGCCATGGCGACCAGGTCCCAGGCATGGGGTGTCTCGCGCTGATTGGCCTCCAGGTCCGAACTGAGCAAGGCCCCTGGACGTAGGGCCAAAACAATGCAACGGCCAAAAACACCACTTCGCACCCTGCCACCAATACAAAACCTCGCCCTCACGCTGCGCTCACCTACATCTCCTCCTTCCCAATTGCATCTATCATTGACGCAGCTTGCCGGTGTCGCAAATTATTTCTTCGAGGCTTCCTACACCGGCGTTGTTGGCGAGACGCATTGTGTTTCTGTGTTGACAGCGCGCTCCCGTCTTCCACATCCACCAGCCTTCCCCCCGAGGCTCCTTCCCACTCATTATTTTGCTCACTGGCAGACAGCCCCGCAACAAACGAGCCGAACCCCGATTTTGTGATCGGCCGACGTTCTGAGAACCTCGACAACTAAGAAACTGGGCGCGTTAGAACCTATCGATCCTCCCCTCGGCGCGTGGTAGCAGTTCCCTGGCCCGAGCCGCCGGCAGTCATGGCCCCTTCTTCAAGGCAGTCCAGAAATCTGGGACAGATTATTGAATACATTCCAGGTACGGCCCCAGATGATTTAACCGAGGCCCCCGCGCGTTCTTGTGCAACATTTCTACCCTCCTTGCCTGGCAATATTCAAAGCAGTTGCATGTATATTGAAAATGCATCGTTCTTTAACCCAACCGGCGACCGTTCTAACCGTTGTAGATCGTCTCTATCTTGCGTCTTACGTCGAGACTCCGGATGCCAACACGGTCTTCCCGTACCCCGACCCACCTCCACGATCGCCGAGCAAGAGGTCGCAACGCTCGCTCGAATCCCCCGCCCCAACACCGCAGCATAAACAGCCCTTCTACTTCACCGTTGATGATACCCTCCTTTACAATGCGTTTCACCACGACTTCGGTCCGCTCCACATCGGCCACCTCTACCGCTTTGCGCTGCAGTTCCACGAGATTTTGGGCGCGAAGGAGAACAAGGACAGGCCAATTGTGTTTTGGAGCATGGCTGACCCACGCAGTAAGTTTTTTTACCCCTGAGGACAAGGTCAACGACAACAGTTGGATGCGCTCAACTAACAGCAATGTGTAGGCCGCGCCAATGCGTCGTGCTTGCTCGCATGCTACATGGTCCTCATCCAGTCGTGGCCACCACACCTAGCCTTGGCGCCCGTTGCGCAGGTTGATCCACCGCTGATGCCTTTCAGGGATGCCGGATATAGTCAGGCCGATTACGGAATCACCGTCCAAGACGTCGTATATGGTGTCTGGAAGGCAAAGGAGGAGGGCTGCTGCGTTTTGGAGTCCTTTGACCTCGATGAGTATGAGCGCTTCGAGCGCGTTGAGCAGGGTGACTTCAACTGGATCACACCTCACTTTCTCGCCTTTGCCTCTCCCCAGAGCAACCCCTCTGCCCGCACCATTGAGGGCACCGACGATTGGATGGCGTTACCTAAGACGTTGGACGCCGTCGCAACTCACCCAACACTAGCGCAGCCATTCAAGAATGTGTTGGAACATTTCACGGAGAGGAACATTGGTCTGGTGGTGCGCCTGAACTCGGTGCTTTACGATTCCTCCTTCTTTGAGGCCCTCGGTATTCAACACATCGACATGATCTTCGAGGACGGCACCTGCCCTCCCCTTTCAATGGTGCGCAAGTTCATCCGGATGGCGCACGATATGATCACTGTCAAGAAGAAGGGAATCGCGGTGCACTGCAAGGCCGGCCTCGGCCGGACCGGCTGCCTCATTGGCGCCTACTTGATCTACCGGCACGGATTCACCGCCAACGAGATTATCTCCTACATGCGCTTCATGCGCCCCGGGATGGTGGTTGGTCCCCAGCAACATTGGCTTCATCTGAACCAAGGCACCTTTCGCGAGTGGTGGGTTGAGGAACGCCTGGAGCGGAAACTCCGGAAGGAAGCAGCGCTGGCCGCCGCGGCTGCCCAGGCCAACGGCAACCAGCCGAGCACTCCTATCCGTGCCGTCCAGAAAACACATCTTGGTCGCAGCGCCAGCAAGAATGGCACTTCTACCCCGCCCAATAGGACCCGCGTTCGTACGCCTCTCGGAGAGATTGATCAAGATCACGGTCGTGACAAAAACATCGGTGTGCAGGAGGACTACCTCCCCGCTCCAACACCAGGGCAGCCGCGAAAGGCCCAACGTAATGGCAGCGATCGCCATCATCCATATGGCCGCTCTACGAGCGCAGTGCCAACCGTGGAGGAAGAAGCTGTCGCGCAAGACGCTCAGGCGGGAATCGCTTCGGCTTCGAAACGTCGGTCTCACGCAAATGAGTCGGACGAGGAATGGAATCTGCGTATGCGCTCCCACCGCAAGGCGTCAGCTTCGCTTTCCCCCGACCGCCGCGAGCGCTCGGTTAGCCATCACACAACTACGACGACCACCACAGTGTATCAAGTTATCGACAATGACGCATCTAACGACATCGAGAACATCAGCATGGCCGCAGCCAAGCCTAAGTCGTACGACCAAACCCAGCGCGCCAGCTCCGCGTCAGGCGTTCTCGCCAAAGTCCGTGGCGGCAGCAGTTCCCCCAAAAGGGCTGCCGCCGGCGCTGGCGTACGGGAGGCTGGTGTCCGCAAAACAAGCGGCCGGGTCGGGAGCATTGGGTCTGTGTCACCTGTAACCGCGGCGACACGCAAGATCAGCGGGACGCACTAGGCGACGCAGTCCCTCCCCGGACACTGTCGATGTTCACGAGTCACGACGATATGATGGTCTACTACACTTCTCTCTCACTAGTTAATGACATCAGCCAGTGCCGTCTTGCTAGGTTACTTTGTTTCCTTTTCAAACAGAGCCTTCGGTTACTGCAATCCTCGGCGTTACATTGTGGCGGATAGCCAAACAATGGGGTTTGGGGAAAAGCAAGCGTTCATGATGCCGACCTCCTCTTTATACACATCTTATTCCTTGCGGTGTTTACCTGACCTATCCCGTTTTGGCTCTCGACCCCAAGCGGTGATTCGCAGTGCGGTCGATTAGTGCTGGTTGCGGGAAGCAGGACAGCAACAGCCCAACAGGGATTGATGGAACAAGGAGGGGAAGGAAGCTTTGGGGTTTACTTATTTGGGCTGGGGTAATTGCTGGCGTTCATGGGTGGGTGTGTCTATGGTCGAGGATGTGGCTACCGAAGGGGATGGAAGGGTTTTCATTTTGGAGATGCCTCCTTATTCTGACGGGGCTTCGTTTGGCTTCAGTACCCATTGTTGCATTTTTTCGATGTTTAGTCTTTGTGTTGAGGATACAGTATAGCATTTGGGTTTAGCTTTGTCTCTTGGGATGCAGCAATACCAAAGTATGAGGTCATGAACAATATCTGCGTCCTTTCCATGTGACAATAAGACCAAACAGAGACCAACCCGAGAATTTGCAAAAAAAAAAAATTACGATATCTAGGCATGAGGGGAAGTAGACCTGGCGGATGTACCTTTGATTCAAGTTCTTACTGTGTGATGCCTGGCGTAAGGATTTCCTCGATCGTGGTCGAATAATAAACGCGATTCTCAAAACGGAAATGGAAGCGACCCTCACTCTTGCCCAGCGGACACAACGAGCTTCAGGGGAAGTTGAAGGCATGCTTTGGTAGCGCCGTGCTTTGTAATTAACTGCGTGTTTTTTGGAGAAAACGCTAGGCGTCAAATGACAAATAGGAACGCCATAGTTGTGTACTTCGTATGAGTTGCGGAGAAAATCATTTTCTATACAGTACCTCATAAACACGGTAGCTATATTCCTGAGGTGTTACAATCATATTTCCCTATTGCACACAGGTTTCTGTCTGGCCGAGATTTCTTTCCTGCTTTCTTTATTCTTTTCTCTCTATCTCTCTTTCCTTTATTTCCTGCTCATCTTTTTTTGGTCGACTGGGTTGTCGTACTACTCCCTTGCTTACCTATCTGCGCAAGGCACGGCTGAGAATCATAGGAGTCGTGCAACAGTAAAACTCGGCCTCTAAGGCGTCGATTGCTCAGCCTAGTCGCACGAGTGTTGGGGAGGTTCCGGGGTCGAGAAAGTCAAGTCTGTTGCTCATGCAGTTCGCATACACATTGACGAGCTCAGTGCTTTGCCATCTTTCGGCCTGAAATTGACTCGACCGGCCCAAAATGCGGGATCCCATGGATGCTGTATATGCATGTACATACATACCCCCACCTACCCGGCCCCAGATCCGGCCCCAGATCCGGCCAACACGGAGCCGAGCCACCCCAATAGCGGGAAATCATGTGAGGCCACTTGAGTGGCTCGATGAACGATCTGTGGATCATCGTTCGGGGTGGGTAACATTTACTTCGACCGTTGGAAGTTACCCCCAAGCAAGTCATCCACGGTCGTTACGGATACTTGGCTAGAATTCAAGAAAGCTTTTAGGGCCGTCAAGAGAGCGAGCTGTTAAGGACTACTTGGGTTTGGTTGCATCTAACAAGAACCCTCTGAAATCGGGCAGGCTTCGGAACTACCTACCTATGGAGATCGGGCAAAAACCGGCTCGGTCAACCGCCCAGGTAATGTACTACTTGGGTAGTGGGGGCGGGCCATATGGTGCGTCCCATTATTTTTCACTCGTTGCCCGTCAGAGGCGTTGGCCGCACATCCCAAGGACGAGATGGGATTTTTATGTGGTGCAGTACCTGTCCGGCCCCCTGGTTACATCCATGACATTGGCAGCACTGATCATACTGGAGGAAAATAGGAAATCTTTTCGCCAAGTGACGAGATAGGGGGAAAGAAAGGGGTTCGGAGTAGAGCACCTTCGGGCCCAGCCTTGGGGCTATCTAGTTATTGGCTACCGGTGTGTTTCCCTGCGATACTCATGTGGGTTACACCTTTCTTGCGGCATGGTCCTTCGCTCCCTATGGAAAGGGGGACGGGAGAGGCGATTCCTTACGCTTACTGTATGGGCAACTTCCTAGCACTAGTACGAGGTTTCGAAAGACCTTCACAGGTCACCGAAGTTGATGGGGGGTTGGCTAAGAATTGTGTGACTGGTTGCCAACCTTGCCGCGATAAGCGACGGTGACACAAGCCGCCGACGATCCACCTCCTGAAAAATGAACGGGCATTGGTTAAAGACCGACTGTGGTATTCTCAATCCATCGAGTTTGGCCGAGGCAACACGAGTCTGTCCCTTTTTTGTGCTGTCGAGAAGTGCACTTGATTCCGGTACCGCCCAGCAGGACGGAGGGTCTGAATGGACCGGTGAGAGATGCTTCTCGACTTCTGTTAGGATGAAAGTGGTCGGTGGTCCCGTTGGTAAACGTCTGAATAAGGCGGCGAAGCATTTGGGACGATGGTCTGCAATGATGAGCGGCCCGTTCTGCGGCCGGGTTGGGAGGGAGAGGGTGCGAGGTGGCACTGTATAAAGTCACAACCGTGTGAGAAAAGATGAAATCGTGAAAATCGTCGGGATGGGGGGCCGGGCCGCGGAAGAAGCGGCCATATGTAACTAAGCCTTCTGTATCTGAGGGTTAAATCGCGAGGCGGCCCAAGGCTTACGCCCCCTTTGCTGATTGATGGCAAGGCGGAGCAGAGCTGAGGCTGCGGGAGGGAATGATGAGGTCGTCCCAAGTCGCGGATACCAACAGGAGGAAATGACAGGGCTGAGGGTCACAAAAGCTCGGAGGGCCAATTAAAAAAAACTGGTACTGCGTGGCTCAGCAGCTGCACGGACCACTTGGCCTCGATTATAGGCCTGGCTGTGTGGCCTTGTCCTAAAAAGGTAAGCAAGAATTGAAGAGAGAAGGGGCCGCCCGACCTCGATCAACTGCCGAGCGGGACTTCTTGTTTTTTTCTCTCCATCGCGAACCAACATCGGCCAACGATAGGAATTCGTGACGTGCGCTCCTCCGGTACCATTCACATGCCTGGTACAAGAAAGTGGCATTTGTGCCCCGGCTCCCTGGCCTTTTCTCCTTTTGCTCTCTCCCCCGCGCTAGATGCATTACCTATGCATGGGCTTCGCCCAGCGAGGAGGTGGTTCCCGACCGACTTTGCAGCCCAACATCGAGTTGTATCCTGTTTGTTTTGTCAGTTGTGAATTGATTAGGTGGCTCGGCAGGTGGGGGGGTGAGGCCCCTTGAAGGAGAGTGCCGTCGGGGTGAGATTGCCATCTACCCATGTGCCGCTCTCGGGCTCTCTATACACCGCAGGCTCATCGTTCACTCAAGTCACGATCTATGACCCGCGATTTCTCATGTACCATCTTTCCCCCTGCGTCACCCCCTATCCATTTTAAGGCCCCAGCCGTGGGCTGCCTACTACCCGCCCTACCGCCGTCATCTTCCCCTTCGCATCTGGGCGGGCATGCATGCAAGTTGCTGCATGAATAGGGGCACAAGCCCAAGATACTCGGCGGTTCATGGCAGCCGTTGGCCAGAAAGATGGCCCCCCCACGGCTCGTAGCCTCCCCGGAATGCCCCAGCCGAGTGACCGGGCCATCCCTGAGGATACCGTCTGTGATTCCCAAACCTACCGTGACTACCAACAGCATCAAACCGCGCCCGTGGACAGTCTCCGCTTAGCCCCGTTGGGCCGGACATGGTCGCGGGGCACATTCCGGATTGACCTACTTGCCTACCTAAGGTAGCCTGCCTGGCTCACCGCAGGAGTCATATAAGATACCATTCACACAAACTTTAGCCCAGCTCAATGAGTTGGCCCGGGTACCACCATTTTCCACCCGTTTTTCGATCTGAAACTCGTTCGATCAGCCATTTTCGTTCTCACACTCACCCTTGTGGGATCCATGTCATTGTCTCCGGCCACCCGGATGAGCGGACTATCCCTGGCGTGTAACTCATCCGCATCTGAAGACCACCCCCAAGTGCGGCCCACGGCTCGAGAGTCCCCCATGCCGGATTCGCAACACTCGTTGGAGGGGAGCGACTGGGAGGTCGAGGGCGAGGAAGAGGAACCAGAGACAAACACCGTATTGTCGCCGACGGGTTTGAAGTACAACACATCTAAGCTCTCCCCAAAAGCCCGACACGTTGTGGAGGGGCTGTTTAACCAAACCGGCTCCAAAGATCCGCCTCAAATATCGCTCGAGTTGTGCGGAGTCAGAGAGGAGGATTCGGATTCAGAGGACGCCGGGGTATTCTATGCCTTCCAGATGCACGAGGTTGTTCCGTGCTCTGTTCGGATCGGGTCGAGAAACAGCGGAAGGTTTTCGGTACCCAAATGCGAGTGCCCCGATGCGAGATATCGACAAGTGAGCCCTTGCAAACACCTGGTCTGGCTCTTTGACAGGATCTCAAAACAAGCTCTCTTCGACCATGACCCCAACTCAGAGCTTACCCTGACGGAGGCTGGCTATGCCGAAGAACTTGGCGACCCCTTTGACCAAATATCCCAGATCGGTCTCGATATTCTCGCCCACGATCTCCGTTGCGATGCCTCGGAGCCCGACAGTGACGCTCCGCAACCCAACGCTACACGTTTTAGAGAGGCTCGGGAAATTGTTGCTGCAGTTGCTGGTGTTCAGGACAATGAACTCGCTGAGTATCGGCCAGACTTGGAAGTCAAGTACGACCGTGAAGTACTGATACACCGTGGCGATGTTGGGGCCACGCTGTTCTCTCTCATTCTGGCTTCGCACTCGCTCGCAGAGTGGGTGCGCTCTGAGCTTGACCTATCCGACTTCCCTCTCGACCCCTTCCGAAGCATTCAACACCGAGTCATGCGTGTCATCGAGCGATTGAACACTTACCTGAGAATCGAGGGGGGCCGCAGCAATTTCCCCAAAACGCGAAGGGCGCGAGCCGAAGGTCCCCGAGACGTGAGCTGGGCTTGCTGCCAAATTCAGCGCAGTCTGGGAAAGATTGAAAAGCTCGTGTCCCGCGGCTCGAGTCCGCTTTCTAGCTGGGCACGAGCCTCGGCTGCCAGGGCTCTTGTTTCCATTCTCAAAGCAGTAGTCGAACACCGTCTTCTATACGACCGCTTGGTGGGGAATCAAGACTGTGGCTTTGTCTTCTCGTCGCTCGACATGCTTGCGGACCAAAGCCAGTTCATCGATGCTCTCGAAGAGATCATGGACAAAATTGGTGTACTGGGCGCTCCGCCTTCCTACGTGACGAACATGCGCCACCTAATATTGCGCATGCGCAGCCACAAGACCGAAGATGTGCCCTTCGCCGGTGGGAGCGGTACCCAACGAAGCGAGACACCGGTGCCGGACGAGCCATCACCGGGAGCAGTTCAACCGCCCGCGCCCGGCCGATCTACCAGTGTGCGATTTCTCACTCCCGAAATGCCCGCCAGTGTCATGGGCCGTGGTGGTCGGGGGAAAGCCGGTCGCGGCAGGGGAAGCACCAGAGGGGCAAAACGCTCCGTCTCCGAGGCCGGCCCGTCGGACAGTTCGGGTGGCACGAAAAAGAAAGCCCGCGAGTCATGAATCGTGCGCCCTTCGGAGATACCCTGAATCTTAACTTACCATTACAAAATGTCTATTCGTGCTGGGCGCCGCATGATCAGAAGCTGGCCTATCTGAGCATGACATGACCACCGGTTTGACTCGAAGGAGGAAGGAATAGAAATTGGGTACGACACGTACACACCCACCCTGTGGTCGACCCAGTAACGCAGGATAGGCGTTCTCGGAGGGTAATTTTGGGATCCCGCTATGATTCAGGTCAGGTAATGAGACAAAGGAGAGTTGCTTGGAGTGGTGGCTGGATAAACGTCTATATGTATTTTAGAAAAGCCGGCTAGTTGATCTACCGAATGCAATAGACTGATATTTACATCCATCCAGTCGTGACTATCCCCTTGCCGGCACCTGGTCATGATCAACGAGAACCATTGGTGCCTCGTTGTTGTACTTATTCTGTTTAGCCATCGAACATCTACTAAGTTACAGCAAAAACACGGCCTAGAACCATTGAAATCCTGTTTAAAGGCTCAAGTGTGATGTTGGGATGACCATCCCTGAACCACTTCATCAATGCTCACTTCCTCATCGCACGCATGGAACGTTATGGTGAATAATATCAAATGTAGCATCCGACATGATACTGTATCCTCTCTTCACGTAGCTGTACTAGGGTATTTCCAAAAAGAAAAATAGAAAAAAGAAAAGCCGAACAAAACTAACAGCCAAGCTAGACAAGCCCCTTCCCCTTCCAAAAAACAAAACCCGCCCGATCCACGATTAAGAACCCATATGTGACGTTGTATATCCATTTGCCTAAAAATGGCACTGCCCTAGTTACCCATTTCGCTTTCTCGCTGAAATAATTGAAACGACAATAACCCATCATCCATCTACACCCTCGTCTCACTACTTAACGCACAGATGTGGGCAGGTCTATGCCTTCTCCGCTGCTGGACCCAGCCTTGATAGGGCCCGCATCATCAGTGTCGGCTGTGTGATGTTGTTTGCCAATGCCGTCATCAATGCCAACCTCTCCACGCGCCTCCACGTTGGCGATGGCGCTTTGCATCGCACTAGTCAGATCGACATGGAACAGCGGCCGGTTGATGCCGTGCACGGCCACGGTCCGGCCTGTGTTTAACGCGGGTGTAGGCGTGACAGCAGGCGCAGAGCTAGCGGTCGTCGCGCCGGCTGGCTCGGTGACAGTTTCGTCGTCTTCGGCTTTTGTGGGTAACGCGGCCTCGAGATCCGGCCCGTGGCGGCTGTGCGAGGTGCGGACGGACCGGCGCCGGTAGTTGGACTCGAGCTGCTTCTCGTTGTCCACAAACTCGGCCGCGGCCGCGGCGCTTTGCGTTCCGCCGATCTCAGCCACGCTGAAGATGCTCTTCCACCGGAGATGGGGCAGGTCGGGCCGCTTGGTCGGGTATCCGAAGCCAGCGGCGGCGAGGGCGCGCTTGGCCCAGCGGTTGGTAATGTAGGCGATGTGCCAGTCGACCGTGTCTGGGGCGGCGTAGCGGTCGAGCTGGTTGCGCACGTCGATGAGTTGTTGCACCGAGGTGATGTCGACGTGGTTGACGGAGCTGAAGTCGAGGATGATGGCCTTGAGCGTGGGGAGGTTGCGGTCCACGTCGAGGGCGTTGGCGTCGGTTCCGGCTTTAGCCGCGGCCTTGAGCTTGCGTGGGGACGGTCCGGGGTCGTTCCAGGGGCGGTCGCCCGGCCGGTCGTAGGTCGCCAGGCTGGTACGGCGCGTGTTGGCGAAAATGTAATCGGTCATGTATCCCAGGCTATGGCTGGCATTGGTATAATTGAAGCCCTCGGCAAAGCGGTAGATGAAGATACCCGGGTACGGGTTGTCGAGTGCTACCTCCGGGTTGGAGCCGTCGGCGTGGGTGATGGGCAGGAACACATTGCGGAAGGGTGCGTCGGCCGAACCGGTGAAGGTGCCGTACTCGGCGCCGTACTTGGAGTCATCGCCTCCGACAAAATGGTCACCGAGCATGGATGCTACCCGGACGCGGCCCAGGAACCGCCCTCTCGCCCTGAGAATGCGGTAGAGGAGCATCGCGGCCGACAGGCAGACAGTGCAGTAGATGCCGTTCTCGATAGTCGAAAAGATGGTGACGAGGACGCCGACGAAGAAAATGAAGACCTCCAACGGGGAAACTAGCCAGAACTGGTAAACGGTGTTGGGTGGGGTGATCAAGTCACCGACAGCATGAATGATAACAGCGGATAGCGAGGCGCTCGGGATGTAGTAGAACACGGCTGGGAGGGCGTAGATGGCGAGAAGGACGACGACGGCGGTGATGACACCGGCGAAAGGGGTGCGGACGCCAGCCTTTGACTTGATGGCCGTACGGCTGAAAGAACCGGTGGCAGCGTATCCGCCGAGGAAGGGTCCTAGCATGTTGGTGACGCCAATGGCGACCATCTCCTGCGAAGGGTTGATGGTGTAGTTGTTCACTCGGCCGAACGACTTCGAGATGGCAATGTGCTCGATCAGCAGGACGATGACGGTGGCGGGTAGATAGCCGACGAGGTTGCTGGCGAGGCGCTGGTTGAGAACAGGGACGGCCGCGTTTTGGAAGCCTACGTTTAAGGTCAGCACCCCTGGGAAATGCACAGGTTTGAGTTGGTCCGAATCTGCGCGCGCAAAAACTTACCTCGCGGGACGTCAAGCAGAATCTTGAATTTGACCTGTTTTTCTGGGAGGCCTCTGTTGACAAGCCAGCTAATCATGGTGTACAGGAGAATAACGAAGACAGTCCGTAGAGTCGACAGGAAGAAGGCAAGCCGCTGGTGCTGCGGCCACCGTTTTGCGGCATACGAGCAAGCGGCCCGGATGATGTAGAGAAGGGCCAGGGCAGTCAGACCCATGGCAGCATCGAGAGTGGTGCGAGGCAGTCCCTGAAGCGTGTGGATGAAGACTAGGTACGGAGCGTCACGAGTCGAGAAGCCCGAGATGCCCATCATGGTGGGAATCTGGCCCACCGCGATGTTGATGGCGGAACCCGTCATGAAAGCCGAGAGCGCTGTCAGCGAGATAACATCGACGATCCATCCACAGCGGATAAGGCCGATGAATAGGACGATGGATCCGGCGAGAATCGCAAGGGCGGAAGCAATAGCATGGGGCTCGAGATCCGGTAGGGCTTCAGTGAGATCGGCAACAATGCCACCGGTAAGTTGTGACATGACAGCAACAGGCTGCGGAGTGGTTAGCCAACAAAGGGGGTCTCCAAATACATCCACCTCGCGCCCGGTGCTCTTGCACTTACACCAATGGTGATGTCCTTCGAAGTTGCAAAAAACCAATAAATCAGGACACCCATAAAAGATGAGTACAGGCCAAATTGGACCTCCAAGTTAGCCAGCTTGGCGTAGGCCATTCCCTGCGGGACGACAACGGCCCCGATTGTGATACCTTTGAACTCTGTTAGCGACTACGCCTGTCAGTGCGCACAGGGAATACCGCCACACTTACCAGCAACAAGATCTCCAACGAGCCATTGCAAATTGTAGTGACCTATCCAAGCCAGGAAGGGAAATAGAGACAGGAGGTATTTGTAGAGCTCAGAGCCAGACGGAATTAGGTCGTTGATGTAGTCCAGCACTTGGGGAGGCTCTTCCACAAAGCTGTGGTCTGTCCCGTGGGATTTTAAGGAGGCCCCCGGTTCTTCAAGGTCCGTGTATGGTTCCTTGTCTTGGAGCTTGATGCCCAGAGCCTTAGCCACAACGTGGCGGGCTTTGAGAGGCATCTCGCCGTGTGCCGTGTTTTACGACACGGATGTGATGGATGTGGCCCTGTCGATGACGCTTCTTGGCGTAAACGGGTAGATTTCGAATGGGCGTCTAGGTATGTTTAGTTGACAAGGGGCAAAGATAGCGAGGCGAACGTGTGTAGTTTCTTCGATCGATGGGGGACGGGAGCTCTTCGAAGGTGCGGATCTAAATATATGGTGCCGAGTATCGAGAACCTTAGACACGCAGACGCTTGAGCTGTGTTATGCTGCGCTCTGCATGTAGAGAGAAACAGCTAGTTTAGAGCTGGAAATTCCGCGACGCGTGAGCTGCATGCAGAAAAAATATATGACGCCCAAAGTTCACACCTCTATGTGAGAGGGTCGGGGCAAAAGAGGCAATGAATGATACAACAAGACCGCGGGATGTCAAACGACGCGAGGCGATACAGGGGCACCCTGGAGAGAGACAGAGCGAGGTGTGTTCCTGGGAAGAACAAAACAGGCACAAAAGATGGAAGGAAGGGGGGAGAGGCCAGATCCTAGGATATAGAGAAAAAAAGCTGAATCGGTTTCTCGAAATGCCCCTGGGACCGTCTCAAGATAGAAAATATGGTCTAGTGTGGCCTTGTTCCAAAGTCAGGTTTGCAAGGCAGCGGATCCCGGAATTTGCGGAGAGCGGGCACAGCTGGATGGCGCAATCGTCGGATTACCTATCACAGCTTGCAGCGGGAGTTTGCCAGTGGAACTTGGGATTGGGCGGGCACACACGTTCAACAGGCCATCAGGATCTTGCCTGTGGGCTGACAAGGACTCCTGTCAAGAAGACATGGGGTTGCGTTGCCTCGAGACTTGAGACCCTGTGTTCTTGACGGGAAAACGTGGGTGCCCCGTGTCCGCAAAGACATCCCGCCGCCCGACCAACCTCAAGAAGAGTGTGGTCACAGATACGACAATGCCTCGGTGGTGAAGCTGCCGCGGCCCTTTCGCAACCCCCGGTGACATCTCGTTCTCGAAATGGCGACGAAATTGCGAGACGATGCAAGATCCCACGCGCTTAACTAGCCTTTGTGAGCTTGTTCGGCCGGGCGGGCTGCAGGCCCTGAAGCTTTCAAGGTGTCATTGCAGGAGGGGCGTCGCGGCGCGTCGGTCTGCTCCGTTATGGAGCGAATGAACGGGCCTGGTGTGGCGATGATGCAATCGGGCCCCGACAATGATGTGCTCGCTCGTGGGCTTGCCAAGTGCTCGCCTCAAAGCTTAACCCCCACGCTGAAAAGACCAATCTGTGCGAGTGCATGGCTCGTGCTCTCGGGTACCACAAATCATTTGAATCTTTTTTCGGTCACACTGACCGGGCCTCTCAATCAAGAGGTCGGGTGGCTTCAGCTAGCGCGGCCATCACGCCTTGTTGTAGAGATGCTCGTTGTAACAATATTGCGTCCATTTTGGGGTTGAGGAGAATCGAGCGTGCCCGGCCATGCCCACGTGTAAAATCCATACACTTGGAAGTACACTGACTACGCCGTAATGTTGTTGAATTTCCTGTGGCAGCCGCTGGTTCCGAAAGCGGGGCCTGGGGGTACTTCGGACGAAGTCGAAACCCGCATTTCCCTTGATACCGGCTACAAGTAAAACCCGAGTAGGTGGTACATCTTTTGGGAGCTTGTAACCAAATTGTGTAGAGGGGGATGACTCGGATGCAATCCTTCTACCTGGTGCGTCGCTTCAGGCGAATGGCGTTAGGTGCGACGGATTTTGAAGAACGGGAACCCCTCGATTCTCCTCCTTCCAGAACTCGGGAGTGGAACGGGGCACTGCGCCCCGCGCCGTCGCAACCCTCCGGTCCGTTCGGCCGCTGTTATTCTTTTGCTAGCCAATCCCCTTACAGATGTCATCCCATTCAGGAAAGAAGCGATGAAACGCACGGCGTAAGTCTTTCGCCCACTCATGAGATGAAATTGATCAAAAGCGAGATTCTGCTGTCGAGGAAGCGAGCAGGGCCCGGCAAGATGCTCGTATCACACCCCAAACTCCTCACTTGGGCTTCAGTTAAGTCTCGTGTAGTATTCGAGAACAACTTCGGTGAAGATTCAAACTTTACACAGTTAACGACAGTTAAATACAGTTGAGCTGGAGTGCTGGCTTTTAGGTAAGAGAACCTCTAAAGCGGTGCATCATGTGCATGTTGGCTCCTGCACCTTGGACTCGACTTAACCTCTTGTTGAGGTTTCGTTCATTTAATCATGTGATGCCTTCGGGCCTGTGGGGTGATATTGGGTAACGAGAAGAATTGAATATCTTCCGTTCTTCCTCAAAACATCGGTCAATCAATGGGCGGGGCAAACCCGCCCGATCGGGACGCAGAACCTGGACCAGCCACGCGGGCCTGACACATCTCTTCTGGATCAGATGCACCGCAAGCAGGGGGAGCAATTGGGAAAATGGTTTGGGGCAAACACCTCAGCTTCAAAAGTTGCAAGCTTAAAATGCCGGCAACGAAAGTCACCTCCTCTCTCCTCGTCGAGTTTGTTGTGCGGAGGAATCGGCGTCCTCCGCTATTGGCCGGATAGACGCGGTGTCGCGAAATCAACACGCTGGACGCTGGCTGGACGCTGGGGTGGGCTCTGCGGCAGCTCTCACTCGTCCAACTTTCGTCCAACCTCCCGTTGTCGGGATTTATCCTAAACACCAGCCACATTGCCCGGAATATCATCGCCGCCACCGTCGTCAATTTCCTGGGGACCTTCCTTTTGTGCGGCTACAAACCCACGGAAAAGAAACAAGGTCAGAAAATTGCTCGACATGACTCTGCGAAATCTGAATCAATTCGACGGCGTGCCCAGTCCCACCCGGGAGCCCCTTGCTCCGCCAGGGGCTTTTCCGTCGGCGGTGCAGCTCCACCCTCCACCTTCGCCCAGCAACCATCGAACGCTCAGAAGACTGCAGTCGGCTCATAGTTTGGGCGCGAAGGCCGCGGCCCCGCCGTCCCTGATTTCGCAACAGAGAGTGCAACAGCAGCAGCAACGACAACGGCAACAGCAACAACCCCAACAACAACTGTCGTTTCAAAATTTGAATCAACACCTCCAACAACGATACCCTCCTGCCCCGGCAAGGAATCATGCGAACACCAATCGCTCACCGCAAAGAGGACGGTCAAACAGCGACGCACCACCCATTCCCAATACTGCCCTTCTCAATCCAGCAACTATGACGGCGACAACGGCAACACGACGTTCAGCACTTGGCCGGCGGTCCCTCGCGGCCGACGCAATGTCACTCGAAAAACTTATCCGAGAAGGCCCCCCCGACGGCGATATTGAGGGTGCTCTCGAGAGCACGCGCCTCAAGATCCTTGATCAGGGCATCCGATCCGATACGGATGGCATGGTGAGTAACATGGAATGTCCGGGGAAGCTGGGTATGCTGGGGTATGGACGCGGGGGATTATAACTGGGACTAGAAGAAATGAGGTAGTCGGCCAGGAACTAACAAGTCCGTCCACACAGTCTTCGCTTCGGATCTACGTCTGGCTCATTTTACTCAACGCACCGATGCTTGAAACCGACAACTACCTCGCCCTTATCCACCGCGGCGCGTCACCAGCCTACTCAAAAATCCGCAACGACACCTTTCGCACACTATCCACCGACCCCCTCTTCCGACGCCGCGTGAGCGAAGCGAGCTTGATACGTTTGCTCAACGCCTTTGCCTGGACGTTGTACGATGCCCGCGGGGAGCGGACTCGTGACCCAAGCGTGGCCAGCAGCAGCCGAAAATCGCTTGATCAGTCAAGCAGCCGGCCGGGAACTGGCTACGGGAGCGACTTTGGTAGCCCTGCTTCGTCACCCGCCGCAAAGAGAGCACGCGCTCTCACGCTGACGACCGAGGGCTCCGTCACAAGCGTCACGACAGAGCCAGGCACCTACGTCCAAGGCATGAACGTTTTGGCTGCTCCCTTTCTGTATGCCGCTCGTAGCGAGGCCGAGGCATATGTCGCCTTTCATCAATTGATGACGAAGGAATGCCCGGGCTACATTCGCGGTGCGATGGACGGGGTACACAAAGGACTGGCGCTTCTTGACAAGGTGCTGGCTATCGTCGACCCCAAACTCAGTTTCCACCTGCTCTCCAAGAATCTATCCGCCGAGATCTACGCCTTCCCTTCCGTTCTCACCCTCTGTGCCTGTACGCCTCCTTTACCTGAGGTGCTACGGCTTTGGGATTTCCTTTTCGCGTACGGTCCGCATCTCAATATCCTATGCATTGTCGCTCAGCTAGTCATGATTCGCACTGAGATCATGGAGTCACCTAGGTACGCCGAGACATGCATGGCTACGCCGCTCGTGAGCAGTTTCGCTAACATAGAGTCTCTAGCCCGAACAAACTTCTTCGGTCGTTCCCCGCTCTGCAGGCAGATCGAATCAAAGCTACCACCCTCGCCGTTACCAAGATGATACCCGACGACGTCTACGCCGAAATTGTTGCTCATGCTCGATAAGGAACGAAACGGGCATGTGGCGTTCTCGCTAACGCGGCCGTCCGGCCATCTGACGCGATTTCGGATCTCGACGAGACAGCGTTATTCACTGTATATGTCACGACCCAGATTCCTCCTACCTGACATTCACGGATAGACCTCATACCGTACGTGCACCTCCTCCGCCGAGCCACGGCCGGAAACAACCAGCTTCCCTTTGGAGAGGCGAAGTGGATGAGTGGGGGCTTTTGGAGACCATTAGTATGGCGTTTCCCTGACCCCATACCAGAGGGGTGAAACCGAGGCCGATCCGCCCGCCCTATCCACATGCGAGGAAAGGCTGTGGGGAAAAGACGCAGGGGTAGGAATTTATTCCAACAACACCCAGTGGGATTCGTTGGCTCACCGCTCCGCCGGCCTGGAGGCTCACACATTTACCCGCAACGCGTCTCAACTTCTAAAAAAGGAGCACTACGCGTACCGGCGGAGGGACGAGGGTTGCCCCAGAATGTGGCTTCACCGTTTGGTTGGGTTCTGTTAATATCTGGGATAATACCTGGGTGCCTGACCATCTTCTCCACATGGGCAAGCCCGGCCATTGGGTTTGGCATCGTTGCCCCGCGTGGTAGCATTGCAGAGCGCCTGCCGGCTCCTCAGTGGCATGTATACTATGTGCCGATGTAATCCATTTCGCCGCGAAATGCTTTGTTCAAGGAATGTTTTGAAGACTCCGATTCGCGAAAATACGAACAGCGTGGACTGTGGTGGGGGTGTGAAGCGTATAGACGATCGTGGGAGCAGCTAGCTTTCTTCCCAACCCGAGTTTTGAAAGGGCCGACGAATTAGCATTTTCCAACCGGCCACCTTCATGGTTAAAACGGCCCGCATATTACCGTAATGTATGATATGTGACTTGAGACTCCCCGTCGTTCCTTCTCACGCAACAGGTTTCTTACATTAATCGCCCAAGCCTCAATGTCTTCTTCGCCGTCCGGATGCTTGTTACATCTATCTACCTACCGGCTCGGCCCCGAGAGTGAATTACGTGATATCCGGCAATATCTCTGAGCCGTGTGGCTGCCTTCCGGCTACCCTTGAGGTCCGCGGACTGAACACCAGACATCAATTGCACATAAAAATGGCTACAATTCGGTGCCGTCCCGGTTGGTGATCCGCGGTCTTTTCAACCTTCCGATCGCCTTTTACGGGAGACGAAAGCTTGAGGTTTATTGCCCGTTGTTACATGCCCTTAAACGTATCATCCGGTCCGTTTCTTCTCTCCTCTAACTCCATTATACCAGGGACGTATGGGTTATGAGTGCGAGGCATAACCTGCGCGGTCATTCAAAAGGGAATTGGTACGGTAAATTGGATAGCCGTGCCGCTCGGCTTCTTTAAGCGGGCTTAAGCGGCCCTTGTTTCATAGGAGGTATGATGCACCAGGTTTATGAGAGAACAGCCACATAATTTATGGAGGCGAACTGAGTGGATTTGCTGTTTCAAATACCTGCCGTGTCGAGATGGGTCAAGCATTCATAGATTCATCAACTGCACCTTGCGAACGCCGTGCCACCACGCAGTCATCCATGATCACACGTTGGCCAATCAATGCCGTACTTTTTTCAATAAAACGCGGCACTTGATGAATCTAAAGTCTGTTCGTCCTCCGTTGGTGTATCCAGAACCCATCATCGCTCGTACCCCTACTTATTAGTTGTTTAATCCAGCCTATACTCCAGCCTGCTGGAATGTGCCGTGTTCTCTTGGCACCGGCAGCTCGCTCTTTTGTTATCCGTTGGCATTTCCATCCGCCGTGTTCTCGTTTCGCGTAACACCCTAACCGACAACAACAACACCAGGCCTGTCTAGTCTAGTCTAGAAACACGCCAAAAGAATAAGAATAAAACATAATGATAAAATAACAACACCTGCACTCCCTCTTCTTTAACCGACAGTGAGTCGTTCTTCTTCCTTCTTTCTTGAAGACCGGCAGGAATCGGCATGGCCGTATGATGACGAGCGTGCTTGAGGAGCACTGCCGTCAGAGAAACTTCTGAAGCGACCAAGGAACAAAACAGCCATCATTGAAGGCAATAAAATGAGGCGATTGCGGTATGATACTGCCGTCCGCGATGAAGGATACGGCGTGTGCTGAATATCAAGTCCAGAACAGCGGATCCTGCTATAGCCCAGCTTTGGGACACGTAAGTGATGTTCTTGGTTTCGTGCTCTGGCTCGGCTGACAGGCGGCGTAGTCGTGTTGCGATGTGGACAACAGATATTGCCGCAAGGGTACCTGGTGCGCTCCGGTAGCTGGGTATTGCTGTTTGGATGTGAGGGAGCCATTGTCGAGTGACGGCGGGAAAGCTAACCTCTTGCGCAGAACGAAGACTTGGTGACGTGCGCAAGAAACGCGCGATTCAAGCCCCCAGACGCACAGGCGCCTGCCAGCTTCAAACCACCACCAATCCAGAAGACCACATCGGATACGTGGTTGAACGACATTTAGGCCACGACCGTCAACCCCCCTCGAAAGCCCCGGTGGTGTGGGCTTAGGGATCGTTGAACGCCGATTTTCGAATCGGGTCCTGACCTGGGCTAGACCTGCTCAGATGGTTATGCTGGAAGGAATGGACCTGGGTCCAAGCTTAGTATGTCGTGCAACCATGGCTAGCGAGTCGGAAAGCGTGGGAGAAGAATTCCTGCATGGCCGTGTAATGAAACAGGATGCCACCAAGAACGGCAATGTGCCAAAGATTATGGCTGCCCCCAACATAATCGAACATGCCGGGGCACCATCTTTCCGGTACCTTGCTGGCATAGACGAGGGCGCCAAGGAAATATACCAAGAGAGATTTGCCGATCGGGGTGTAAAACTCAAAGACAGTCGCCGGGGAGCGTGTCAGCGAAAGTTGCAGAATGGGGAGGAAGCCCGTGGCAGCAAGTGCAACAAAGAAGGCGACTCGTGCCCATGCCATATCCTGGCCATTGAAGCGTGGGTGCCAAGGAAGGATGACACCGCCGATGCCCAACAATGCCGTCGTAACCATGTAAACCCAGCGGCTGACGGGCTCGCAGTAAAACGCGGTGTACTCGGTCGTCATGATCGAAGCGGCGATGAGCAACGAGATGCCGGTGTAGTCGACACAAGCAAACATCGAAATGAGGCAAACATCGGCCACCGAATTCATGGTGTGCCAGATGACACTGCAGACCAAGCACTGGCATGCGGCGAAGAAGAAGACGGCAGCAATGAAAATGTCCGCCTTTGAGCTCAGCGAGAAATTGGCGCTCGTGGGGTAGAAATAGAACGCGATAGCGAGAACGAGGACAAGGCCTATGGTATGGGACCAGATGTTGACGAGCTCGTTGGAAAAGCTGAATGCAGACCTCACGCAGGCTAATTTCGTCTCGGAGAAGCGATAGCCCTTGGTGATGTGCGGGTTAATCCTCCAGGGAACGGGGAGGTCCTCATAGCGGAGTAGCCCGTGCTCTCTGGCGCGAGAGATGGCACGCTGGACGTGGTCCTCGAGTGATTCAGCCGCACGGAGCGCCCTTTCGATGCCTTCGTCCACAACGCGATGCGCTTCATCCATGATGGTCTCGGCAGTGTTCGCGAGGCCCTTCGCCCGGAATCTGGCAGCTTGGTCCTCCAGGTCCTGCAGCATTTGGTCGAGCAGCTCAATGCCGACCTTCGCCTTTTCGTTGAGAGATTCTGCCGCAGCCATCGCGTCTTGGTAGCCGGACTCGAGGGTTTCCACCATCACATGCAGTCTCCTGCGCCCAGCGCCCATGACCTCTCCCGAAACCTGCGAGCATCTTGTCCTGACAGCCTGTAAGGTGTCGAAGGCGGCTGATATACTCGAGTCCAAGCTGAGCTCTCCATAATTTTCCCAATAATCCAGTCGCTTCTCGAGTTCGGTTAAGAATAGATCCAGCTTAAGAAGGAGGCCTTCCTCTCCGTCCATGAGGTGATTGACAATGGATTTTCTCCTTTGCACAAAGTGGGAGTGACGACGCCTTCGTGCTGGGGGGCGGCCATGGGGTTGAGCCCCCGAAGATGAGCCCTTTGGGGCATCGTCACAGCTGCCGAATGTGAATGGGGCCGGGCAGCCCATGTTGGACGAAACATCCATATCGGAATGAAGGTTGCGCAGACACAAGCGCCACAGGCGTTGTGGGAGGGGACAGTTTGGTCAGCGCAACCCGGAAGTTGTACCAAGAAAAGGGTACCGGCAGCACCCTCAGGTTGGCAATGTAAAGAAGCTATCGGATGCGGTGGTGCTCCGTGGTTGAAGGAGAGGAAGACGGGGCCGTGGTCATCCGTGAGGGTTTCGGTGCCGTTCGCTGTGTAGAGACGAGTGTTAAGAATGCTTTTGGGAAAAGATAGGACCGAAAAAGTCAAGGCCAATATCGGCCGGTTCGTCGCTCGAACACAGCCAAAAGCCCGCCTAGGAACAACACTCTCAGCGTTGAATTGAGACTGGGAAAATGGAGGGCAATCGTCAAGAAGAAAAGGGGACAGCGGGTTTTGGGCGGAGTGCTTGCAGCGGAGGTTGAGGCGAACGCCGGGTGCAAGCCGGCCCAAGAAATAAAGAGGGGCCCCAGAGCGCCCACTCTCGTGCAGATGGGACGATGTGTCAGCAGGCCGAGCACCAATTGTTGCCGTTTGCGGCCCCACAGAGTTCAACAACACATGCAAGCGGGTTTTTGGCTTTCTGGGCTCTCCAGGTTCCACTTGGGGACGATTCGCCAACGCAAAGCGGTTCTCCATAACGTGGAAATATGGTTGGCTGTCTCTTTCCCCGGCCCAGTACATTCTCAACTCACCCAACAACAGCAAGTTTCGGAGAGACCCAATCCCCAAACCTTCTCCAAACACGGGGAAGTGGGCTTCCTGCTGCTCACTGGAGCTGCCGGGAAGCATCAACGTTCGCGGCCCACATCCGGCCGAAGTCACCCAACACCTCGACGTGTCTTCCCCACCACCATCCAACGCAACATCTTACCATGACGGTCGACGAACACATCACCGATCCTTCCTTGGCCTCTGTGGTTGAGACATCCAAGGCCGCGAGGGACCAGGCGCAGGCCCTGGTGGCCCTGATAGCGCAAGAAACGGCCGACAACACCAACGATCCTATCTCTGCCGATGCCCTGACCGAGATTTCGAAGCAGCAGAAGCGCCTTAACACCAACCTCGCTCACCTGAGGGGCTTGCACCGAGCTGCGCATTTTCGTGCGCGCGAAACCAAGGGTCAGACCGCTGAGGCGCGACATGAGGTCGATGTCCTACATCTACAGCTGCAAAATTTACACTATGAGCAAAGGCACCTGGAGGGAGAGATTGCTGCTTGTGAAGGATTTGAGTACGCGACCCCCTCAACCTCCCCTTCGTGTTGCCGCCGCCCCATCCCCTAATAAGATACATACGCAGGTTGCTAACGGACTTCCCAATCTCAGCCACACGTACCAACTCCTTCCATTGATATCGGTTGAAGATTTTCTTGCGCAGCATCCTGAGCATGCGACGGCCGACGAAAATACGTTAATGGTAGCGCGGATCAACCAAGAGCGGGCAGAGCGCGAGACTCTCGAGCAGCAGCGCGTGGAGCTGCAAAAGCGAAAGCAGAAGCTTATTACTGAGAACAAGAGGCGCAGAGACGATCTTGCGAACCTTGACAAGGACCTCGAGAAGTTCATCGATGTAAGTAATACCTGGTTTTACGAGACAACGCTTATACTGATACATTATTCCACAGGCAGCGAAACCCATCCAAAAAATGTTCGAGAAAGTGGTCTGAAATAATCTCAGACAGCACACATTTTGTCAAGATACTGTGATGCGCAGATCGGCCACGTCTCTGACAATGGACTGTCTTTAAGTCCCGGGTGAACTGTTCAGTCTGTTGATTGTCAGGAATTGACGGTGCTATATCTTTAGGTTGATCCAGACACCGCCGAACGGCCAACCAAATCCTCAGTCCCTGGCGGCGTCGGGTATGCCGGGCCTGAAAAGGACAAGGTGAGGAATGCGGCCGGCGGCCGGCGGAGGACATAGAGGACGATCGTTCGCCCGTGGGAGGTAGATATATGACGAGACGGAAAACGGGAAATAAACTCCTGTGTCGGGTTGAGGTCTGTCTGCGCCTCACCCTTTCCGATCTCCGATACCCATGGACCTAGTTTGTAGTACGGTAGATAATACGCATTTCGTGGCGCTGCTGGGAAGTTCGCCATGCCCTCCGCCTCAGATGAAGACATTCATCAGTCTCAAAAGCCACACACGCCCAGGCGCTGACGTGAGAAGTAGTTACACAGTAGACACTCGTCTCGGCTTTGATACTCTTGTGACCAGACTCGCCAGAGTCCCAGCGATTGAGAATTTCGCCCGAAACTGTCGGAAGCAACCCGTTGCGGTTCCCATGGATCTGCTTTCGGTAACACGCAGTACTTCGTACCTTGGGAACGGTCAAAACCGATGAAGAACTCCACACACGCGACCGTTTGAAGGCAAGGCATCTCCGATCTGATACGCGCTGACATGACGGGGGAAGGGAGGAACATGGGCGGGTCCTCTGATGAATTTCCAGCCCTGGTCGACGCGTCCACGACGCGCAAAACCCGGTCCTCAATTCCAACTGTTCCTCCCATTGGTGCTACACTGTTGAACCAAGGTAACGGTGCAATAACTTGGCTCTCGGGCCACGGTGCGGGATCGCGGCGCAACCCGACGAGCGGCTGGCTGACGGTTTTGCTCGAAAAAGTAGTTTGCCGGCAACTGCCTCACCTTCTAGTGTAGAGTAGAGGCTTCGTCTTCTGGGCTCGAGAGCATTGTATGCCATCTTACACTACACTACAAAGCCAGGGCCGGGTCGACGAACGAATTTGCTGTGATCAACGGAATTGTTGACTGAATCCCGGGTCCCAAGCCGCCAAGGGCTCCGTGAGCTTGGCCTCTGACGCGTTGGCTCATAATGCCAAGCGAAATTATCATGGTTGAGGAGCGAAGTTTGATCCTGGGGAAAAGAAGCTTCATCACTGGCTCACGAAAAGTTTGCGTGAGACCCTTCCCGACGGAGAGAAGCCGGGAAAAACAGGAAGCCAATCAGCGTTCATCACATCCTGAAATGAAATGAGATGAATCGCGCAGGAGCAACCGAGCCGCACGAGGCCTCCAGAACTAAATCGTCGGCCGACGTAATGTTCTGTTATTACGTTACACATCCACCTGTCGGGGTCGGGGAAATGGGTTTAATCAATGGCATGAATTGTTTTCCGAGCGAAAAATGTGAAGGAGAAATAAGAATCAAACAAACGAGCGAGAGCAGAGCTCAGAGGCTCTTTTGATGTAGGGGACTTCCGAAAACAGACGGGAGAAGAAAGTCGATACCTCACTGCGAGATCAACCCCGTCCCTGCTGAGAGGCACAGCACACATCCCAAGATACGGATACCTTAGCTGTTAGGGAGCCCAGCCGGCCCAACTGAAGAACCATTCTCATCCCGATTCCCGACTGACACAGTTCGCAACATTTTCAACAAAGCGCGGCGAGCTCCACCAGTTCGCCTGGCCAATGGTGCTTGCATGTTCCCCCCAGCCTCCCATCATAATTTCCCAAAGTGGCATGGGCCCACAAACAAGGGCCCAGAGCCCGAAGAGAGTTGACAGGCTGGGGGAACATTGAATTTCTGGGGACCGTTCATCGTGGAGATCCAGCTTGCCAGCTTTCCAACTTTCGGTTCAAGCCAAGCACCAAACGGGAGGTGCCGATTTTCCGAGCGTACATACGCGGAAACCTCCTTTGCTAACTGAACTGTTTCCGACAACGGTGGGCGGGGCACGGGGTGCTGTTTGGGACATGCCAACGCGAGCTGCGAAAAATGAACCGACAAACCCCACCCATAAACTCCCCCAAACCATCAAACCACTCGCAACTTTTCTTTCCCAGGCTGGATGCGATTGGTTATTTCCCTAGGCGATGAACCAAGAACGACCCGCAATGGCCTCCCCCCACGAAGGACGGCTGGACGCCGAAAGAGGGAGAAGGGACATGTCGCATTGCGGCGACATGTACATATAAAACAATCACGCGGAAAGCATCTGCATTCAACGGCGGCGCCTGACATGACGAGAGGTTGAGCTTGTTGGGGTCTGCGCCTTTCCCCGAGAGCGATGTCGTCAGCGCGGGTGGTCTGAGGGGCTGGAGATACACCGCCGTGGTGGAGGTGGAGTTGATCTCCACGCGTGTCTTGACGAGGCCCTGTGGTTGGTGAGAGGGAACCTGTGTGATCCCATTTGATTTCCCGATTGTCTCGACACAGGGTCACAGGCAACAACGAAGTTGCAAGCGAAAAGCAGCCCGGCTGGAAATGCCGCTGCTTGGTAGTGAGTGAGGGACCAAAAACGCCTCTCAGCATGGCCCTACGCTGTCTCAACCACCCTCGATGCAGGTGCCTTTCCCGAGGGAGCTTCTGTTACCAAAGTATCTGTAAAACTCCAAATTTCTGGGTCTGCAAGCCGATCCCATGTGAAGGAAGAAAATTAACTGGGGGCACCAACGGGAGCCGCTCCCTCATGTCTACCGCTCAGCTCGTTGTTCGATCGATAAAAAAAAATAAGGTATCTACCGAGCTGCCTAGTTGTGAATGGACATTTTTGCTTTCCTTTCTCCTTTCTCTTTTCAAAGGATCAAATGAAGACAGAAAAAAATCGTCACATCCCGTCTGGTCTCGTCATCAAGGAACACCCAATGTTCTATTTTTCGCTTTGCCGCTCGCAAGAAATGTTTTCTGGCATGTTGAGCCTTGGTTAGGTCGGATGGGAAATTTGTTGCCTAAATAGGAAAGGCGCAGGGTGTATTGGCAGGCATAATATTCCCCACTCGGTCGCTGAACCTTGCCCCTGTTCCTGGCATTGCACATCCAGGCTCAGGCTAGCCCGAGGTAGCACCCTAGCACTGTGCATCGTGGGTTGGCGCTGGGCGCGGTCCCCCTTTTTCCTTCCCTGTTGCTGTGGGCGGCCAGTCCTTTGCAAAGGTTTCATCGAGCTACCCTCAGCTCCAGCACGCCCACCCCCGACGGACCCCCCAGCACAGCACGACTTCGCCGCCTTTCGCAAGACGGTTATCATTGCACCCAAAGGTTTTCTCTCTTTCCTTTCTCTCTTTTTCCCTCTCCTCCCGCAGTCCCTCCTTCCACCCTCCCCCTCTATGAAGCTTTGCGACCTGTGGACCTGTTGAAGCACCACGCCGAGTCCATCTCGACTCGCGTCCCCTCTGTCCACACGGGCCTCCACAACCTAACGCCTCGTGGTCATTTTATCGCCCGATTTCGCCGTCGCCTTCCTTCAATTCCTACCGGCGCATTTGATCCACAACGAAGAATACCAACGACCGTGTCCCCGTGTTGGCGTTGCCGATTCGCGACATAATTAGCGGGTTCTGGTCTTTTGTTTCGTTGTTTATCGGACCACCAACGCAATCGTCACGATGTCGATCTTTACGTGGTGCAGCCGGCGCGCCGGCGGTCTTGCGATGCTCGCTACAATTGGGCTTTCGTACTGGGTTATCTCGACAGAACTGGAGAACCGACGGCAAACCTTCAAATACGAGTCGCTCGAAAGCCTGAGTGCGCCTCGAGAACACGACCCGAAGAGCGGCGGCCTCTGGATCAAACTCTTCACATACTACTGCTTGCTTATTCACTTCCTCGTCTTCATCTTCCCGCTTCGCTCTTGCTGGGCCGTCTTTAGCATCAACCGGAATATCAAGAAGGCCGCACGCACTCGGGCCTTGAGGGACATCAAGTTTGGCCACCGTCGCCGCGGCTCCTCGACCTCGCTCTCCAGCTCTGAGACTTTGACCTCATCGCGGGACATTAGCTCGACCTCGAGCAGCGAGGCTGGCGATTTGGACCCGGAAACCTATACCGACGGCGATATCGCGCCTGACCGCGTCATTCACGCCATTGTGATCCCGAACTACAAGGAGGAAAATGACACGCTCCGCGAGACGCTCGAGGTGCTGGCTTCGCACCCCCAAGCTCGCAACACCTACGATGTAAGCCGCTTTTCTACACGCTCTTTTTGTTCTTTTTCCTTCTTGACCTGGTGTTACCCATCGTGCACCGACCTTCGATTGTTGAGTCCTTCAACAATTTGGCGGTTAAAATGTACTTCCTGGAGGCGCAGTGAAGTTCAAAACAACATTGCGGTCTATCTTGCATAAATCGGTCAACGTGCCCATTGCTGACGCCCGATGATTTAGGTCTTCCTCGCGATGGAACAGCGGGAACACAATGCAGAGACCAAGGCCACCAGATTCACCAACGAGTTCTCCAAGAAGTTTCGCTCAATTGACTTTACCGTACATCCTCCCGACATTCCTGGTGAGCTGGCCGGTAAAGGAAGCAATATGGCGTGGGCTGCCCGCAAGCTGAGCGAGAAATACGCTCTTGGTCAGCGCAAGGATGTCATCGTCACGGGCATCGACGGTAGGTACCTCCTAACCTCTGAACACAACTCGGGGACGATCTGCTAACCAGTCTTGTCTCGTGTAGCTGACAGCCATCTCTCCTGCAACTACTTTGGAAACGTAACGACCATGCATGTGGCCCATCCCGACACCGCGACGACCACTCTCTACTCGGCTCCCATCATCTTTGACCGCAACGCGCACAACGTTCCGGCTATTGTCCGTGTTGCCGATGTCCTCTGGTCCGCCGCCGGCATGTCTGGCCTGTACAAGGGTTCAAGCGTTGCTCCGCCCACATCCGTCTACTCGGTGCCTCTCGAGCTTGTCGACCGTGTTGGCGGCTGGGATTGTGACTCAGAGGCCATTGGCGAGGATCTCCACATGTACCTGAAGTGCTTTTTTGCCCTGAACGGCAACCTCACGGTCCGCACAGTTATGAGCCCTGTCAGCCAGACCAACGTGACCGGCGGTGGCCGGGGCAAGGGCCTTCCCGGTCTCGTCATGGATATTCGCGCTCGGTACAAGCAGGCCCTGCGGCACATGTGGGGTGCCCTCGACACTGGCTACGCAATCAGGAAGTTTGTGGAGGTTTGGAAGGAGAGGAAGCACACCTCGAGGGCTTTCCGGCCGTTGCATACCTCTCTGTAGGTTATACGTCGCTCTAACATTTGGTTAATGACTCAATAAACTAACATGAATTAGGAACGACGACTCCGATAACTACGTTCCGCAGTCGCAGATCGATGGTGCGGATCCTGAGGCTGTCCCCGAGAGCGGCATTTTCTCCGACGTTGTGACCGACACCCTGAAGGAGCCAGACTGGCAACGCATCGCCATCCTGTTTCACCGCATGTTCGAAGCCCACTTCTTGCCCGTCCAGATGACCATCCTCGTCGTCGCTTCCACCCTCTTCATGTGGGCTACCGAAGGGACCGGTGATGTACACGGAGTTGCCTGGATCTACAGCATTTGTAATGTCCTGCGCACTCTCGGTTTCATGGAGGTTGCATTCTACCTCTTCCTCTACGAGAGCTTCCACAAGACCTGTGTTGAGACCCGCGAGAAGGAAATGGGTGACGCCGGCTTGCTCAAGGGCATGCACTTCTCTCGAAGGGAGGTCAAGACCAACTTCATCGACTATGTCATGGTTCCCCTAGTCGCACCAATTTTTGGCTCAATCCCTTGCGCTCAGGCCCAAATATGCCATTTCTGGACACTGGACCTGGTGTATACAGTCAGCAAAAAGGTGACCCGGCGGAGGGCGAAGTCGGTCAACGTTGATGCGTTGGTATAATGCGCCCGTGTGGATAACGACCTTTTTAATGCGGCTTTCCTGTTTATTTTGGCCATATATTCGGCTTTTTTCTCCCTCCGCCTTCGCGGGTAATGCTCTCTGAGCTTAATCCGGTCGCCTCTTCTCACGACACCCTACGACACCGCTGCCAACCACCGAAACCCGTTATTTTTCACTTCTTTGGGGAATGTTTATTTTACTCGACTCCTGACGACAGGACTCGGGTCGGTGGTCGTTTCGGTCTTTATTCCTTACAGCACGGGGCTTGAGAGTCCCGTGGATGTAAATCATGCGGACGTAATGTTGATATGCATGGCATGGCATCGGCATTTGGCATCTAGATATGGGGTTCGACTTTTTTTTCCATTATTTTTTGTCCCCACTTTGTCTTTTGCTGGGCGGCTTCCATCGGAGTTACAGGAGCAGGAGAAGGGGAGACACCATTATACCGGCAGGGGTTCTTGGGAGGGCATCAAACACGGACGATATCCCGCCTTGCTGGCGCCATTCGCTTAAAAGGAGATTGGGGAGAGGAAAGGGGCGGCAGGTGTGCGCTTATGACGACGCGGGTGTACTACCCCACACGTATTCTACGACACAGCGCCGAGTCGAGAAGATCCCAACGAAGACAAACAACACGGCATTAACAGACGTGATGGGATAGGAAGGGTATGCTCTTGGTTGCACCCGGAGTGTGCTAGTCCTAGCGTGGAGCACGACAGTCAGGGAAGTAGAGGATGATGCAAAGACGCTGGGGCTCTATGATCCGTGACTGGGGACACCCGATGGGTTTCCCCAGGGTGCACCCATAATACCACACGTCTAAGCCCCCTAATATTTAATCTTATAACTGTGTACATACTAGCTGGAAGTAAGGCAGGGACACGAGTTGAGGATCATCACGGCGTTCGCTCACAGTGGCGGATGGGGGTGTGATTGTTTCCTAGTGGGCCTGGGGTGGGATGACTTGGATGGCGGAGTTGGGGAGTGTGGGAAAGGCGGAATGCCGATACAAAGGCTTATTATCATGTATTGTGTTAATTATAGGGGAGGTTGGGGGGATATGGATCGCTATTCTGGAGACATGGTATTGGCCTAGGCAGTAGAGAAGGGGACGGAGTGAAGAATTGAACCACGACGCTCGCTTTGGGCTACGATACCACGAAATGAACTTGTCCCATAAATACAACCGACCCCTACTGCTTACTTGTCTGTTACTTCTTTTTCTTTCAAATTCCTCATCAACTAGAAGGTGTACTTAATCCCATGTCAACAGGGCGGGAGACATTCACCAGCCGTTGCATCATTTAACAGTGCTGTGCTCCTCTTCCTTCAATGTTGCAGCAGGCCTGCCCGAGTTTGAGGGGGGTTACGAATACATTGCATCGTAAGGTTCAATCTCCTCAGAATACGCCTAACTTTAATGATGTGGAAGCAGACGACAGCAGGCGGAGCAAAGATGAGGCTGGCGTAGTGGCTGTGGATGCTGGGCTCGACTAGGTTGGCTCTTGTGGGAGTCCATTCATTTCCTCGGCCGCACTCCTCAAGTCATCTTCCTGAGTTCCATCCGCAGCTGCGCCGTTAAGAGGGGTCGCACGCTTACGCAAAGGGTGAAATTCGTTACCCGGGCCACATGTCCCGTGCAGGACCCGGGTGTATGGTATTTGAGTAATCAAACTGTCTACGAATACAATGCGTCGTAACCTCACCTCCAGCAAGCGTGACTTTGCGCCGAATAACAACTTGGGCGTGCAAGATCCACCCACCTAGGCAGGTCATCCACTCCAGATGAAGTTTTTTGTCTATTTCCTAGTCTCTTGAAAGAGAGGAAAAATGAGAAAAATCTTCTTTTTTGCCGTTGTGCCGCTCTGCCGTTGTGCCGCCTCCAGATGATTGTGGCGGAGTGGAAGCAGCCGAGGCCAGACCCCTCTGCTTTTAAGAGGGTGAGATTCCACAGCTGCACCTCAGTCTTGGCTGATGCAATCCGCTGTGTTGTCGCGTGTCAATGGCGGGGAGCTGTACCGAAGCCGTTTTTCGTTTCTTGATCCCCGTTGGTCGGCGATTTAGCGAGCCTTTAAGGATTTTGGATCGCTGACGGCTCCTAGTCGTCGATGGAGCTGTTTATTTTGGGGAGAGTGCTCTGTGTTGTCAGCATTCTGAGACCTAACACCGGTGTATTCATGATGATATGGCTCCCATACACTGGTAAATACCACGAAAGAGCTCGCCTTTGGCTTGCCTGTGTCAACGGTGGGAATAAATGGATAGGTAGGGAGGGAGGTAAATTGGGGAATGAATACGCTAGATGACGCGGCTCGAGCCCTGATGCCCCGATCTTGGCGGATGCGGTGTTTCTGGTGTGTGGGGTTTCAGCCGAACATTGTGGCTGTGGGTATGCGAGTTTGGTGACTCGGTTCGCATTAGATAAGGCAGGGAGAATATTGTTAAGGAAATACTTCACACACATCCTCTACAGCCGGGCGTGGAGTCGATTGTTTCGAGGGACTCTTGAGTCCATTTGGGTTTCGGAATGCGTATTTCCTATTTGGTGATAACTAATGCTCCAATGAAGTCACTGACAGAGGCATAGGTTTTTGGTTGTGTGTGGGCATGGACATATCTGATTCGAAACGATCTGCTATGTCAACGACCCAAGACTGAGAGAAGCTCAAATTCTGTAGACCCATGTACGCTCTCGGCTCCGACAATAAAGTCCCTTTATCGCCTCGAGAAACTAACTATAACGTCTCAAGTAACGTTATGTGTTACCTAGTGGAAGTTATCATCATTTGGATCCCTGTCCAGTTTTCGAGCGCCGGCTTGGCAACGGAATTCCCTCGAATTCGCTCACCATAGTGTAAACAGCCTTTCTTCAATCTGTTTCACTATTGAACTGAACCTCCGTGATGGGGCCAGGTATCCAATCGTCGTGGCGCTTTCCCGCCTCCTGGTGCGCCGCGTGGCCGCAAAACGTTGTGCCGAAGCGACTCGGAAGTTAAATCGACATTGGCCAATCAGGAGCTAAGCCGACAGACCACCCGGCCAATGGCCCGGTGGTCAACGCCGTGCTCACGGTCGTCCGGGGTAGCGTGTCGGCGCCGAGGCTCCGGAGCCTTTCGGTGATGGCTTCAATACTATCTAGGGGTAATGATGGAGGTAGGAGGAGAATGCGCATATTTAAGGTGAATAGATACTACAATACTCTTTCGTGATGTCTTCCATGACAGAACGACACCCCCGAGAAGTATCGATTCAAAAAATTCAAAGCAGCGCATCATAGGGCTTTTATCCCGTTTTCAAATCGCGAACATGGCGGTTATCGAATCTCGTCCCAAGATCCGTATCGGGGTCTTCATACCCACGGATTGCCAGCTCTTGGACATGGCTTGCGTCGACATCTTCGGCACCATGAGCTACGAATATCTGACTATTGTCAAGGACCTGGTGCCAGGCCCCCTGATGAACCTGGCTCCCAGTGTTGAGATCTCCTGTAACTACTCCCCTACTTTTCCTGTTATCTTACGTGGCCGAGAGCATATACTCACCTTCGTACTTCAATTAAGACATCTCCGTGGTCCAGCCCGGCGAGCTTATTCGGCTCACCTCTTCTGCCTCCGTTGCCTGCACGCATCATTTCTCCGACCCCAAGATGCAGCCGGGTATGCTAGACATCGTCTTCGTCCCGGGCCCGGACCCGGCCGTTGATTATTCCAACCTGAAGGACGCCCTGGACTGGCTCACCGCACACGCTGCCCACCCTGGGACCGACATCCTGAGTGTCTGTACCGGTGCCTATCTATGCGGCGCGGCCGGGGTGTTCAACGGAAAGAAGGCGTCCGGACCGAGAGGGGTGCAAGGCGACCTGGAAAAGAAGTTTCCCGACGTGAAATGGGTTGGTGGCGAGTTCAGATGGGTGAAGGATGGAAATATTTGGAGTAGTGGTGGGTCTTCCGAACTGCCCTTCCTGCTTTCACTGCGTTTGCCCTTCGGGACGTTCCGCGCCGTCGAAGGCCGTTTGCTCGGTGGCTAACAACGTATGGTCATAGGGGGAGTCACCAACGGGAATGACCTGGTCGCAGCTTACGCTCGGACGACTAGCCGATTTCCAGGGCCAGTAGTTGAGCTGGCCCTGATGGCGACGGACACGGGAGACAGGGCGCAGAGATATGACACTGGGAAAACTGCGGTAACCTTGGGCGTCTTGTGGCAGGTTCTAAAGGCCATGCTTATGGGAGTTGGAAAGACCAAGGAAGCTTGAAATTGAGACTGGCGGAAACCGTACCTAGGATCGTTGATGGCATTGGAACTATTTTATCCGGGACAGGTCGAGATTGGAAAGGGATTTTTGTACGAAGTAGCTTGACAAAGTAGTGTACTTTAGCTGGGTCTTAATCCATGGGTACCAGTCTTTTTGAAAACAGGAAGAAAAGTCCACAGTCTGTCCAGGTGCACCCGTCGTTGGCTCCGAGTGGAAGGCGGGTAGTCGGTCCCGCGCTGGAGTCGATTGTATGTGAGCAGGCCTCTGGGCTGATATGGATGACTTGAGCACCGATAGGCTAAAAATACAGGATCAAACGGGACGATGAGCACGCGCATTGGTGCTCAGCGGGCCGTTTGCAACGGCCCCAAAACATGGCGATAGAGGCGCCTAAGCCCCAAGTGGTAGGCGGTGGCTGCGTTTGCGGGGTTCGACGCGGTTGGCCTGGAAGCGAGTGGGGCGATAGACTCTTATCGGGGACGAACTGTGGAGCGGCTCCAAATTTTTTTGGCATCGAGCGAACTTGGGGAACAGGACTTGACCTTTTCGCCCAAGCCGCTGCGACTTGAAGCTTGGGATCCTCTTGACTTTTTTCCCCTTCGCATCCGTGTTGACTTTTCTTTGCGACGACATCGTTTTTCGGTATTTATTCGACTTCAATTATCGGGCTTAGCCACAATAATTGGTCAATCCGACACCGATTACTCTCATTCACAATGTCGTCCCTTCTTCCCGTTGCCGTGTACGGCCTCGAGGTCCCCACGGGGGAGGTCTTGGTGCCTGCCGAGATCGAGTTTCCGGCGACGGTACGTCCCCAACCTGACTTTTTTCGCGCGCGTGCAGCGTAAACTTACAATCGCCCCCAGATCCGGATCACAATGGCTGCCATTGACCCGACCGCGGCGCCAGAAACCGATGGGCAGGGCAATGTCCCTTCGGTCCCTCGCTCAACCCTGAAGATTTACAAGGTCAACGATGATGAGGACGATGAGGATGAAGACGATTACCTTCAGAATCTCCTTGGTGGCGGTGATGATGACGAGGAGGATTCGGACGAGGAAGAAGAGGAGGAGGTCAACGGCGGTCCTAGCGACCCTTCCAAGTCCAAGAAGGCACGCCGGGAGGCCGCCTTCAAAAAGCTTCTTGAGGCTACCCAGGAGGATTCGGATGACGAGATGGAGGACGCAGGCTCCAAGCCCAACGGCTCCAAAAAGAAGGGCAAGGGTAAGGCGAGCGACGAGGACGAGGAGAGTGACGAGGAGGAGGACGAGGCCCCTGACTTCGACATGGAGGAATTCGTCGTGTGCACCCTCGACACCGAGCGCGTAAGTAGAAACAGCCGTCTGTGGCTTCCGGGAGTATAAGAAATGGGTGGTATGCTAACGGTGATATGACACAGACCTACCAGCAGCCCATCGACATTACCGTCGGCGAGGGTGAGAAGGTTTTCTTCAGTGTGAAGGGTACCCATACCATCTACCTGACTGGTAACTATGTCGTGCCTCAGGATGAGGGGGAAGACGATGACGATGACGAGGAATACTCCGACGACGAGTACGATCTCCCCCCTGGTCTTGAGGACGAAGACTCCGACGAGATGAGCGATGAGCTCGACGACATTGACGGCACCCCCCGGATTAAGGAGATTGACACGGACGATGAGGAGGCGCCTAAGCTTGTCGAGACTAAGAAGGGCAAGAACAAGCGGGTCGCCGAGGAGGCGGCCGAGGGTCTCGACGAGCTGATGGCCAAGGATGAGAAGAAGCTTTCGAAGAAGCAACAGAAGAAGCTCAAGAACAACCAGGGCGAAGCTGTGGCTGCCGAGGTCAAGGCCAAGGAGTCTTCCGCCGCTAAGGGCGACAAGAAGGTTCAATTTGCCAAGAATCTAGAGCAAGGCCCAACCGGCCCTGCCAAGGACAAGGCCGAGAACAAAGGCGACAAGAAGGGCGCCGCGCTCGGCGTCAAGGTGGTTCAGGGCGTGACCGTCGATGACCGCAAGATTGGCACTGGCCGTACCGCCAAGTCCGGTGACCGTGTGGGTATGCGGTACATCGGAAAGCTACAGAACGGCAAGGTTTTTGACTGTAAGTTGGCATCAATCCAGGCCGTTACTGTTTTTTCTCATATTTACTGGACAACCACTGACCCACTGTAATGTAGCGAACAAGAAGGGCGCGCCGTTCTCCTTCAAGATTGGCAAGGGCGAGGTTATCAAGGGCTGGGATGTCGGTATTGCCGGCATGTCCGTCGGCGGCGAGCGTCGTCTGACCATTCCTGCCCACCTTGCCTACGGCTCCCGCGCGATTCCTGGCATCCCGGCAAACAGCACCCTTATCTTCGATGTCAAGCTCATTGAGATTAAGTAGGATGATCACCCTGTACTAAGAGCCTTACCCCCTCGGTATTTTTGAGCGCGGCGTCGGTTGTTGCCTGTCTATACACCATGGGGGTTCGATTTCCTTTTGTTATATCTTCCATGTATGACTCGCGTGTCGGGGTCCGGGTCGCCTAATTTCCTCTGGTTTGCTGTTCCTGTCAAGGGGTTAATGTGCAGCGCCATAGTGTCATGGAGACCTCTGACCTGGCGTGGTCTGCGAGAGGCCCATCACCGATGGGAGGAAGAGCAGATGAACGATGTAACCGGATGACGAGGTCTACATTACGTCTGGGTTGGCGAACTGAAAAGTTTCGGACGGCATTTTCTTTGTCTAATCATGTTGTCTCTCTCTTCGTGTGTTCATAGGCGCAATGATATCTTTGACAATGTTTGGGGAGTTCCCGAATACTTCTCGCACACTCGAATTTGGTTTTGCCGCCCCATGGGGCGGGGAATGGCGACGGGTACATAGTGAAGATGCTTGTACCTTGTGTTGGATGCTTATCATTGAGGCAGTCACCACCCACACACCGGTTGCCCCTGAACCTGTATTCGGCATCGGCTAAAGCAAAACGAGATGGGGAGGAAGGCGCTACCTAAGGCACGCCACATACTCCCTCTTACGTTGGCCGCCGAAAATCAGCGAATTATATGTTGGTGTCTTTCGTGGCACCAGGACTGTGCTGCAAACAGCATCTCCCGCATTTTTCATCATTATCACCAGGGACGCCCCGTCCACACCATCCACCGCACCGCTCTCAGTCTCATGGGCCGAGCATGGACATGAGCGAACTTCTTCTCCCTGACCGGAGGCAGGCTAGAGACTCGTCACGCGGGTCAGAGAAATCTCAACACCTCGTCCCCAGCAATTGCTCGCTTGCTTCGTCTAAGCCAACCGGGGTTCTCTCTGCCAAACTTCGCCGGAAAACAGCCAAAGTCGTTACGGTTTTCAAATCGTTGACAAATAGCTGTGGGTGTTTCTTCAAATGGTGATGCCCCGTCCTACTGACGCTGCGTGCTGCTAGCATCCGAACCACATATCGTTTCGGAGTTGCCGAGCCCACCTCAGGGGGAGCATAGCACGAAGTTGACCGTCATGTCGGGCATTCACAAGATGTCGAATGCTATATTCCGCCCTCCCGCCGATCCAACTGTTGTCCGCCGACCAAGCCCCAAAGCTCGCCCCCCACTGAAAGGAACCTTCGACGACGCCGGGACATCGGGAGATTCGAACCCCACCACACCGTCAAACTCCGGGTCTAGCAAGGACACGGCTTCTCGAGGCACAGCCCAAAAGCACCATCGCGATGTTGACAACAAGCCTACCGCCAAATCAGCCTTCACGGCCAAAGACCCGAACACTCTCGGCCGCGATCCAAAGCCATTCCCAACCAATGACCCACGGGCACTACTTGGGCCATGTCCCGACTCGAGCAGAACTACATTGATATCCCCATCGAGGTATATCGACCTTGGTTTGAGCAAGAAAAGGTCTCCCAGCTGTAGTCAACCGAGTATCGCGACTGTCGAGCGCACAGCCGCCGCCAAAATCTATCTCGAAACGCACTTCAACGAATTGTTAGCGCCCGGCCCGTCCCCACGACAGATGAGACAGCAAGTGCTGGAAACAGAGCTTTTTAACCGGGCCCGGGAGAGGGGGATGCCCATGAGCAGCGCCGAGAGTCGGGTGGCGCGTGCGATATTCCGGCGCCGCGAGAGCGAGTACTTGCGAGAGATGAGGAACGTGAAGGTAAAGAGTTTGAGGCTACACAACATGACAGGAGCGCACAGGGGTCAAGCGAGTGAGTATGAGACGGTCAGGGTGTTGGGAAGGGGTAGTTTTGGGGTGGTGAAGTTGGTGAGAGAGCACCGGAGAGGACAGGTTTATGCGATGAAGGTGATCAAAAAGAACAGGATGCTGAAGACGAGCCAGGAGGGTCATCTCAGAGCAGAAAGGGATATTTTGGTAGCGAGCGAGGGCTCGAGATGGTACGTTGCTTCCCGGGGTCACATAGTATCAGAACTGCCGGTGCTAATAATCCTAGGATCGTGCCCCTGGTTGCCAGCTTTCAGGATCTCTCCAATCTATATTTGGTGATGGAGTACATGCCAGGCGGAGACTTTTTAAGTCTACTTATCCGTGAGAGCATACTGCCCGAAACCGTCGCGCGCTTTTATATAGCCGAGATCATACTGTGCGTTGAAGCAGCACACTCGCTCAAATGCATCCATCGCGACATCAAGCCCGACAACTTCCTCGTCTCGGCATCCGGGCACCTCAAGATCAGCGATTTCGGGCTCGCATTCGACGGGCAGTGGTATCACGATGCGACCTACTACAGTAGCCAACGATAGAGCCTGGTGAATAAATTGGGTCTCAGAGTAGACGGGGATGGCGAAGACAAGGAGGAAATTCGCAAGTCGAGCACGAAAAAGAAGCCGACTAGCACCGCAGCGGCCATTGAGAAGCACGACAAGAAAAACTGGAACGATGGAGAAGCACTGCTGAGCTGGCGCAACCGTTGTGGGACACGGCAAGTAGCAAGGAGTGTGGTGGGAACCAGCCAATATATGGCCCCTGAAGTGATCGAGGGGAGATATGACGGCCGGTGTGACTAGTGGAGTGTCGGAATCATCCTCTTTGAGTGCATCTACGGGCACACACCTTTCCTATCGGAAGAAGGACGCCAGAAAACCAAAGAGAACATTGTACGCCACCACGAGACATTTGGCTTTCCGTCCCGCCCGGCAGTTTCCCGGCGCTACCAGCACCTGATGCTGTCCTTGATCACGGACAAAGAGTACCGATTATGTTCCGAACGATACCGGATGAAAGACTTGATTGCTTCGTCTCCCTCTTCCTCTTCCGGGGGTGCCACTAAGACACGAGATTTTGCGGCCCGGTATGTGTTTCCCTATGACGCCGAGGACCTCAAAGCGCACAAGTGGTTCCGCCACATCCCCTGGGAACGCCTTCATCAAATCGAGCCACCACTGGTGCCGAAGCTTCGCTCTGTTAACGACACTCATTACTTTGACGACAGCGGATCGATAACCGACGAGAGCGGAACGGGCCATGAGGATGATGAGGTGGTGGTGTATGGGGCCCACGACGGCGCCGCCGAAGGTATCCCGGAAATCTTCCCCTCTTCTCCAGGATACTCGATGCAGAGCCCCGGCTGGTCTCCGGCGTGCTATCCGCTGACCACCACCCTTGTCGTGCCCCCGACGGATCACAATGACTACTTCCAGACTTACAACAACTACTCAACACCTCCTCTCCTACCGTCCCTTGAATCTCCCGTTACGTCGGCCCATTTCTCATCCGCATTTCCCGTCCAACCATCGCAAGAGCACTTCGTCATGCTCCGCCGGCTGCCATACACCTTGCAAAACCTCGCGCTTACGATCCTTTCAATGCCGCCCCACGATATTGAAACCAAAATGCACGCGCTCGAGGTATACCTCGAGCAGCTACCGTCCACGACGGACGCCGAGCGTGTATGCCTCCAAGACTTTTTCTTGCAGTTTACCCCCGGTGGCGCTGGACGGGGCGATAAGCGGAAACCGGAGCGCAAGCGCGCGCGGGACAAGCTTTTACGGGACCGGGAGACAAAGGGGGTTGCCATGGAGGTGAGGAGGCGTACGGCGTTTTTAGGATATGAGTGGGTTAGAATGAGGAAGGCTAATGAGGAGGAAGAGCCGTGCGCGGAAGAGAGAACTGAGAGTGTTAATGGTGGCGGGTGTGGGCTGGATGGCGAGGCCGGTGCTAATAGCGAACGGAAAAATGATGGATTGATCGAGCGGCTGGCTGGGTTGGCGGATGGCGAGCAAGAAGCAAGGGGGGGACACCTGCTGGACAGGTTGGCTGAGGGATGGGAAACAAACGTGGGGGTTATGCGGGCGATGTATAGCGGTCCATGGAGTACACGATGAGTCGGTGTCTGTTTTGTTTAAAGGGGGATTGGTCGTAGGATTGGGCGTTGTCTACCTGGAATTTTGGCTTAGTCGGACGGGAATGGTGCTAAAAACGGAAGCAAACTGTATCGATAGCGCGAGCAGTACGATGCCCAGTGTGGGGTTAATAGTAATACAAAGTATTCACTTGGAAGGCTTGTGGCGAAGAAGCAGCTCCCTTCTGACCACCGGTGCTGAATGTGTAAGTCAAAATTGGTTTGGTTCGGTTTTGTACATCCATCGGCTCAGGAAGAGGCAACCATGCCGGTTGATAGAAACCAACTTTCAGAGCTACATACCCCCCAATGAGTTTTAAAATTGGTGGTTGTCCTTCACAACCTTGTGTGATGGTTAGCTTGGATGGTTGTTAGGGGAGCGGGCAACCATCTTCAGTGAAAAAAGAGGTACTACAAGCGACCGGTGCTGAGAACCTGTTACTCCCAGTCAAGTAACGGATATCTGGCTACGCAATTCTAAGAAGGTCCGCTGGCTCAATGGCAGAGCGTCTGACTACGAATCAGGAGGTTCCAGGTTCGACCCCTGGGTGGATCGGTTCTTTTTTGCTTTTTTTTCCGTCATGGATGGATGATCCGACCTTTTTCGTTCGGCTAACTTTTTAAATTGACTGCCCCGGCTTTATATTCTATTTCCTCTTGATTTTTCCTTTCTCTTTTGGAGGGAAGGGGGGTGGTTCATTCAATTTCAGGGGTTGGGTTTTGCTGCGAAGAGTTGATCGATCCTCTCCGAAACAGCGGTTTGGGATTTCACGGGGAAGCAGTCGGATCGATATCTATGGCGAGAGAATTTTAATAACTGTGAGAAGTGTGGACAGCTACGTTCAGGTTGCATCTACAGTCCCGTGTTCCCACACCGACCGGAGCCAAATCAAAGGTAAACTTGGGATTTGGGATCTCTCCATGGAATATAACAGGTTCCCATTCTGTACGAATATCTTACGAATATCTGTAAAACTCCAAACCATGCATGACCTCCCTCCCCGCTTTTAATTCGAGGCATCACCTAATACTCCGAAAAACCCATGAACCAGCCCCGGCTCTGCCCAAAATCAAACCAGAGGAGACGAGCCACGCACAAAATCACATAACCCGTGGTCTCACTCACCCGCTCCACTCACCATCTCCGGCCCCGAGAGACAGACATTAAATGGTTTCCCACCCTCCGATGTTGATATCCGCCTCCAGCTTCCTGGCAATATAGCTGGGCACACCGTGGCTTAGCCATAGGTTCCGAAGCATGGCATCGTAGCGCTTTTGGTGGAGGAATAGCTGCCGATTGAACCGAAGGCCCATGTCCATCTCGCCGAACTTGTCGATGTAGGGGGCGTGGCTGAAGGAGCCGGAGCGACCCGAGAGGTAGAATACGGCGCACTTGCGGATGTTGATGAAGAGACCAATGTTCTTCTGGCATCTGGGAGTAGGGAAAAAAAAGGTTAGCCAAACTGGAAAGAGAGGGGAAATGACAAAAAAGGGGTAAACGTACTTGAGCATATGCTGCTGGGCGCCGCCGATCCGTGGCTCGCTGTGCCGACCATTCTTGACAAGCTTGGTGCAACAGACGGCTTGGCCACAAAAGATATCGCCGCAGAACAGGCAGATCATTGGGTCGCTCAGATCTTTATTCTTCTTGGTGGGGCATTTGCGGCGCGTGCACTCCTCGATGAGCGTGTCGTAGTTTTTGGGCAGGCCAACTAACTCGAAAATGCCCGGGTGGCTAAGGAGGGATGATTGAGGCAGGTGCTTATTATCTCCGTTATAGGGCCACAACGTCTGGTGTTTTATCCATCCGGCAACAAGCCGCGGCGTGCTGGCGGGCCAACCATATTGAGCGCCTAGCTCCGGTGTAAGGGCAGTGAGCATCTCGTCCAGGCTCGGAACACGAAGGGTCTCGGTCAACCGTTCGAGCTCGCGCTGCTCCGGGTTGGGCGAAACCCGGCTGTTAAAGTTGACACCGTACTTGACATGCAGGAGCATGACACACTTGCGCAGGAATGCGAGAGCGTATTTGCGCAGGAAGATGTACCATGAGTCCCAAGTGTCCAAGCCGGGTTGACAGAACGCCGCGTTCTCCCATTTTGGCCGCTCGATCTCCGGCACCGAGTCCAGCACCGGCTCCGTGGCGCACTGGAGGTCGATGGCACAGAGGGATTCGCAGAACGCTACAAATCGAGCCGTGGATGGGTCGAGCTCCTCTCGGCCGGCGAGGAATTGAAAGAAGAGCGCTGGTGGGACATTGCGGGTGAGGTGGTACGCAACCTTGGTGATTTCAGCTAGGTAGCAAAGGCGTACAATATGCGCAATGTCGTAGTTCTGGGCCGGGACAACCGCAAAAACGGTCTCGCAGAGGAAAATGAAGGGATCTAGACTGAGGAGGGGCGGGTAGCTCTTGGCCGGGAATCTGGTGTGCTCGGCTTCCTCGCCCAGATATTGCGCCATAAACAGTTGGCAATGCTGGCGTTCGCAGTCTCGGCGGTACTCGGTGTCGACCTTGTTCTGGCCGGCTTCACGTAAGCCCCCAATCGCGATGAACGAAGTTACGGTCTCGCTGAGGATACGCAGTTGTGTGAGGACTTGATCCGGGATCCTCTCCAAAAAGGTCATCCCGTACTCGGCTTCCACGCCGCGCTGTTGGATCTCTACAGCAGAAATGGAGAACCCAACAGACTGCGCTAATGCGTCGCTTCCGTATAGCTCGTTCGGGTCTTGCTCGGGCGGCTTGAACTGATGCCTGGACGAGATGTCATTCTTCCTCAACGTGTCTCTAAGCCGTCGGTAGACACTGGCGAGCTCTCTCATGGCGCTGCTGGCATCGGGCGTTGTCGCCCGCGTGCTTTGTTCCGGAGGTGAGGCAATGGGCGTCTCGCTGAACGATGCCCCGGCTGAGGTAGGCTGGGAGCTCGTGTCGACCCACGCCTCATCTAGAAGCTGAGACGACTTCTCTGCGAGGTTGTGAATGATATGCTGGGCAGTGTAGGATGCGAAATCGGCCTGTACGTGGTCTGGTGGGCGGAACGCGCCGAGAGTGTAATATCCTGAATGAAGCTCGGTGTCGAGGAAAGTCGAGAAATCTGTGGATGGGATGAGGGGCCCGGGATACGACTCTTCTCGACCCTTCCAGATGATGGGTAGGAACGCGTTGCCAAGAGCCTTGCAGAGGGGGCATACAAACTCGAGCCGGTGACTTTGTTCCGGGGCGTGCCTTGCGATCTGCTGGGTGTGGCGCCTCACGGTGGCTTCGAAGTAGGCTTCGAAGCAGTGGTAGTGCATCATGTGGCCGCACCCCGTCGACACTGGGCCGGGGCGAGAGTACTCAGCGGGAAACCCCTTTCCGATGACCTGGCGCTCCGTTTCGAATGTCTCGCCCTTCTGGTTCACCTTCTGGACAATCTTGCGGTTCTCCCGTGCCACGCCGAATGGGCGTACGGCGTCCGCGGACCGGTCGAGGTTATCGGGCGTGTTGAATGCCTCCCTAACAAAGTCGGGATCTTGCAGATCCGTTTGCCGTAGGATAGAACTCTGCGAAAAGTAGGCAAAGGTCCCATACAAGCGCCGGTCATCCGTGTCCTCCTGGCACAGAATGCAAGTACCTGACGGGTACTTCCAAAACTCACGGTGCTCCTCCATAGGAAGCATGTGTTCGTCATCTTCGAGGTCTTCGACCTCTCCCCAGTCAATATCGCCCTGGTTCTCCATGAAGCTCTTTTGCTGAGCTTGGAATTGCGCCATAACCTTCGCTTGACGATCAAGTGCCGCCCGCTTTTTACGCTCACGCTCTTCATCCACATTGCTAGCCGCGGGCGAAGCCGCGCCCATCCGGTCTACAGACAGGCCAAGGCGCTCGTAGCTGGACTCAAACGCCTTGGGCCGCTTTTGCTGCATCCTCCGAAGAATCGTGGCAACTTTGGGGTGGCATGACTTGAATTCTTCCTTGGTGGCGATCAGGTTCAACAAGGACACGATCGTTTTCGAATTGGGCGAATCGGGAGTGAGCACACTGAGCGCCTGTTGGGTAAGGGCAGTAGCGATGAATGATGGTTGAGGCTGATGGTCCTCATTCGTTTTGTCCTCGGCAATGGCAATAAGGACTAGATGCAGCACCACTTGTAGGAATGTCTCCACGCGCGTCGACGGGACCTGGGGAGTGAGGCGAGAGTAGACGAGGGTGTAGAGAAGCGAGTAGTGAATGATCTGTGCAAACATGCCGGTAGTTGTAAACCCGCTGAGGCCAGCAAACGCCCCTGATGGGATTGGCCGCAGCTTTGGCTCGTATACGATGTCTTCCAACGACTTGCCGGTCCTCTTGGCCATGGATCTCCTCCATGCCGTCTCCGCTTCTTCGCGCTGGTTCTTGTTGTAGTGCGCGATGTACGGGTCGAGGTTTTCCACGTATTCTGGCTTGAGCTCGAAAGTGCCGACGTCTGTCAGGCCCTCTGGTGTTTTGAAGGTTGTCATCTCGTCCAGCACCTTGTGGAAATCTTCTTGCTCCTGGAACTTGTCTGGAAGCTTTGCGCAAATATCCGAGAACGACAGAGGTTTGAAGCACAGGACGTGAGTAACATCGCGGCGCATGGAGGCGACGTGAGGGCTCTGGGATTCCTCCGCCGGAATGAGCGAAGTCCTGTCGCTGAGGAGAACAATCAAGAGGTGAATCATGTCCTCAACAACGTCCAAGTGCTGAGTGTCATCTTGGGCTTTCGACTTTTGCTCGAAAATGCCCTTGACCCAATTCTCCATGCCGAAGCGGTCAACCATGGAGGCAAGCACACGGCTGGGGTCGCAGACCACCATTGCGGTCTGCAGCAGGAAGATGTCCCGTTGATGTGAGACGTCCCTTTGGCCAACACCACGGTAGGTACCTGCTTGATGGCGCAGGCTCAGACCATTCCTTACCCACATGCCAGCCTTCATCTGGGCGAGCCAGGCACACACTCGCAGGGGGAAGTCAAAGGCAGCCATAAGGTAGTCCTCCGGGCCATACTCGTCACCGTAGCGAGGCATCGTCTTTTTGCCCATGGACCGAGGCTTCATCATAAGCTCCTGGGCTGTGAAGCTTAGCAGTGCCTTGAGCTGTTCGATGGGCATCGCCTTGCCACACTCGATAAGCCACGAGAGGGTGTAGTGAAGGGCGTGATGGAAACTGATGTGTTCTTCTTCGACCACGAACTTGACGACATCGAAATTACGGTCGGGCGACTCGAATTCGAAGTTGGTGAGCGTCTTGAAAGTGACCTCATTTTTGATCTCGGAGTGGCTGAACCTGCCGCGCTCGGCTCCGATCGAGTTGATGATGACCGCCTTGGCCGCAAGGCGGATCGCCCGCAGCACATAGAGAGAATCCTGCTCTTTGACATTGCGGAAGGATTCGGCAAACTGCCGACACAACCGGTTGACCTCGCGCGTGACAAGAGAGGCACTGATCCAGCTGTCCGCTTCGTACTCCACATGATCACCCATCGCCCGCACATTGGGACAAATGCCCTGGTGCAGCTTGACAAGGTCCAAGAACTGCATCATATACCGTTCTTCTGTCCTGAGACGTTCCTGAACGTGGGCAGAACCGAATAGGTATTTGAGATCGAGGAAGAAGTGGTACATCCTCCGGTTTGTGACAGAGCCGGTGTCAAAGGACAACACGGCGTTGGACGCCACATCCCAGGGGTGTCCGACCTGCCGCGTGGTCAGGAAAGTGTAGAGAATAGCCATCAGGCTGGTGAGGAAATTGCCGCGCTCCACGATCTCGGCCGTGATCGAAGGGGTGGTGAGCATTTGAAGGGAGATGTTGATGATGGAGTGGTCAGGCTCCCGATCGCCGATGAGGTATAGTTGGGCCAGCGTGGTGTAGAGACCGGCAAACCGTAGGCCGAGAACGCGCTTGAACTCCGGGATGGTGACGACAGTGGAGATGTAAAGCGACCGCAGATCATTACGGACCTTCTTCCACATCCTGAGGTCGAAGAGAATCAGCCAGTCCAGGCGGACTCTCTCGAAGAGGTTTTCAGCGGCTGGGATGTCTTCCTGCTCCACGTAACCGACCGGTGTTGCGAGCCAGTACTGGCCGGGCCTGGGAGGTGGTGCGGCCTCGGCCGTTGGTGCGCCAGGAGTCTTGGGGATTTCCAAGAGCGCTTTTGCGTACACCGTCGGGGCGATGAGAGGCTCGGCAGTATCGGAGTCTGAGGGAGTGAGTTCTCGCTCGCGCGCGGTGCGACGCGGCACAGGAGGAGGTGGAGGAGGGGGCGGGTAGCCAGCAACTGTAGCTTCGTCCTCCTCGAGCGCCGTGTCTTGCCGCCAGTCCTGCATGGGTACATCTCCGTCTGTTCGGGCGTCCACCATCATAACGTCGTCGTCATCGCCGTCATCTTCCCCACTGTCGCTGCCGGGCGTGTGGCCGGCCCCATCTTCATCTTCATCCTCAACATCGTCGTCGCTCGCGTCGCCCTCTGCGGCTTCTCGACGGGCAGCCCGGGCCGTCTGGCGAGCCTGGAGAAGAATTCTTTCCTGCTCATGGTAAAATTCGTTCACACCCCGGCCTTCCCGCTCTATCATGTCTTCATCGTCGATGCCGCTTTTGCCGACAATCGCGTTGGCTGCAGGGCTCCCTTTGCGCCAGGGCTTGAGCATCTCCTCGCACACGACCCGACGTAAAAGTTGATGATCCCCGCCGACACTGCATCCCGAAATATCCCTGAGCCACTCGATCATGGTGTCGCACATTTGTTCTCGGAATGTGTCCCTAGCAGAACGGATGGTCACTGTGACTCGGATTTTCTCGAGTGTATCTGCCACCTCGATGAGCTTCTCTATGCTTGCGTCGTACATCAAGAGACTCCTTCCGATGCCGTCGGTTTCGTAGGCTTTATTCATAGCATTGTGCATCGTTGTGCTACAGGCGCGAGCGACTTGGTCCCGGACGTCGAATATAGTATGCTTCTCGTCATTCCACAACAACACGGCGTATTCCCCGGGCGGCTCCGTATCACCGCCGCAGTATGTTGGCGACAGCCTAGACATTTTCTCATCTTGTTCGATCGACTCGACTGTCTTGACCTGGCGCAGCTGTTCCGGCGAGCATGAAATGACGTCGCAGAGGTAGTCGAACACACGGCCAATGGTCATGCGTGTGCTGGCGACGAGGTCCTCGGGCAGCGGGTGCGCCTCTTTGCCCTTGCCCTTCCCTTCACCCTCCCATATCGAGTGTATTGTGCAGAACATGGGCCTGTTCCATGCTTCCGAATCGCCGCAATCGCAGCAGCCGCTGTTTCCCGGCGAGATACTGATCCGAACCATGTGTCCCGTGTGGTCGGTGGCCTCGAAGCACTTGCTGCACAAACAACAGGTATCGTCAGCGGCGCATGTTCTGCATGAGTATGAGGCTTCGCCCTGCTTGAATATGTGCCCGCAGGCTTTGCCGCGGGATGCTTCGGTGTATTCGGCGCCCTCGACCGCGCCTTGAGCTTCGCGAAGCTTGAGCGTCCCGTTCCGGGCCGGCCCTCCTGTTGGGAAGAAAAGGCCCATGTAATCGGACTTGCCGCCGGCCATGCACCAAAACAGCGCAGTCAACAGCTCGTGGGCGGCATCTTCGGTGAAACGGAAGTCATGGCGAACGGGGAGCTCGAGTAGAAGCTGGCAGAGCTGCTGCTCCTGGGTTGACATAGGGGTTCCCATCGCAATGAAACGATCCTGGGGGGTGATGTTATGTTGCTGTCATGTGGGCGACCTCGGCGGGTATCGAGATTCAGAAGTATCTTGTCGTTGGGTATGGTCGAATCGTGCGGGTGGCTGTGGGGTGGGAGAGAGTCGGCAGCAGAAGAAAAAAGAGACGAAAAAAGAAAAAAGTCACCAGAAAAAGTCGAGATGATCTGTTAACCTGTTGGTTGAGAGGCTGATGGAGCACAGCTGCTAGGAATGCTTGGGTCAGTGATGTGATGCGTTGATGGAGGGGCTCTGGGTGGGCCGTGCTCGTGGGGCGCTCTTGGCCCTGCGAGGGACCGGTGGCGTGTTCCAGCGCACTGGTGGCAGAGGACGACGGGGGCATGTACCTAGGTAGCTTACCTCACCACACATAACAAGCAGGTAACTACTGGTTACGAAGAATAAAATCAAATCCCCTCTTAACCATGAAACGGGGAGACTCGAGGACGGAAATGGTTCGCGGGTGGTAAGAATCCCCGGACAAGAGCGCCCGGTAGCTGGCCTAGGTACTTTATATCATAAGGAAATTCGGGAGGCCCATTAGAGGTACTTTTGCAGCCGCCAGACAGGGAGTGAGGCGCAACCAATGTTGTTGCCTGGGAGTGCTTAGTCCCGCGACACCTTATAAGCAGTCTAGGGGCCATGGAATGAGGCCTTTGGTCGGATACCTTGGAGTAAAAATTGACGATCCAAAAGCTGGGGGACACAGCAAGCTAAACTGCCTGGACTGCTCACATCGTCCAGCGCAACCATGTGAAGCCAAACGGCTCATTCAAGAGCATTAGGGGAAGAGCGTGGGTTCATGGCACTTGGTTACTTAGCTTTGCCCGGGGAGATATTCGCCCGTTGCACAGAACACCGGACACGCCATGAAACTGGAATTTGTTTTTGACCCCCCTTCTATCCCTTCCGAGTGTCTCGAGAACCAAATATACAAGGTCGAGCGTTTGTCAACACCGGGTCAACCATGATGCGCCTCTGATATGCGATCTCCCTTCAATGTCTCTCTTACTCCTCAGACTCGTCCCCGCCTTCGATATATTTGTGGCGAATATCCTTCCATTGGCGCTACACACTGTCGTTAGCACACGCCGCAGAAAAAATTTACAGTTTTGAATGTCCATACCCCCCTGTTGTTGCTGTCCCAGACCTTGTTCATTACTTTATCGTAACCACTAGAGCAACTTTTGTCAGTACTGCGTGCCCTCCCTCGACGGTCCTTGGTTCCACGCGGCCACGTACAGCTCGAAGGCGAAAGCGCCAGCAAATACCACGCCCAGCATCGTCCAGTTCCTCCGGAAGAGGGTGCTAATGGTGAAGTTAGCTTCGATCGTGCTCGTTGTGACGGTCTGATGTTTGGAAGGGGACGTGCTTGTAGATCGCGGTGGCCTGTCAATCCACTGTTAGCGGGCAAACATTCATTCCTCACGGGGTACTAGATCACTCTAGGCTTACCATTTTGGCTATGGTTGGGATCCTGATTGAACGCTGTTGCCGGACTAACGTCGTGCTTGGAGGGCGAGCTTCGAGAAGGTTTGCGCTGCGACGAGCAAAACCGGATGGACCACTGAGTGAAGCCTCAAAGGCCGCACGGAAGTACCCGGACACTCGGTGATTGGCCCAAGCTCTCCTCAGCCGAGAAGGCTTGGCATTATTTTGCAGCCCACCCGAAGTGAACCCCGCCAACTCCACCCTCATTTGAAGGTGGTTATCTGTCGCGAGACCTGCTTGTCATTTCAGCAAAACCTAGCCCGAACCGAAATATTGGGGCGTTCCCAGCCCGCGGCGCCCTCGTGCTCTAGGCCTTTCAAGCCATACACCAACCAGATGACCCTCCTTTAGAACTCAACCGCCACCATTCCGGACCCTCCGGCTGTTTCTTTGCTTGAAGTTTGACGTCTTGCTTCTCACTCCCACATTCATCACCGAGTTCATCAAGCAGCCTATCCACCAACCATGTCGACACAACCCACCGCATCGGGTATCGTGACGGACGAGACGAGTGGGGAGCGCCATATTCCTGAATCTAGAAGAGCCGATGGCAGTACGAGGAAGGCTATCAAAATCCGCCCCGGCTACCGCCCGCCCGAAGATGTCGAAAAATACAAAAACCGCACCGCCGAGAACTTTCGCAGTCGCGGCAAAGGGCCACCCCCCGGCTCTGAGGGATTGAAGGACGACAAGCCGGCGCAACAGTCTTCTACCGCCGCCAACAAGAACGCTAAACGGCGCGAGGCACGAAAGAAAGCCAAGGCCGCTGAGGATGTTCCAACCGATGCAACGACGTCCGCGGAACAACCAAAGGAAGAACTCGACCCTGAGGCAGAGAACGAGAAGAAAGTCCGGACACTGAAGAAGAAGCTCCGACAGGCTAAGGAACTGAAAGAGAAAAAGGAGACCGGCGGATCTCTTCTGCCAGAGCAGATTGCCAAAGTTATCAAGATCAATGAATTAATCCGGGAATTGGACGCGCTAGGGTTCGACGCAGAAGGCGAGCCTAAGGCCGAGGAGCCAAACGACGGCGAGAAGCAGAGCAAGGAGAAGGAGACCGGGGAAGGGATAGCCGAGGAAGCAGAGACTGAGGAAACTACCGAGCCCGCGACATAACTGGGAACCTTGACTCCTGAAAATAGTGTTCGGCCACACTTGCCGCTGCCATACAGACGACACAAGGTGCGAACCCTCCCGGATCCGGCGCCGACAGGTGCCATGGGTACATTTGTTTGGGAGTCATCCGGTGGTTTCTGCACCGCTAAGAGAGAGGCGGATGCCGTCTTGGGCAACCTTGGGCCGGATTTAAAGGGCAGTCGCAGGGTGCTATCAACAACAGGCACCGATGTGTGGCTAAGAGGCCACAAGTTTTCCGCCAAAGCTCAAACCCGCCCGGCACCCAATATCTGGCGTTCGACACACCCCCAGCTCTCTCAAGAGAGAGGAGGACCACAGTCATGGTGACTTGATCACCCGCTGATTTCGGGGACAGTAATACATCCTAATAGAGGGCAGAGGGATAAACTGGGTGCGGATTTCATGTCCGAACATCGCCACCATCCGAAAGGAATTTTGGTGTCAGTTTCCCAAATCTGAGGTTGCGAAAATGTCGACGCTTCGTTGGATGACCAATGAACAAGCATAGTATGAAGCGAATACGTTGGGGTAGAGTCTCAGGGGTATCAACGGTTTATGTTGTACATGTACAGCCCTATAGTACATAACCAAAATACTTGTCAAATTCCAACGCCACCTTTGCAGGAAATTATTCGTTTCCTTACGCCGGCGATTTAATGGTGCCCTCCGCAGAGGGGGTTTCTGGTTCAAAAGTCCGTGGGATCAAACCTTCGGCCATTTTGATCGCGCCCTCCATGTCACCTTTGTTAAACTGGAAAAGCCCCTGAATGGCGGCTGTGGACGTATGTCTCTTGGGCGCCTCTGGGTTCTGGTTGTCGTTTCCAAGCAATCCGAGCTCATCCAATTTCTTTAGGAAACGCTCTCGGCCCGAGTGGTCTTGGTCGATATCACCGTAATACCGATCCCACATTTGGGTTGCTTGGTATCGTGTGGCCTCGCCAATACGCACCATCATGTCAACACGGCCGGGTCGAATCAACGCCGGATCCAGCCTGTCGATGTGATTCGTCGTCAGGAACGCAATCCTGTCTTCCCCAGCCGCCAAACCGTCTAACGCATTGAGAAGCCCGGACGCTGTGACCGTCCGCCCACTGTACCCGTCAGGATCCCGCTGCCGGCGGTTTACTAACGCCGCATCAACATCCTCAAGCAACAAGATGCTTTTCTCGGGCAGCTGTGTCAACAACTGCGCAAGCAAGTCATCCGTCATGCCGATCTCGCTCAAGTTAATCATAGCGACGCTGTAGTCCAGTTCACCAGCCAATGCCTGGATGAACGACGTCTTGCCTGTCCCCGGCGGGCCATAAAGCAGGTAGCCCCGACGATATGGCACGCCCCGGTCAGTATACCATTGCTGCGCCTTCAAGAATTCCTTTACGTCTCCAACCAAACTCTCCTTCACTCCCTCATCCAAAATCACGCTCCCAAGTGGCCTTTTCAACCTCGGCTTCCCTAGCACTGCCCACTCCATTTTGCGTGCCGTATACACGATTGTCTTGCCCTGCTGAAAACTCTGGGCCAGTGCATGCGCCTGGGTGAAGACGTCGCTAAGTACGTGCCGGTGCATCCACAGCAGGGTCAACGTCAGGGTCTCGTGCGGCTCGCCCGTCGCCGTAGTCGCCGTCCCGGCCTTCTCCCGATTCACCGCAATGTACACACCAGGCGCATGCCGGACCACGTGTCGCCCAAAGCCAGGGTGCACGCGGAAATCGGCATGAATTCGCCCGCCCGCATTGCCAGCCTCATCGATGGCACCGCTGCCACGAGGGTTCAAGGATTTCGTGCTTGTGGTGACGGAGAGATTGCGCAGACGGGTCAGTCGTTGCGCGATAAACCCGCGGTTATCGCGCGGCTGGGCGAGCCAGGCGAGAACCCAGTTGTAGGAGGGGTCACGCTTGCTGATTTCAATGTTGACAAGGAGTTGGCGTCGAAGGAGCCCGGCGCCGGAGATGACGGCACGCCGGCCGAATGCGGCGGCTGCACCGAGGCCGGCTAGGCCGATCCCACCGGCGAAGACGGGGTTAGTGAACAAGGCGTCGAGGCCGAGGAATGAGTGGGTCGAGGGTGAGGGTGAGGACTGTGACAATGGCGCCGCTGGTGACAACCCTGGTATTGCTATCGCTGGAGCTGCGGGAGATGGTGTTGAGTGTGGGGGTTGTGTCGATAGAAATGGAGGTGCCGGTTGCGGCGTGATTGTTGTATTTGTTGAAGACATTTTTGGTTGGTGCTACATGGCGTGGTAGGGTTGTCTGTGTAAGTATTGGCCCGCCGCCTGCATAGGTTAGAAGAAGTAGACGGGGAGCTTATGAAGTGGTGATGGTATATGACGTTCGGGTCTTTGTGGGCGAAAACGACTGGAAATTTTAGTGGGCCCGGCCACCGAGCCGGCGACTCGGCCGACAAAGTGCCGACAGGTCCCAAAGGTATCAGGGACGAGGCGATCCGGTTAGGGGCAACTGCCTCCCGCACTAGCATCAAGCATCATGGTTGCAGGAGCCGCCTTATTGGGAACGGTCATGAATTCAACAGTGTAACATAGTCGACAAAAGCTTTCAATTGTGGTATACATATGTACATAGGGATACAAAATCCCCATCGGCCGCCTCGATAGAGCCCCCCACACCTTGTTTCAACTCCCATTGACCACCGAATGCCAAGCAGAACAGCCGGGACATCTTAACCCAACCTTCTCATCCTCTTGCTCCGTGTACCACCAAACTTGACCCTTGTAGAGTCTGACAAACGGACTATCTTGGGCCTCAAGAGCTTGCCCTCGTTCCCCATCAACACCTTCACCACTGCCTCTCTCCCTTGCCCGAACCCGCGCAGGACCACTTCCAACTTGTGTATCTTCTTGACTAGGTTTTTCTGGTGCATCTTGTCGATCACGTAGGCACCGAGTTGGTACGCCGCATCGTAATTCTTCCGCTGGGACTTCTTGAACCCCAGGTTTCCACATGACAGGGAAAGGATGGACTCGCGATTCGGCTTGGTCAAGGTGATGTGCGTATTGTGCTTGTGGCTGAAGATGTGGAAATGGTAAGGCTCGGGCCCTTGGTCGTCGTTCACCTCAAGTGTTTCGGCGAGTGATTGATTGATTGGTTCAGTGGGCGATCGAGCAGTTTGGAGCACGTTCTTGACCAGCCTGTCCATTGAAAGGCTTGGGCCTCTGCTCTGCGGCGGTGCTTGTGGAGGAATATCGGCCAAGTTTCGTGATTGTGACTGAGAAAAAAGGCGTGCCCATTGGGGGGGTGTTACTGCTGGCGAATGGACGGATTTCGAAAGCGGCCGGAGCAGCCCCGGGGCCAAAAAGCGGCCCGCGACAAATCGGCTCATCTCCGCTACGCGATGGCTATCCAAGCGATCGCAATTGCCGGGGAAGGACGGGGTTCGTCCCTCAAGGGATCTGTCCCTTGAGGCCTTGTCGGAGTAGTTGAATTCTGGGGTCGCAAAGGGCTGGGATCGAGCCTCCAGGCTGTTGCTGCTGCTGTTGCTGCTGTTGCGTGGTTGACGGCGTGGGAATTTTTGGAGCGGGACCTGAGCATGGGGGCCGGAACTTGCTTGTAGCGGGGTGTGCAAAACTGCAAATGCAAACCCCGGCCCCACATGGAGGGGCTAAGAGTGCACTGTCTGGGGGGGCGAACCGGGATTTTACCGCTCTGGGCAAAGTTTCTCACAGGCAAAAGAATTCCATCTGCGACTTGAGCTTGCAATCCAGCGCAAAACTCTGAACTGCACCGGACTGTTATGCCCGTTGCCCACCTCTTTCGATAATCCCTCCTCCACACCCGTCGCACCTGGTACCTCTGTCAAGGGCGGCTTAGCCCCTACTCCGGAACCATGAATTCGGCGCGGCAGGTTCCTCGGGTCGTGCCCGGTGCTGCATTTAGGGCATCTGCTTTGCGAAACTCGCAATGCACGCCGCCATCACAATATCGGCCTCTTTCATTCCGGGCGGTGCGGCTTAGCGCTTCCGAAGCTCCTATACACCCACTCCCCCCACTATCCCAGCGACAACCTCTTCTTCGATCGACCCTCTCCGTGACTACCGCGAGGCTAAACTGTGTTTCACACAGCACCGCACGGCCATTCCATATCTCGAGCCAAGCACAACAAAAGGTGCCGACGGATAAGGAGAGCACGACAGCACCGCAAAACAAGCAGGGTGGACGGCCGGAGAACCTAGATTCCAAGGAGGAGGTCAAGGAGGAGATCAAGGAGGAAACGAAAGAGGAGACCAAAGAGGAGGCTAAGGAGGAGAAAGAGGGGGAGGAGAATGCTGAAGGCAAGGAGAAAGAGAAGAAGGAGGACTCTCCGCCCCCACCACCCCACGGCGACAAGACTCCGTGGCAGGTATTCCTGGACACCATGCAAACCGAGCTCAAGCAGTCCAAGGAATGGAACGAGTCGACCAAGGCGCTCGCCTCTTCCGCGAACGAGTTCGTCGAGAGCGAGTCAGTCCGCAAGGCCCGTCAAGCCTACGAAGCCACCTCTGGCGCTGTTTCCTCCACCGCCGCGAAGGCGGTCAAATCTACGGCCGGCGCTATCGGCAAGGGCGCATCATGGACCTGGGAAACCCCTGTCATGAAGGGCGTGCGGAAGGGTGCGAATAAGACGGGTGAGGCGTTGGACAAGGCTACGAAGCCGATTAGGGATACCGAAGCGTACAAAAATGTCAAGAATGTCATTGACGACGGCAGCAGCTCCAGGTATGGTGGGTGGGTCGACAAGGAAGAGCGCAAGAGACGGAGAGAGCTGCGAGAGCAGATGGACAAGAAGAACGGTGTTGACAACACCATTTATGAAGAGGATCCCAAGTAAGGCCCCCTTTCATGCCTTTCCCCAATAATTGTATGTTACGCCCACTAACCATCATGTTTCTCAGCGCCGGGACGAACGTCACGGTCCACAAGGACGCTGCCTGGAAGGAAGCGTGGAGGGACTTCCGGGACCAAAACAAGTTTGTCCAAGGCATCTTTGGGATGAAGTCGGTTTACCAAGAATCCGAGAATCCTCTGATCTCCACTGCCCGGAGCATCACCGATAGATTCGCCGGCTTTTTTGCCGAGAACGAGACTGCCATGGTCATCAAGAAGCTTCGTACCATGGATCCGGCCTTCAAGCTGGAGCCATTCCTCCAAGAGCTCCGGGAGTACATCCTTCCCGAAGTTCTGGACGCCTACGTCAAGGGAGACGTGGAGACGTTGAAGCTGTGGCTGTCAGAAGCCCAGTATTCGGTCTATGAGGCATTGACGAAGCAGTATCTCCAGGCTGGTCTCAAGTCTGACGGCAAGATTCTCGACATACGTGGCGTGGACATTCTCCGCGCGCGTATGCTGGATCCCGGCGAGATCCCAGTGTTCATCGTCACCTGCAGGACCCAGGAGGTTCACGTTTACCGGAAGGCCAAGACCGGCGAGCTGGCGGCAGGCATGGAGGATAAGGTCCAACTTGTCACTTACGCCATCGGAGTTACCCGCATTGCAGAGGACGTCAACAATCCCGAAACCAGGGGGTGGCGGTTGATCGAAATGCAGAAGAGCGGCCGGGACTACATCTAAAAACGATGTGTGCGCCTACGAATCTGGAAGAGGCGTATCTTCTCTGCGGAGAATCAGATATGTGCTTCCGGATATTGCGCTAAATCACGATTCCACTTACATTTCCTGTCTTATATTTGTGTCAAAAGTTGTATTATATAGCATCTGGACTCGTGCCAGTTGGTGTTGCGGGGTGTTTGCGGGACTCGGGGTATAGAGCAAGAGGAGCAGGCGTCTTGATGCATTTTTACGACCACGCCACTCTGAAAAGCCCAAGGTGAAGACGGGCGTGTCATGATCAAAATGTACTTTGTATAGTATTGGAGAAGTGAGGAAAGGCGGGGTGTCGGTTTGGCTTCGACTGGATGGATGTGTTATCTCCAGCCTACGGCCCCAAGAACACCCAAAATAAGGAACAATAATACCGTTCAAAACCAATTGTGGTTTGTCCTTCAGTTCCCCTGACTAACAAGAAAGAGTCATAAGGTCTCCAGGTTCTCTTTCTCACGCGCTCTGGCTTTCTCTTGTCACCATCCTTAGCCCTACCGTGTCATTAATCCGCCTCCTCGCCACCCTCCTCGGCTTCCTTTTTCAACTCCTCTCTCACAGATACCAACGCCTTCCCCAGCAAATTCAATCCCCACTTCGCCCTCATACTCCCAGCCCTAGCTGCCCCAAACCCGACCCCCCAAATTCTATCCCTCGGGCTCGCCTCTACCAGTTCCCTGTCACCGGTACCTAGTAGGAGCTCCTTGATACTCCTGTCCACCCCTTCACTCTCGCCACCATCCGTGCCAGGAACTCGCACGGCCCACTTCCCGTCCTTGGTATCGACGGGCCGTGTGAATTTGAGCACGTTGCCGCGGTGTACGATGGCCTCGCGGTGTTTGTTCCAGACGGCACCATCAAAGTTGGCTACCTTGCGGCCGAGGGCCTTTACTAGACGGGGGTGCTCGGCGGCGAGGATTTCGGCGCCCACGGCAGGGTCGGAGAAGAGTACCGCTTTTTGGTACATCATATAGCTATTAATAGTTGATGGTGATGAGTCTATGTTCACTAATCTTAAGGAGGTACGTGTAGGGGATATGGGACTAGGCCGGGCAGGTTGTGTGCATCTAAAATTAGGAATTTGATGGAGTGGGTAAGATAAATAGGTAGCTGGGATGATTACTGTTCAGCTGTTTTGTAGATGGTCGATGAATCAGTGTCGTCTGAAAAGGCACATGGATACCATTGTGAGAGATACCCCGTCAGAGGCTCAGTCTCACGCCAAAAGTAAACAGGAGACGAGGGGTCATCATCGGTGGTCGAGGGCTGCGGTAGAGGAGGAGAACGCTTAGGTCGTGCGGCCCGAGCCGGCTTAGTTACTCGGTGCTGCGGTTTGGATTGTTTCGTCGGCATGGTGAGGTACTTTACCCAGTTCGTTTTTAAGCAAAGAGGGCTAAGAAAACATAAAACTAACAGGCAACGGCAAGCTCATATAAAGAAACGGGTGTAAGTTCATCGGGGGTTCATCACCCGTGTCCACTGCTCTGTTCAGTGGCTGAGCTTCTTGAGCCTGTTTGTCTTGGCATGGCCTTCCCGGAGAGGTTACTCAATTTAGCAGAAAGAATGGGCATCGTCCATGAACGAGCCATTCTGCTCAGGGCTCGAGCTGTTGACTCCTGCCTTACCAAGCTTACCCCCCTAAGGTACCTTTGTCGTTCATGGGCTGTTCGACCTACAGTGATTCAATGTTCCAATGTGTGAAAGCTTCATTGTCCAGTTCGGACAGTGAGTCAAGCACTGAAGATGCAAAAGAGTGGGGATCATTCAGGCACGGAAGTGGCAGTGGAACCTCTCCGTCAGGCGGGTCATGGTCGTCCCAATTTTGCAGGGTCGGGCCAGACTTTTGGACCCCAACCGTCCATACACGACCCAGGTATGTACGAATATTGTATTCTCTACCGTAAAACATCTACACATATGTCAAAGGTTTTCCGACTCTCCACAACGTTATCCGTAGTATCAGGATGCTCCGAAGTCATTGAACAGCCGTGAGATTATTTCGCCTTCCGCTGTCTGTTTTTGACAAACTCAAGGAATTAGATCACTACCTGGGTTGGCCCTAATGGCTGGTGATTGGAGGACCTAATATTAACTCAAAGGACCTCGCTTCCCGGTTCCCGTCCCTCTGTGTTCCCCCATTCAAGGCTAAACCAACCTTCCCGCATCATCGAAATGATGACTGGCATACAAACTGCAGGCACCCCTGCCGCCTGTTGACTTTGAGTTCCAGCCCGCGCCTCACGTTGTTAAAAATCGCACGGCTCTGCCGATCCCATTGCCAGCCTCCCAGGCCCCACCTTTGCGCCGCCACAACCTTTCCAATTGCATCCTTCACGAACTCAACCGAATTTACCCTCACAGAAAGCCATGACGAACCCCCTCCCGCCCGCTCTCTCCTGATGCTGTTGCCGAGAGAAGCAAACTCCCGTGTGTAAATCGTTGGGACAATCCACAACGCTTAGACCTTTGGACACCTGCACTCTCTGTGCGGCCAGAGTTGGCTTGACATGAAGAGTCACTTAGAACTGCCCAAGTACAATTTCCGTCTGGGCGGGTACCTACACTGTAATGAGGTATGTCTTATAGCAGGAGTCGAGGCTTCTGCAGGGCTGAGCACAATCCCAGCACCCAGCCTTCCTCATCAACCATCTCATCCTTAAACCCCCCAATCGGCTGGTTTCTCATCACCTTGTCCCTGCTAGTTTCCGTTCGGAGTTTCACAGCGTTCTCCAATCCCACGCTGCCAGGAATTAATTGCGGTGACTTTCCGCAGATGAGAACAAAATGCTTACTTCCACAAGCAGACAAGCTCCGTGCTCGGTCTTGGGGGTTCAGTGATACTTCATTCCCTTTCAACTTCTTCTTAGACTCGAGGCCTGAGGAAAGCTTACGATTGGAGTATCAAGATTCACTCACCGCCGATACGTGACCAACACACAACCTGCCAGTGGTATGTTTCCCTCCCGGCAGTGGTCCAGGGCGGTGGGGGGTTGCCCATTGCCCATTCCTTGCTCCCAACTCAGTTTGGCGGCTCATTGTTAACGTTAGCGTTAAGTAGGTAGGCTGCTAGCGCTTCTCCGCTTAAGCGCTCCAAGGTACACCGTCTCTTTCAAGGATGCAGCAAACGGCGAGCACATGACTACAAGCATTCAAACCCCCACCACCCATTAGGCCATCACTCCTAATGTTTTGTCAAGAACATTGATGATTTAAAAACCTTGCCCCACACCGTCGTCAGATATTGTCCAGTCAGCTCCCAATGTGAATGAGTGACCCGGGCGCTTCCTACGGTCTTGGTGGCTTGACACCGAGTTTAGGCGTGCACTGAGGACGACGCTGTGGCAGTGAAACCCGTGCCGCTGGTGAGCCTTGAAAGCAGGCAGTCGCTGCACTCTTAGACAGCCGTCTTATTTTTTGCCGGGCTGCCTTCCATCAAAGGCCCTCAACAACCAACAAAGTCAGCTGCAGTTGGCTGGAACACTGTTGCGCTTTAGACGGTCAAAACTTAAACCCGTCCATCTCTTTTTACTTTCAGCGGCCTCCTGGTCCCGGCTCTTCTCAGCTTCGCCACCGAGTGAAGCAACGGGACTTATAAGCTGTATTCAAAAGTTCAGAGACCAGGCATTGTGCTAGTTGCTTGGCAACCGCCGACTGTTGTCAGCAGAGGGAACCATCACCACGTATGTATGCACATTACCTCATGTTGTGTCACCTGCTAACAGCTCGCCAGCCACAACCACCCCCGACACCCGGGAGAAGTAGCTTCACAGACGTCACAGGCTCCCGGACCGCGTGGTGGCCCAGCTTTTCGGCCAACTGCGTGTGAACCGCTGTACCGCCCGTTTCTCATCGACCTCTGTCCAAAGGCAGGCCTGGATTGACAGGATCGTGGTGGTCGCTTCGGGGGGTCGGCACCGAGAGTCTAGGCTGATCGGAAGCCGGAGAGTGGGAAAAGGGAGGGGAGTTTTGTTCGAGTAACTGGATGCTGAACTTGCGACAGTCCTATCTGGGGCACACAGCAGCTCCCAAGGACCTACCTACCGACCTGGTACCATACCAAGGAAGTGATCCGTTAGCTCCGACGGAGAGGCACAGGATATTTGTGTTGTTCGTTCCTGCTTCGAACCCAGTTATCACTGCTCTAGCCAGTTGACAGTGGTTCCAATTCCGGCGAGAACAACCACTGAGGAAGGAACAAGCACTAGTTACCCGAGACAGCTGGCACCGCTCAGGACAACTCACGTGGGAAGAAAAAGGAAAGCCTGTCTCACCCCAGGAAAGGAAATCGCGCCAAACATTGGGTAACTCTCTAAACGGCCAAACTTGTGACGCCGAATTTCTCACCCGACCGTAGTTCGAAGTTTTCCCCACGGGAGATCCCAGAATCCGACAAAAGAGTACACCGTCCCACAGGTCCCTGTTCTCACCCAGAACGAGCCATCGTTCAACCCTGGCGGCATTGGGGAAGAAAAACGAACGGGGTTCCCATTTCGGCTCCTCACAACTATAATCACACAACATCCCCAGCTTGCCATCGACACCAGATTTTTTACGTCTCCATCATGATAGATCCGTACGATGCGGATGTGGAACGTGGACCGGAGAAGGCGCCGTTGCGCCAAGTCCTCTCGAGCCTCCATTATGTCTACCCGGCCCTCGTTTTCCTTTACTACATGGCCACCTCCACCGTGGCCGTATGCACGCTACAGACCAGGTCCTCGGAACAAGCCCACCCGCGTCGACGTCCAATCACGTGGCTGTTCGCCTTGATAATCATCACCTACCTCGCCCAACTGCTCGCGCTAGGCATCCGGAGCGCCGTACAACATATTTTCCCGTTTGCTGAGCAGGATGTTGTCATCGGCCTCATGTCATGCGTTCTGTCGTTCGGGGTTGTCTTTGCGAGGCTGTTCGAGGAAGCTAAACCGGTCTGGTATCCGTACATTGGAACGTTCGGGATCGCACTTGGCCTGGAGCCGGCCTTGGGGGCATTGAGTTGGGTGGTTCGTCCCACGGAGCCTTTCAAATTTACGGACTACTTTGATATCGCTGCCTTCGCCGTCAGGTACCTTTCGATCATCCTAGCCTTGTTCTTGTACTTTTTTGGAGCCCACAGCTCCCAGACCGAGACAGGCACGGATTCCGAACGTCAAAGCCTGCTCAAGGCGAACGGTCACGCCAGTCACGACTCCGACTCGGAGGAGCGAAGTGATTCCGCTCAGGAGAACGGCAGCTATGGAACTAGTTCGGAAAGCTCAACCGATAGCAACCAGTCCTCCGATACGGAGGACGATGAGAATCCGTACGCAAAACGCCAACGCCAAGCCAGCGAGCAAATGGAGAAGAGGCTCAAGGAGAAAGGGAACTGGGTCACTTACGCCAAAAGTTTCAAGGTTCGCCGACATTCCAATCCACTGTCTCTTCAGATCCCATTGCTAATGTAATTTCATTATCAGGTTTTCTTCCCGTACGTTTGGCCCGTCAACCACACCTCGCTCCAAATCCGCGTTGTGCTTGTGGGGTTCTGTCTTCTCGCCATGAACTTTATTAATGTCCTCATACCTCGCCAACTGGGTATCATCATGGACAGCCTCGCTGGTACAAATGGTAAGAATCCTTGGCGTGAAGTCCTCTTTTTTGCCGGCCTCAAACTGGTAGCCTCAGAGGCCGGTATATCCCTTTTGCGCCAGTGGCTTTGGATCCCCGTCGAGTATTATTCTTTTGGCGCAATCAGCACGGCAGCATACTCGCACGTCCTCAACCTATCTTCCGACTTCCACGACTCCAAAAGTTCCTCCGACATCATGATGGCGATATCTTACGGTCAGAGCATTTCCAACATTCTCGAGTCTGTATGCTTTCGGGCGGTGCCGATGCTTATCGACATGTCCATTGCGTTTGTCTATCTCTCGGCAACCTTTGGCCCGTACGAAGGATTTATCACCATTGCAACCGCAGCGGTCTTCTTGTACGTTGCCACTAGAATGATTGCAGCGCTCTCTTCGGCACGGAGGAATGAGGTTGGCGCCTGGTACAAGGAGCATTACGTCCGCCAGGCTGGCATCCAGGGCTGGTCCACCGTTGCCAGCTTCAACCAGATCAGCCACGAGGAGGATCGTTACTCGGCCGCGGTCGATGACCGTGTGGCTAAGACGCAGAAGGTTTACTTTGGCTACGTCCTCGCATATGCCTTTCAGGTTCTCGTGCTCCTGTCTGGGCTTCTGGCTGGCGCCTTCCTAGCGGTCTACCAGGTCACCCACAAGCAAGCCACACCAGGCGACTTCATCATGCTACTTACGTATTGGGCCCAGTTGGTTTCCCCTCTTAACTTCTTTGCCAGCCTTGGCAAGAGCATCTCGAAGGATCTCCTCCAAGCCGAGCAACTTCTCGAGATCATGCAAACCAAACCAAGTGTGCTCAGCAAGGAGGGCGCGCCACCCCTGCAGTTCACCGACGGTGAAGTTAGCTTCGATGGGGTCCATTTCTCATATGATAAAAAGAAGGAGATTTTGAAGGACATCACTTTCACCGCCACCCCCGGCATGACGATTGCCTTTGTTGGTGCCACGGGTGCTGGAAAGTCAACCATTCTCAAGCTCTTAGATCGCTTCTATGATGTCACAAAAGGATCGATCAAAATTGATGGACAAGATATTCGGGACGTTGATCTCTACAGGTGAGAAACGATACAAAGCCGGAGAATATCCTGATGGTGAAACTGACCCAACGCAGTCTTCGAGCACAAATCGGGGTTGTGCCCCAGGCCCCCGTATTATTCGACGACACTATTATGAATAACGTGCGGTATGCAAAACTTACCGCGACTGACGAGGAGATTTACGAGGCGTGCAAAGCTGCTAGTATTCACGAGCAGATTTTGACATTTTCCGATGGTAAGAGTCCCACCCCCTTTAGGTCCCACCCCCTTTAGGTCCCGCCCCCTTTATGGAAGGTAATACTGACATCCCAAAAAGGCTATCAAACCAAGGTTGGCGAACGCGGTGTCAAGCTTTCTGGCGGCGAACTGCAAAGGGTTGCGATTGCTCGGGCCATTCTGAAGCGACCATCAATTGTGCTCCTCGACGAGGCAACCAGTGCCGTTGACACGGAGACTGAGCAAAGGATCCAGGAGGCCCTACACACACTTTGTGAAGGGCGAACGACGTTTATTGTGGCGTAAGTAAAGACACCTCCAAGCGAGTTATATGACCGTTAGCCTAACTGTCCAGTCATCGTCTATCCACTATCATGAATGCCGACCGCATCATCGTTGTTACCGGAGGAGAAGTGGTTGAACAAGGTAGCCATGAGGATTTGATCCGGGCAGATGGGAAGTATGCGGAGCTGTGGTCGAAGCAGATCTTTGTGAAACCCAAAGATAAGAAGCCGGATACCGAGACTGGGTCCAAAGGCAAGGGGCGGAAGGCGCCTAACATTGTGAATGACCTGAGCGCAGAGGCCACCAGCTCAGAGCTCGCCAAAGTCAAGTCAAATCCCCCAGCCTACGGCCAGGCAAACGGCCATGCCGGGGAGTCTGACGGCGCTGCGGACAGCAAGAACCCAACGACACCGGGACATAAGAAAGAGGTATGAACTACGAACACCCGTAATTTCAGGTTTAGGTACAACCAAAGCGAATATATCATATAGACATATTATTCATGCATATTTTGGCCGTCCCGTTCCCTCTCTGTTGCTTCTTCTAATCCCCCTAGATTTCCCAACTGAACCCGGGCGCTGCAACATTTACACCACGAACTGCGGCAGGTATTTCGTTCTCAGCGGCTACATCGGGTCGGACCAGGCGGAACACCCACTCGATAGACGGCTTATTTGACAGACAAGAGGCGAACCCGCTTCCCGTTCCAGCTGCGCCACCGCCAACGCCCCAGCATGTGCAATACTATACCGCCACACCATTCGTAATGATGCCGACGTCTTACACGCCGATGTATACCCAGTTCCACCCGGCGCTCTCCCAACCCGTCATCCCCGTATCAAGGGGGACGGGTGCAAGATTTGACACCAGTAGTTCTACCACCGGCAAAGCCGACGAAAACTCTAGACCAAAAAGGGCTTCGATCGTTTGGGTGGAGGCATCAAAGGACCGGTCATCTTGTTCTCGTGCCTCCGGAACGGGCGGTCAAGACGAGGGGGAGGGTGTGAGGTATCCGCGGTATTCGAGGAGAGTGCAGTCAAAGAGTGAGCCGGGTATGCTGGGCTTGAGGAGGGTGGGAACATTGTCGCCTGGCTCGGAGGAAGGGACGTTAACGGGGAGTTGAGTTTTGAGTTTTCTTTGGAGCTGTTGTTCCTTTATTTGGTCTCAAGCATTTCTCAGTCATGATTTGGTCTATCATTACAGGCACCTACTGGGTTATTATGTTCATAGATATGAATGAGAGTGGGTTGTCAAAGTGTCGCTCTGTCTTCACTTTGGGCCACGACGAGGCGCTCAGGCGTGGCGACTCTTCAAAAATGGCAAATCCCTTCCACAAACATCAAAGAAATTACCAAGGTAATAATGCTAGTTAGGTAGCATGGTACTCTATAACTATCGGCTCGAGTGAACAAGGTAAAGCCCCTTCGATCAACTAGGCACGGTTTATCCAGGAGGAGAGGTACTCGAGATAACGAGGCAAGGTTTTCTGCGTTTATAAAAAATGTGACAACTGGCATATTTTATTATTCATGTTATTGATGGGGTATATTTCATGTTTTCTTAGTGTCCAACTCGGAATCCTCGTCGAGTAGTCGATTTGAATGGCCCTGACCTGCTCTCCCAAGAAGGTCTCCTATGCGGCGCTGAACATCCAAACCCTGGGGGTGGCCCGTGATATGACCTCTGGCGAACTCCTCCCTCTTTACCTTCCAAACAAACCTATCGAACTATTCAGGGGGCCGAGACAAAGGGGTAAACCGGTGAGAGCCCCTCCCGCCTCTCCCCTCAAACCAGAAACAACATTACGCCTACGGAGTCCACCAAGCTTGTGTATGCACTCGAACTATCCTACCTAGTCCGGGTAATGGACACAGCTCCAACACCAGCGCTCTCGTAGTCTCCGTCGCCCTTTTGGCCACGGGGTTCAGCAGGGCCGGTATCGAGGTTGAGCTGCTGCATAACCTTGACGGCTAGCTTGTTTTCCTCGCGCATTTTGTCTTCGGTTTTATGTTGTTTTTGAAGTTGTTCGGGAGGAAGTTCGTGTTGTTGTGACTGTCTAGCTGCTGCTCCCTCTTCCTCTGCTGTACTTCTTGCGTCTGCATCTGACGTGTCGGGAAGTCCCTTCCCCTCGGCCACTTGCGCTGTCACATCGCGGCCGGGGTGGGCGTCACCCTCTTCTGTCGTGCTCTCGCTGTTCTGGCGCGGTCCATCCTGTTTCGTGCCGTTGCCGTTGCCTGTCACGGAGGCCGACCCTTCCCCCGTGACGTGCGGTTCCGGCACAACTAAACCATCTTCTGGCCCTTGTTTTGGGCGTCCGAGGTGCTTGATCTGGCTGACGGCCTCGCTGGCCCTCTTGCGCACTTTGATGTAAGTCTCGAGGCCGACAAGGACGGCGTAGCTTTTGCTAACACTGACGCGGCCCATATCGACACCGGCGTCCTTGAGCGAGCGCACAAAGGCGCGGAAGTTGCTGGCGGGGGGCCGGTAGTGGCCGCTTAGCGGTGAGAGCGAGGTTAGGCGGCCGTTGCGGATGCGGATCAGCCCAGCGGCTGAGATGCGGCTGCCCTGGAGGAAAGAGGAATGTTGGAAGGCACCGCTATTTTTGATGCCTACGTAGAGACGAAAGGAGGTGTCGGCGACGAAGATCCAGGTGTTCTTGCGCACTGTCTTGCGGAGGAGCTGGTTGAAAATTGTGGCTCCTGAGAGATGATGAGAGATTTTCTTTTTGGTGCTAGTCTCGGCCGGGTTGATCGAGGAGGCGTAGCGGGCTGCATCGGCCGAGGCGATGGAAGAGCTGGAGTAGGATGAAGAGGACAGGGAGGTGGAGGACGTAGGCCGGGAAGAAGTAGAATCGAGATGAGAGCAGTTGGCAGCTGTGGCATCGCTAGGCACGGTAGGCCCGTCCTCGGGAAACGGGGAGTAGGCGGGCGTCGGGTCATCGCTCGGCACGATACCGTGAATTGAGTCCTTCCACTTCAGGCTGGTATCGATGCGAACGCCGTTCTTTGCCCAACATAGGCGACCATCCTGATCGACGTTGACGAGATAGTACTGGCGCTCGTCGCGCGACAGATAGCGCACCTGTTCGCGGTCGAGGCGCTCACGCGGGCAAGCTGCGATGTCGACATCCTTGCCTTCGCCATGATCCAGCCAGTAAAAGAAATTCTCATTGGTGTCCGCGCGCTTCCACTCTTCGTGGTACACACGAAGGTTGGAGCCGTACCGGTGCTTGAGATCGACCATCTCCAGAAAGTACTGCAGACCCATCATCTTGGACTCCTGCTTGCGGCGCGCCTTGTCTTCGTCCTTCCGCTTACGATCTGCCTTCTTCTGCTCCTCGGATTTGTGGTGGTGATTCGATTCGGAGTCGGAAGAGAAGGAGCTGCTGGAGGACGATTCGGCGTCTAAATCGCCCCCGGCATGGCGGGCGATAGCAGAAGCCTTCTTCCAGTTCTGGCGGGCTATCAACGACCGGCCCTCGGGTGTCCCAGCGGCTGGCAGGTCGTGTCCTTTTCCTGGCGGGGACACCATGCCACTAGGAGTGAGTGCGGCCCTGGCGCGGGGTGTGGTCATGTCTCGCCATTGTGCCTCGCGTATGGCGTGTGTCCAGCGGGTCGAAGCATCGAGACCAAAACCCCTGATTTGCCGACGGGCGCGGTACCCGCGATAGGTGCGTTGGATGGCGGTCGCGGCCCTATCGCGCAGGCCATCATCACCGGGACCGGAGTTGAGGCTCGGGTGGCGGCCGAAGTTGAATCCAAAGCGGCTCGCGAAAGGTACATGATGTGGATGTTGCGGCTGCGGCTTTGGGATAGTCTGGGCGTCTAGCACGGCGTCGATGCTCTCCCTTTGCCTGTGGCGCTGGGCGCGTTTCTGCTCGGCTTGCTTCTCTGAGATGCGGGATATCTCTTTTTTCGAGGGCACGATCAATGAGTCTAAATACTCTTGGTGGCTTCGCGTCGAACTTGCCGAGGCCACTGACCCTTGCGATTCAGGCCGTGCTGCCATTGCCGGCCTCTCGAGGTACATGTGATTGTTGTCATTCTCAGGAGGGCCGACCATTAATGGCGGGGGGGTAGCTCCTGACGATGACGTCGTGGGTTGGATATTAATGGTATTAGTGGGGTCCATCTCAGGTGGTGAGGGAAAGGGCATTCCATATGAACGCCTAGCGGTTAGGTTTGTTGAAAGATTTTGCATCAGCCGGATCTCCGGGGGCGCAAGTAGAACGAAGGATACAGAAGTGAGAAGCCATCGTGACCTCCTCTTTGGGAGAACAGCTCGAAGATAAATTGATGGTCGACTCCTGCACTGCCTTGGTTGCAGACGCACACATGCCCGGCCCTGCGCCGAGCCACTGAGATCCCAACGTGGGGCTGAAGGGCGCTGCGCACCCGTGAATGAACAGGCGGACCCGAAACTTTATCTTCAGGGACAAGACACAGCCGAAAACATCTTGGGATAGAGCAGGACACTGCAATCCCGCGAAGAAAAGAAACCGGGTATGTTGAAAACGGATTGAGCCGCGTTGCTTTCTATCTGAAAAACGAGAAAGGTATCTCTCTAGGTATCAAACGAAAAGAACAAAGAGGAAAGACATGGTCTCATGGCTGAGCCTGACATCTCGGGGCAGGCGATCCCTGCCAGGCCCCAGGGGCAGAGCTGCAGGAGCTTGGCGTCCACGTGGGGCCCAGTGAGCCACTGACCGCGAAAACCTATGACCAAAAATTTCCGAGCACTGGACCCCTCGAACCAATCCCCCTCAATGCATAGTCGACGACGATACCTCCTCCCACTCCCGGACCGATTTCAGCGTGCTTTCACATACCGCGCGCACAGTCTCGACGCAGTCGGATCCTAACAACAGCCTGACGGGCACTTCCTTCCCCTTCGCCACACCGTCCTTGGTCATCACGTCCACAATGACCTTGGCGCATTTCACCACGTCCCCCGGCTGTTGGCCGTTGTACTTGTTCAGAGCGCTCCGCATCTTTTCCGCCTCGCTGTCGTGATACACGTCGAGCCGCCTCGCCGTCTTGATCCGGTGGTCACCGCTGCCGCCGCTAGCTCCGTTCTGCAAGAATGCCGTGCGTGTATACCCGGGCTCGAAGCAGTAGACGTCGACGCCAAACGGCCGCAGTTCCTCCGCCAGCCCCACGGTCAGCCCGCTAACGGCAAACTTGGTGCTGCAGTCTAATTAGGGATGGGCGCTTGCGTTAGCAAAGCCGGCTCTTCTTTCCCGCGCGTCAACGGGAGGGACTAAAGGACTTACAATAAGCGGCTCCTGCGCCGGACCACCAACTCCCCAGACTCCCAAACGTCGCTAGAGCCACTTGCTGGCCGGGTGTCTTCGCTGCCTCGCGCAAGTATGGAGCTGATACCCTAGCAATGTTGGCCGTGCCAAGCACGTTGGTGTTGAACACATCGAACGCCTCTTTCGCGCTGTCATGTGTCAGTGTTGGTCGGGTAGGTTTCGGGGTCAAAGGTGTGTGTCACTCACCTCGCTTCCTCAACGGCTCCCTCCAGAAGATAGCCCGCGCTGTTGACGACATGGGTAATGCGGCCCCCATATGCGGCCGCCGCTTCACGAAAGACCTTCGCGAGCGTTTCCTCGTCATTGGTTACATCCAAGTCAAGCACCGTCGCGCCGGCGGCTTTGAGCGCCCCGAGCTTGGCCGAGTTTCGTGCCGTTGCGATCACATGGTAACCGCGTGCGAGCGCATCCTGTGCAACTGCCTCGCCGAACCCGGATGAGGCGCCTGTGATGAGGAAGACGGGTGTTGTGGACGTAGTCGTGGAAGACATGGTTGGTGAGCGTCGAAGAGCAAGGTGAGTCAGTAAAATGTATCAGCGGATGAGACGAGCGCTGTTTATGTTGAGTTCACTCTGTACGATCCGTAGCTATAGTTGTGATCCTGATAATGCTTCTCGACGTCCGTCCAAGGGGTTAAGAACACGGCCTTTATATATTTGCAGTCATGCCCATCTTCGCCGTCGCCATTCCAGCGTGTCGCAGCTAGTTTCCCCATCGAATCCATCATTCCTCTGCCCATCACCTGCAGTCAAATTGTTGTGTTGTTTGACGTCACAATACGAAAATTCATTCACGCGCCCATTGTTCGAGCCTGCGGTGAGTTTACACTAGGAGTTACAGTTCGTTGGTCCCGAAACTTCGGGCGAGCCCATGAAGGCCGTGCCTTGTACCTGGTTGCTTATCGCCGATTCGGGTCGGCGAAACCGGCAATGCATCGAATTCCTTGAGAACAACACGCCACCGGTTGTAAACGCCCAGAACCTGTGTTCGATCGGGGTTATCTTAACTCCAGCCTTCGCCGATGGCACTAGTCATTCGAGCGAACAGAGCGACCGCGACTCCCCGAAGCTAGTTAATGGAGCGCCAGAGCTGCAATCGTGTTAATTCCATGGGGACCTGGTACAGCCGGAGAAATCTATATCTATGTATATACACTCCAAGAGTGACGTGCAAAACCGACCGCTTTTTCTTGGAGAGTTTTCCTCTCGACTCAGCAAACAACATTCCATTTCTGGAATGTGATTCTCTGTGTTGATGCCTTTCCGAAAACATTCGGGGACTGCATCAAGTCGATGCGACACGACAGTGGGTGGGTCAAAATCGGGATGAAATTTAAAGGAAGCCATTCCCGGTGTCGTCGCCTGTTTTTTTATGTTTTTTTTTTTCGTTTTTGGCGTGTGCTGACAAACCTTTCGATTCCCACGGAAGACGACAAAAGGTTGATCCCTGGGGGCCCCATACCCATTTTCTTAATGCGCGGCACGACAGTGGTGGCTTGGTTCTGAACTTCGGTACCTTTTCGTGGTTTTCTTGCTCACCAGCCGTTACTGCTGTCTATGGTTCGTTTTAGGCTTTTGATATACCTGAATGAGACGATCCCATTTCCCAAATATCGAGTTCCTCTGCTGAACATCGCCAGTAATTCACGATTAAAGGTGAGGCTTGTCATGCCCATCTTGAAATGATTGGGACGGAACCTACCACTTCGGATACCTACTCGGCTGGTTTACGTATATACGAGGCACAGATGTAGGACCTGGATCTATGCCCATGAGCGGGCGGCGAGCCCCCATAATAGGAATATGGTTTTCTTCCAGGCAGAACATCCGTCGTCAGTTTGACGCGGAGCGGGTTTAAAACCCCCGCCTATCTCCGCCTAAAAGCCATGGAGCTATCGACGACGGCCATGGTTGTTGAGCGGGGTTGCGAGTTGGGAACTGTCTGTATAAGTATGAGCGCCGCTCGTCCTGACTCGCCACGATATCAAATCGGTTGTTTAGCACATTCACGCACATATACACTTCAACAAGCCGCGGCGCACTCTCTGAACTCTGCACATTCCCCAGTTTCGATATCGTGTCTTCGACGTCTCAGAAACTATGGCTTTCAACTATAAGCGCGTCCTCCTTGTTGGCGCTACCGCCGGCATCGGGGCTGCCATGGCTGATAAGCTCATCCTCGAGGGAGCCAAAGTCATCGCCGTTGGCCGTCGGCAGGAGAGGCTAGATGCCTTTGTTGCGAAACATGGGGCTGAAAAAGCGAGCGGCGTCCGATATGACATCAACGACAGAGCCGGGCTGGACGCTTTCGTGAACAAGTAAGTCATCCACCCCATACCGGGGGCCACCTACTCTTCGGGTGGGTGAAGCGGAGGTTTTCACTAACCACCGTCATCTAGTATCGTGACCAACTACCCCGACCTCGACTGCGTTTTCCTCAACGCCGGCATGCAGCGTCAGATCCGGCTCTCGCGGCCGGCCGAGGTCGACCTGGACGCCTTCCACCACGAAATCAACACCAACTTCAGCCGGATGGTCGACCTCTCAGTCAAATTCCTGCCCCATCTCCTGGCCCACTCATCCCCCACGGCGCTCGTCTTCACCGGCACTCTTCTCGCGGCTATCCCCGCAGTCGCCGTGCCGGCGTACTCGGCTTCCAAGGCGGCGTTGAACGCCTACGCTCTCTGCCTTCGGAGACAGCACCGCGGATCGAACACGAAGATTATTGAGGTCTGGCCTCCGCTTGTTCAATGTGAGTTGCTGATACCTACCAGGTTTTCACTTACTCTACCCCGAAGCGACGCACGGTACGGTGCTAACCAATGCGTTGTAGCCGAGCTCCACGATTACATGGGGGCGGAGCTTGGCCGGTCCTTGGGTCTGCCGGTGCAGGAGTTTACCGACAAGGCGTGGGAGCAGCTCGCGGCGGGCAAAGACCATGTCATTGTCGGCCAGCTCCCGGGCCACGATGGGCGGTTCATGGAGGTTACGCAGGGGCGCAGGGACTTGTTTGAGGGGTTGTCGGATGTGATGTTGGCTCACTTTGAGTTGTGATTTGGTGCTTTAAAGTATGTTTCCGGTTTATACCTAGCTCTCGCTGGGGCGGGGACCTACGATGTATTTTCATAGTCAAAAACAGGTAGGTAGCGGAGCCCAAAACTACAGTTAAAAATATTCAAGACGAGGGCCAGTCCCAAGTCAAGGGGCTAGATTGACGATAGATCCGTAATTACTCAAAGACCGGAGTGCAGTTATGGGGGCTTGAGCTGTTGTCGGGGGCTAGGAGCTGTAAGTTATTGTTCATCGGTGGACGGGTGTGACTAGTTGCTATTTGATGGTTCGTTGTTGTTTAAGGAAAAGGGGGATTTCTGCATACGCGCCTGAGTGTTAGAGGTTCCTGCATGATAAGCCTGGTCAATGTTCTTTAATCCACAGTGGACATCTCTATTTGGACAGTATTTAAGCCTATAAGCTGGGTTGGCTCGGTCCACAATTATTCCCAAAAGTGGGCTGACCACTGTGTGAATACACACATATTTTAATTACACCCGTTCATCCGTTTCCACATTTCAAGAAACACACGTTGCGCTTCACCTTCACTTTTGCACAACATACCAACAGAATCACTTCGGATCTCAAGACTGGTTGTTACGGTGTAATTGGACATATTTTCTCAAAAAAGCATGATTTGACACGTATATACAAATCATTCCGCGGCACCGCTTGGTCTCAACCATGCGCCGTTTTCTCACCGTCTTCCTCGTGGCCATCAGCCAGGCCCCATCCTCACTGGCATATACCCCGTTATCCGACGACTCGCTTCGCCATCTCACACCCAAATCACACACCACCTCTCCCTCCCAATCCACGGACTCGGACCCGGCCCCAGACCCAGACTTCGACCCTCTCCACGGCGCCCTCCTCGCACCCATCCTCCACCCTCGCGTGCCCGACACCCCCGGCCACGCCCGCGTCCAAGAGCACTTCGCCACTTTTATCCGCACCCACCTGGACCCATCCTGGACGGTGGAGTGGCACAACACCACCTCCACGACGCCCGCGACCGGCGACCGGGCAGTCCCCTTCCAGAATCTGGTCCTGCGGCGCGACCCGCCGTGGATTGCCGCGCGTGGTGCCGACGGGGAAGGGGAAGTGGCTCGGCTGACGCTGGCGGCGCACTATGATAGTTTGTACCGGCCGGAGGGGTTTATTGGAGCGGTCGACAGTGCGGTGCCGTGCGCGCTGTTGTTGTTTGTGGCGCGGGCAGTCGATGAGGCGTTGACTCGGCGTTGGGAGGTGGAAGGTGATAGCGGGGGGCTGGAGGAGGAGAAAGGGGTTCAGATTCTGTTGTTGGACGGGGAAGAGGCTTGGGTGGAGTGGAATGCGGTGGATAGTTTGTATGGATCGAGGTGAGTTTTCTTTCCATGCCAGCCGGCTGGCGTATCTGTCTGTGGGCAGATTGATTGTGAGGGTGTAAACGGGTAAAGCTAACAGAAAGTAGGGCGCTAGCTGAGCAGTGGGAGGATACTCGATACGAAACTGGGAGTAGTTTCTCCACGCCATTGGAAGCTATCAGCCTGTTTGTGCTTCTGGACCTACTGGGCGCACCGGATCCCAACATCCCATCGTACTTCCCCAAGACACACTGGGCGTACCAGCACCTCGCCAAGGCTGAAAGTAGACTGAGGAAGCTAGGCGTTCTTGAGACGCAGCCGAAGCGGCCGTTCCTCGCAGAAACCGAGAAAGACGCAATGAGGTTCCGGGGATTTGTAGAGGATGATCATGTGCCATTTATGCGCAGAGGGGTGGATATTCTACATCTCATTCCCTCGCCGTTTCCTTCGGTGTGGCACACTATGGACGATGACGGCGCTCATCTAGATGTGCCGACTATTAGGGATTGGGCCAAGATCATGACTGCATTTGTAGCCGAGTGGATGGATTTGGAAGGCTATATTATGGGGAAAACTGCTGGGACCGGTCCTGCAGAAGACACGATCTTAGACAGGGACGAGTTGTAGATTGGTCGGAATACACAAAAGATGCAATTACACAAGATCTCACAAGTTGATTCCTCCATGAACAGTTCAATAAAAATTGTAGTGATATTTTATGAGCGAGTT